TGACTCCCTTGCTAGAAATATTCACATCAATGCTCTTGTCAAGCAATGCTAGACCAGGCTCCAAGACTTCAATTACATCAGGAAAATTGGTTCCATGTGGCCTGAAAGTAATTGTATAAACATTGTTATGCTTGACTCTTTTGGTAGCTTTCATGCTGGCAGGTATCATGTAGACATCCATAAGGCTTTGATACATGTTCTGGTATAGGCTGAATCCATTAATGAAAAGTTGGTAGAGAAGAGATATAATCTTTTTGCTGTTGGAAAATGTTTGCTTCAATATCTCTCTATCATATGCCACTATTTCTAGCTTACCATGTAGTGGAGTGCTTATATTAAGCAGTTGAGCTTCCAGTGTTCCTGATTTTAAAGTTAGCACTCACTGCATGAAATATTGGGCATTTGGAAGCTCATATCCCAAATTCTCCATATTAAATTCATAGTCCAGGTATATGTTAACTTGGGAAAGAATATTGCCTGCCAAAACAAATGTTTCTTGACTTTCAAGAGCAAGAACTTCATTTGGGTGATGCTGTGGATTCAAATGGGATAATTTCCTGCCATAAAATGTCAGCATGAATCAGTATACTGGTTGAATTTGGAGAGCAATTGCATTTTCAGTAATTAGATTTGATCTTTTATCCTGACCAATAAATTAAACTCTCCCCAAATAGTCATGGTTCATTAGATCTTTATTGCAGGGGCAGTTGGTGTTGCAGCATTAGTAGAGAACAAAGTCAGAGGAAAATATAGACTCACCATTATAGTAATATGCAAATTCATCTGAAGAGTATTTAATGAAGCTTCTCCAGCTTTAAGATTGCCATAACTTTCTTGAGTTATCAACCAATTCAGCCATTCCTATATGCAGTTTCTTCCAGAAAATTGGTGATTTCACAAGTGTGGATATCAATGCAATAGAGTTCTGAAAATACATGTTTGTGTACAATGCTGCTTAAGCAAGTCTTTTGTCTGCATCTAATAATGTTGGCATTTTCTTTGGGATGACAGACAGCAGTTTTTGACAGATAGATAGTATTGGAAATTGTGACTGGCATCTCTTCTTTAATGTTGACAGTCCAGTAGACATAAGTTTCAATAGCTTGATATCTGTCAGGTTCTGGAGAATTTCCCTTAGTGATTGGTATTGCTGTCAGGATATGTCTGTATGCTCACACCACAACACAAGAGACATTAGGAATTGATTTATTTAATCATATGCTTTGGCCTGTAAGTGTAGAATAGCTTCTGATGATTCATTCTCAAGAATTAGTATTGTCACTTGGGTATCCATTGTTCCTGGATCTTCATCAATTTCTGGATCTTCTTCAACTGGAATTTCATTTTCTAGGCATGATAATTCTGCATCAGCTGCAGCATCTTTCAATATTTCATGTAATTGATTGTCATTATTGATATATGCTGGGCCAGCATCATCATTACCAGTATCTAATGTAGACTATGCAATATTAGCCTCAGCATTTAACAATTCTGATAAATAATTTTTCACACTATAAGATCAAATTCATCATCATCAGAAATTGATGCCAAATTCTCCAGCTGCTCTGACTGTAGTAGTGTCAGGTGAGCACTGCTTTCATGTTCAATTGACTGATAAATACTCTCTTCACTTGCTTGACCCTGAATCTGTTATTCATCAGTAATTAAAGTATCATTGCTTGAATTTGGATCTTGAAGTGTGATTTTCTTGACTTTTCAGAGATTTGGACACAACATTTCAATGACAAGACTATTATTGATTGTATGAAGTTGTAAAAAAAATGCATGGAATACTCTTGAAGTGAAGTGTTTTTGATTACTCTTTTGGGAAGCAAAGATTACCTGTTATCTGTCAACAGAAAATGTGGGGGAAATTACTGATAGAATATGAAGTCAGGAATAACTGCTTTCATACTGGAGTCAGGAAGCTTGCAATTGATATAGATTATAGTATATTTAAAATTCTACAAGGGTTTCAGAGTTAAATTCTCCAACATGGATAGTGAAGCTTTCTTTTTTAACAAATTCAATGTGGGTGACTTTAATGACATTGCTGCCACAGGAACCAATACAGACATACAGAGGGCAGATATACAAGATCAGAATTCTGAAAAAGACAAAGAGAATGAGAAAAGAAGTAAGAAGCACAAGCAAAGAGTTCAGCACTCTGATGCAGGAGAATATAAGAGAGAGAATCAGTCAAAAAAGAAGACCCTGAAATAGTGAGTGAGATGGATGTATCTTATAACATTCAGCAAGGAAAAACTTCCTGAAATTATAGAGGAAGTATATAAAATAAATAATGAAGATTTATATGTCTTCAGTTCAGCAAGAGTGTCTGCTCTGGAGTTTTTAAAGGGCTGGAAATGTAAAATATTAAGGAAGATGAGTATTAGTATGCTGCCCTGTAATATTAAGAGATCTTTTACTGACTGCTAGCAGAAGCATGTCAAGAATGTAAAGAAGATTGACCACAAGAATAATTCTGATATTGGCATGCACTGTTATCAGAATCCTGATAAACTCTTTGCATATTTTGCAAAGCACTTTAATTCTGAAAAATTCTTTGAGATTTTCTTCTGGGCAGAGCCAATTGTTGATTATGAGAAATCAAAGCAATTAGAGCAATGGTATATCAAGTGTATGTCAGAATTGAAGACAAATATAAGATAATGAGTATTACTGATCTTGATTTAGAGATAGACACCAATTTGGTGGTGCAGATCAAACTGCATGATGATCTCATGGAGAAATTAAGCTGCAAGAAGGAAGCCATCAGGGCATGGTGGAAAATTCTTGAATTTTGGGACTATATAGAACAACATCCATAATATGAGAATGTCAACAAAGAGGACTTTGCAGAAAAGAGAGAGAAGATCAAGAAGAAGACAAGAGCTTCAGCTTCTGGAGCTGATAAGTTGGCAATTCTTACAAAGATTTGATTTTCAGGCAAGACTCTGCCAAAAGAGTGAACCACAAAATGCTGAATTGGTGATGTCAAGCTCTCTTGAGGTATCTGCACATTGGTTAGCATGTATATATATATAATATAGAATCCAAACCTGAGCAGTACTAAAGCTGCAATAATTCTCACAATAATCTAACAGGCAAAGCAGCTGTATAATAGAAATCAACTTTTCAAGAATTCCTGCCAAAAATCTGCTGGGGAATTGCTTGTTGGGGTTGCATAGATAATATAAAAATCAACACATCTAGTAGAGCACATGTCAACAAAGCCCTACCTAATCAGAACAGCTCTCACATATATAAACAACCCCTTCCACAATCTCTTCTCTTTCTCTTCTCTCTCTCTCTCTCTCTCTCTCTTTTCAAGTCTTTCTAATCTTTATTTTCCCACCTCCCCTTTCTCTCTTCCATTGGTATTTCTTTTTGAATTTGTTAATATACTTCAATTTGCAGAGGTAGATGATCTGAGATATATAAGATTAGCAAAAGCTGATGCATTTTGCAGAAAAACATGTCAAAATGATGAATACACATGAAACCCCAAAAGAGAACAAGCCAGGCCATAAACCAAAAGATAAAGCTTCAGATAGGCTATCAGTCTTCTGTCAACAATGCATTACAGCATATATAATCCTGAAAAATCTTGAAAAGCTCTGTAATAATGTCCAGAGCTCTGGCAATACTTGCTCAAACTGCTTATAAGACAAGAAGCATTGCTGTAACTTTTCTGAGATAATGATCAATCAGATTCTTGAGTTGCAAAGTGCATACTTCAAATAGGCAAATATAATGAACACTGTCATTAAAAATGCTCATAAAGTAAATGTTGTTGCTTTTGCTCAAGCTATCAATAAAGAGTTGAAAACTGTTCTTGTAAATATGCCAAAAGAGACTTCTTCCATCAATAATAAGCCAGATGCATTAAATGATGAAGTTATTAAAGCTCTTCAAGAGATTTCCACAATCTTGAAAGAAATTTGGGAAATTCAAGAGGCAAACTTCATTGCAGTCTCCAATATAAAGAATGCTCTTAATGTAAGTTCACTTCACTTCTCATTTTTAAGGTGAAGATTCTAACTTTCAAAAGAATATGCTGCAACTTATTGATTCAGATCTTTATGCAGCTCTTGTTACTTATTCAGCTCTGTCTGCAAATAACTCCCTTTCTTCTTATGCTGTAAGATATTCTCTTAGAATTGAATTGGAAAAGGGATCTAATGAGAGTGAATTAGTTGAAACATTTCTTTGACAGTACTTCTGATTCTGAAGTAAAAAGAATCTGCTTAAGCTCCTTGCTGTCATAAACTGTTCCTGAAACCCTGACTCTGATCAGAAGCCTTCAATTTTCTCTGTTTTCAACCAGTATGTGTGCAAATAACATTTCCTGAAATATACTGACTGTTTACTCTGACAGAGCAACAAAGTATGACATTAAAGAGTGTATCTTCTTCTCATGATGTGACTCTGACACAAACTGTTATTTCTGCAAAGCCAAGCACATCAGCAGTCAAAAATCCTGATGCCAACAAGAAGGATGCCAAAAAGAACAATGCCAATAACAAGAATGCTGACAAGAACAATGCCAACAAGGATGCCAACAACAAGGATGCCAACAAGAAGGATGCTGAAAATGAGAATGCCAAAAAAGCTGATGCAAATGTTACTTCTGATGTTAGCAGTGAAGGTTTCCAAAACTGGTTTTTCAGTTGGGGTGATCTATAAAGCAGCAGGAATTGTGTCACTACAGTAGTTACCTAGTTTTCAAAATTAAGAAAAGGTTCTTTCAATTTAAAACAAAACCCCCAATCTCATGGTTCAAATTTCAGTTATGTTCTAGAACTGAGCTCATTTCCCAAAAGGAAGTGTTCTCAGAAAGGTAATAGGAATCCTACAGTGCTCCAACAGTTCTCTATTTGGATTATGGTTCTCGCACGATTCCTAATTAGGTTACCGTGAGATCTCGGAAACGTAAGGGTTTTTCGGACCAACGAAATCCCGATATGGTTGGAAGCCCTTCAGAGCACCTATGAACAGGCTAAACGTCAGGTTCATGCGAGCGAAATTCCCCCCTCCTCACGCCTTTCGTAGGCGAGGAGACAGAATTGACTGATCTTGAGCAATGTCAGATTGGAAACTATCGACGCCGCGTCTACCCGTGTGGCTTCAGGCTACTAGACTGAAGCCGGGGTTTGCTTCGGCCGTAGCGGGACCCGAAAGCCAAACCACCTTCTTTTTCGTCCCCAGCATACTGAGGAAAATCATGGAGAGACCCATTTCTACTGTTTTATGCATCCTTAGTGAGCGTCCTTCTGATTCTGCACTTATAATGGAAGCTCCGTGAAGCCATTATTTCCCGAGCTTTGCTCTTAGCGCGGGGTATCAAGATGGCATAGGTCGTGCGCAGTGCGGAGTCATTCTTCCGTCTCCCTCCATTTTATATATTTCCATCTGCTGCCCCTTTCCCTTCCGGAAAAGTAGAGCACATACATATTGATTCTCTCCATTGCCCTTTCCCGTTGCCCTTCAGCATGGTCCGCAGTCGACCCACCCGTCTCGCCCACATCGCCCCGATTGGGGTCGATCGCATGGGAGACATCGCAGATCTATCGGGCAAGGATTTTCTCCGCCTAGAGAATCTCGACGTGGATATACCCCCTGACCCAGAGGCCATTGCATGCACGAAGTCATCTGCCGACCAAGACCAGAATAACAGCTACCTGCCCTTTATCGGACAGCGTCATTTGCGCGAAATTGCTGCGCGCCACGTCTCGTCGATATCCGGCGTGCAGTACTCCGGGGAGGAAAACTGCATCATCTCCTCCGGGGGACTATCCGGCATCTTGAACGTCCTTCTTGCTACCGTTGAAGTTGGCGATGAGGTCATCGTCACTGACCCAACTTACGCTGGTCTCATCAACCGTGTCCGTCTCGCAGGTGGTGTCCCCAAGTTTGTCCCCTTCAAGTTCACCCCGGGGAACGAATGGACATTGGACAGGGAGGCATTGAGGGAAGCCGTCCAGGGAAAAGAGAGCAAGGTCCGAGCAATGCTTCTGATGTCCCCATCGATGCCATCTGGAGGCTATTTCAATGCCGAAGACTGGGACCTCATATCCAAACTCTGTGTAGAGGCAGATCTCCTTCTCATCCTTGACACTGCCATGGAGCGGCTCCTGTTTGATAAGAGACCGCTTATCCACCCTGCTGGGCTACTAGGCATGGCTAATCGCACAATTACCGTCGGCGCCGCCTCCAAGGAACTTCGCATGATCGGCTGGCGCGTAGGGTGGATTGTTGCGCCCAAGGAATACATACCTGATCTCATCGCCGTCTCGCTCGCGAACGTAGTCGTTCCCGTGGGAATTGCGCAGTCTGCGGCCGCCGTTGCCCTCGAGAGATCATGGACTACCATGCAGCCTTACGTGGACGAGCTGCAAGCCCGCCGGGATTTGATCTTAGAGGAGCTACACGGCCTGCCTGTGGGCGTACCTGCAGGAGGATGGTCACTTCTTCTACGAGTATCAGACTACGGAATTGACGGAGAAACGGCGTCTAAAAGGCTGCTGGAGGAAGGCGTATGTGCGACGGGCATGGCGGGCTGGGGAAACGAACACGGGAAAGAATACGTACGCTTTGTTTTTTCAAATGAGCCATGTGAGAGATTAGTGGGTTTAGGAAACAAAGTGAGGGCCGCTCTGAGGATATGAGACTCCATTTCACGTAACGAGGAGGCTACGTATCATTGCATGCTTCAATGACCCCAAACCTCCCTTCACGCATACGGATGCAAGTCTTCCCTTAAATCCTTACGTCTGAGGGGGACCGAAGGATCACATTGGCACCCGCTACTGCACCTCGTAGCCGGTCGATCGATAACCATAAGACGGCGTTCGGCCTCCCGGTTGATCGGAAAACCCCGCCTCCCAGCAATGCAAATCGCTAGTGGCAGTCCCCCGGATAACATATCTGATATATAACTATGATAGCCTTTCACTGAGCCCATAGAGTTTGTTATACAAACCCTTCAAAACACTTAAGTCAGCGACCCTCACACATCCGCAGTAGGCATTCAGTGTATCCGTTGAAATGTCACCTATCCATAACGGGTTGCTTTATTGGTGAGCAGATCTCCATAAGGTGGAAGTGGCCGCGCTCCTTTTTAAACAAAACAGAAACATAGATACCATTACCTAGGTGAATAAGAACATTTATGAAACTGGGAATGGAACCACCCGTTCTGGGAGCCCTACCTGTCTATGAAGTACAGTCATAAATCCAGTAACTGTTTGGTTTGCCGTGAACAAGAGCGCTCTTTGAGACTTCAAGCCTCACTGTGTGATTTTTTCTCTTGTTTCGGGCGCTAGTTCCACCGTCACTCAAACGCTGCGGCAGCTCAGCATTTGAGCTCACAGCAGAGATGATGACTTCTGCGTTTCTTTCTGATGTCGCTAAAGACTAATCACCATGTTTCCAAGGCAAACAATGATGGCTTCCATTCTGCCTCAACCCCACCAGGGCTACTAGAATTACTGCTGTAGAGCCGCGAACAGCAGCAGCGCTATCCGCCGTGGATGACCCGGTGGAAGGACGGATGGCAGCGTTGGGCAAAAGAACTGCCAAGTGTGCTGGTTAGGTTACAGCAAAATGCCAAAAAGTTAGGCGACAGTTCAATATTTGCTGGAGGAAAACTCACTCTCTTGGGAATGGACACATCCGTACAGTTCTTGCTGATACGAGTGTAGGTCGCAGGCTCGGAGCGTATTCTCGCTTCCACATTGCCCGGGTATGTTTCTTCGCTGACCTTATAAGGCAAAGGCACCGTGAAAGCGAGCTCGACAGTCCATCCAGCCTTGGTGATATTTACGGGAATGCACATGTTGAAGCTTCCACGTAGCTACACTAATTTGTTCGCTTACACCTCTTGAGGAACACTTCTGCCACGACCGGTGTCATTAGCCTGGAGTGAGACACTATTAAGGCATTATTTAAATTTTTCTCTTCCTAGATCTCGTAGCTCGGTATAGAGATCCGCTCTTTTCGTAGCATATTGCAATTCGGTCCTCATACCCCCCTCACGTAACTCTGCACTTGATAGCTGTTGAGCAGGGCCTTCCAGGGTTTCGCAGTTCCAGTATTTTCCAGTTCCGTCGAATAGTTGCTTTTGGCATTTATGGTCATTAGCTATAGAAGGCACCCCGAAGGGCTGATTCCCGGAAGCATTCTCCATTTGTAAATAATACCATGAGGGGATGAAAGAGACGTCGTCTGTCGGTCAGGGAAGCTTTTGAGTTTGCTCGCGGGACGATCCTTGGCATCTTTTCGATAATAGTAAGTAATTGGTTAAAGCTCCAGGCCATTCCAAGCATGCGGGCATCAAGCATTGAGAAACGTCAAGTGAGCATACTCAAAAGCCATGGATACCGCCCTTCTCACGCCCCTATCTACCATCGAGCAGCGCCTCAACGCCCTCATATCCTCAATAACTTCGTCTCCAACCGCTGCAGGTGCACCCGCGGCGACCCTCGCCCTTCTCGAAGCAGACGACAGCCTGACCTCTGCACTAGAAACGCTGCGAACGCATCAAGCGAATTATGCCAAAATACTCCAGTTGCGCGCTGAGGCGAAGAGCCTGGAAGAGAGAGTGCGCGACATAGTCCGTGAAGTCGGCAAGATGGGCGATGACATCTCGGCACTGGCCGGCGACGATGACAAGGAAAGTGAGGAGGACGACGAGCCCGTTACCGGCCCGCGCAAAGACGGAGAAGACACCACGATGGGCGGGACAGCTACAAATGCCGAGCAAGAATCGCTGCGACGACGCAAAAACGAGATTGACTACAAACTCCTCCTCGACTTCGCCCGCCGGATCAGCAAATATAACACTCAAGCCGCGTCCGCGGCAACGTCAGGCGCGATTCCTACGAAACGCTCTCTGCATAATGTGCAGGAACAAGGTCGAGAGCAAGAGCAAAGTCTGCAAAAAGGGACAGATGCCAGCGGCATGGCAGAGATCACTAAACAGTCTACGATTCAGTTGGATGCTTCGGCAGAGTCTATCCGCCAAGCTTGGCTCTTACCGTACCCGAATGATGATAAGATACGTATGGGAGTGATGGGAAAACTGCAAGCTGCTGTTGCAGCCAGCGGTGGACGCGATGATCGGGATATAGAGAGGGAGGTGGAGAAAATAATGCTTGCGGTGGAAGGTGGCACTGAGCAGACGGAGCAGACGTCCATAGAAAAGGAGAATGCAGGGGGGGGTTCCGGCCAAGCAGTCCAGACGAGTGGACAGACTGCTGCTGGAGGAATTGGTGCCGCATCTATCGGAAGCGTTGCTAAGCCGCCAGCAGCTCCGAAGGCGAAACTGGATTTGGATTTGTATGACCCGGATGAAGATGAAGGTTAAAAGTATGAGAGCTTTTGATTTCTATGGATCTCTATCATAGATTTCAGATGACTTGATGCAAAGTCTAAAAAGTGCAACAAAGCAATAATCTATTCCCCAAAAGGTATACCAATCAAATCTAGTTCTGTCGCGAAGTAGTAAGAGGCTGGGTCTAATTACTCATGGACAAAGACAGATGACGATGCAGTATGCAGACCAATATAGAAAATTTCCAAAAAACAACAGATGCAAGACAGATATCAATGACACAGAATCCACCCAAAGACACATCCAGAACTGATCAGAGCCATTAAATCGTAGTCGATCATTTTTACAAATTATGCACAGATGAATTGGCAGTAAGCTTGCGCAGCTTCTTACCCCAGAAATAGAACGGGATAGCACATGCACACCAGAAAATCATGAGGCTCATGTTGAGCATGATGGCGGGAATGAAGCCATTCCTCTCGGTCCACGGAGTGAGAAACTTGCCAACTCCATAACCCCACAAATTCTTATTCACAGTGATGGTGACAAAGATGCTGCCAGCAACAGGTTTGTAGCTGTCAATGGCGTAGGTACTGATAATGGCGGGAATGGCAGCGACTTGGATACCTGCCCCTGTGTACCCAATGATGACGATTGCCTGGAGAACTAAACATCAGCTATAAACGCAATGTGAAGAAGGAAAGAAGAACATACCTTCCAGTCCCATTTATATTGATATCCCAGGGCCACCACCAGGTTGCAAACAAGGACGACAACCACATATGGGATCATGGCAGGCAGTCTCATCTCTGGCTCTCGGATACCTCGATTCTTCCTGGTCGCGCGCATAGAAACCCAGTCGGATAAGGGACCGTTCGTAAATAGTCCGATCAAAGCCCCAATCAAAATTGCCCAGTTGGTAAACCCAACAGCCTGCGCAGAAAAGTTGTATGGCGGTGCCGCGAAGTTTTGACTTTGGGTCAGGTTGACAGTGAGGAATACCGAGGCAGACCAGGAGACAATGAAGGCCGCAAGTTGAACAATGGGAAAAGCATGCAGTTTCCACGGGACCCAGAAATCAACAAGCATACTCTTGAAGGGGCTCTCGTTTTTCTGCCAGAGCTTAAACTGCTGCTTTGAAGGGGAGCCTGTCGCCAAGTAGAGATCTTCTTGGGTCTCAACTCGACGGGCCTCTCCCTTTTCTATTTCCTCCTCGGAGGCTGCCTCAACAAGGGTAGCAGAAGGTTCTTGGGTTTGTTTCTCTGAGACTCCAATGCTACCCGAAGACTTGGTATCGACCACTCCTTCGTCGGGTTGAGCCCGATGCCATTTGGTCTCGGGGAATAAGAAGATCAAAGCCACATTCACTGCGCCGAGGAGAGCAACGTTTAGCCACCAGAAATGTCTCCAGTGAAGGTAATCAGTCATAGGTCCTGCAATGATAGGACCAATCTATACGGCAGTCAGCATTCGATTGGTAGTTGAAAACCACACGAGGGGCACCTTACCATCAAAGCTCCAAAGTAAGTCGTAAAGTAAAGAGTGTTGTATGCTCCGCGCTCGTGCAAAAACATCACATCAGCAATGATTTGAGGTTGAGCCGTCTGTAGACTGCTGTCAGCGGCAGCGGATTTGGAAAGTTGGGGACAGCTTTGCGCAATCTCACCTCCGCCGGCCCAGCTCCAAAGCCATTGAGGACACAGGCTCCCATAAAGCTTCCATATGATGTCGCGACACCACGCCAGATATTAGAAATCAAGCATATCAATGTGGAAAAGAGAAGTACGGGGCGACGACCGAATGTAGTCATAATTGGCACCCTATATCATGATTATAAACAAACAAGATCGGCCAGCAGTTTGGGAAAACAAGCTGACCAGAAGAAATTACTAAAGCCGAGGACTAAGATGCAAACGCCCGTAAATTGAACGGCCCCTGACAGGTCGCAGTGGAATTCTTCCATTAACTTCGGAAACATAGGAGGCAGCGCCAAGGGGCCAACTGCCTGTGCGAAGGACATTATAGTCGTTAATGTCATGGTTGTCCCCTTCCAGAAAGGAGTCCAGTTCTAAAAGCGTGCAGAGTTAGTTTTTAGGTGAATAGGGGAATCGGTCCGAGTAGGCTGACGTACCAACGGATCATGAGGATCGTTTGAGGGCTGAGGCACTAGGACATTCTTCGAGGATTTCACAAAATGGTGAGTGCCAGTGTCGGTCATAATCTCAGTGCCAGGATATATCTTTGTTCCCAACTCATCTTCGAGCCTACAGCGGTGGTTAGAGAAAAGAAGATTTTAATCCTCCGCAAGCACTGACCTATGAAGAGTCTACAGTGAGACAATGTTAGCTTGCGGTTTCTTACAGCACGGACTCGCTCCATGATGGCGCAGGACTAACCTCTACCTCGTGGTTCATCTCCATTTTGACAATGTAGAGATCGAGGTCTCGCTATTTGATTTATTCCACTCTTTCTCTCCCAATGCCAGCAGTACCTCCGATGCGGATGGCAGATGAAGCTACTATACTTCTCGAGTGCTGCAAGGGACAATTGACCAAGGAGAGAATCTAGGACGGAAACGAAAGTCTAGCTTTCATTCTAGGCAAAAGCAGCAATCATATCCAGATATATGGTATGGGCAGATCACGGTTCTGTGGTCTTTATAATGTCGTTTTCTGGTTCCTAGCCAAGGCGCCCATAGAGACGAGATGAGCGGAATTAATCAGCCAAACTAGTGAGCATCCATCAGACGCTGCTTGTAAGTTGGGTATCTTCTTGGATGGAGCGCGAAGGTCCGGCGTAACTAGACAGTTCAAAAAGGAACTTTGACGATGGAATCAGGCCCGAGAGCCGTCACCAGCTTACCCCAGACTCGGTAGCGGGTACTTACCATCAAACTGTGCTCCACAACCCCCAGGCCAACCAGCAAGCAGTGTTTCTGGTATTATCAAGCCCCAGCAGCGTGGAAGCTTTTTGTTCCCATTGACTCCACCTATCCATCAGGCCTGCCAGTCGGCCGAGAATGCCTCTGGTAGTCGACTAGGCCTTTAGACGGGTATTCTGTCAAAGGGCAAGGTGCGGACTGGCTTCGGGACGGATAATACTCGAATCCTGGTATCTTGCAAGGGAGATATCAATGAAGAGCCAGGAAAAGGCGAATGGAGGGGTTCTACTTTGATTGTATGCAAGGAACGCGCATACAACTTGGTGATTATGCTGGCCCTGGCATGGTTGACTCCGTAACCATCGGGCCAAATAGCGGGACAAGCCTTTTGTCTGGTCCATATTGGTCAAGCGTCGGCCCATGTGGGACGGCACACAAACCAATGCCGCGCTTCACTGCCGACACCCTGAAGGACACTCTGGGCTGGAATTTCTCGTCAAAAAATTTTCCCCCTCGTTTGGCAATAGTCATTAATGTTCAGAGTTGAGTTGGTCATGGACGCTTCACGGCGAGCAGCTAGTTTCTGCTCACGCGGAATGGACCTGCAGCGAAGGCCAGGCATGTTGTTTGCCCAGGGCTGATTGAGACCCGCGAACCAACTCGTGCACCGGACTCGGTTCACTACCAAGGACTCCCGAGGTTCCCAGGGTCTGAGATCTTTAAGCGAAGAAAATTGTCCGCGGGCGCAACCATTCCGACATGATCGTGGGGACTTTTCGCGAAGATTAGTCACTTATTTACTTCACGAATTAGCCAGGTGTATATATATATATATATATCTTGGGGAGAAAATCTCGACATCGTAGCTACAAATGTCCGACAAGGCGGGAGAGATGAGGCACAGTTAGTTAACTAGTGAACTAGTTAACTCAACACTCAGCCCTTGGAGACGCGTTGGCATCTTCAATCGGAAGAAATTCGCGTCTTTTACTACAGAAGAGAATTCATTCCAACGCTACCCTTGTGTACAATATCACTGGGAAGTTCTGCAGTCTCCGACCCGTTCTCATGCCGAGGTGTCCTGTTCGGCTGCTGGCCGTTCTCAATCAACATGAAGGCCCCTTTTTGGGAGCGACTGGCGGTTGGTGATCAGCGCCTGAGCGATCTCTTTCGACACGACGCGATTTTGATTCCTATTTTTTTTTTTTTTTTTTTTTTTTCCTTTTTTGTTGGTAGACGCTGCGTTGCTCGATGAATGCTACTGAGCCAAAAGGCACTTCGGCCAGCTCAGAACCACGGAGCGTGTAGAGCGTTACCAGATGGCGATGTGGACAACCCGCCGGACCAGCCATAGGATCTCGAGTCGTCTTGTTCCCTGCACGGATGCATCTTCAAGGACAACATGCCTTGAGCCGGGAGCCAGCCACCTGGTGCTCTGCTCCTGCTGCGCGGGCTGAAGGGCTCCTGCAACGATGGATACGCTCCCAGGGCTGAGGGAAAGCGCATTCTCGCCGTGTCATCCGCTCGCTTCCCGCTGCTCTTCTCTCACAGATGCCTCTCTGCCTCGTCTTCACCACGTCCCATGGCTTTCGCGTTGCTCAGTTTTAGGATTGCATCTAGATACCCCCACCTCTGTATCCTATTGTTTACGGTGTGCTAATCACCTGCAGGTTGTGAATTAAATCACATCAGCAATGCCTTCTTCAAGGGCAAGACGGGAGCTGAAGGCTAGTGAACCTCGACCTCCAGGTCTGTTTCTTCCGCATTTTGGCCCCCCAGAGAGAGCACGAAGACACGGAACAAGACAGCTGGAGCAACGTGGATCGATCAGGGTTGGCAACGATGATGAGAGCAGTCTAGTCGACGAAGGCATTGGTGCAAAGCGAGCCGACGGTAGGGTTGAGATACAGGAGTCTGACTGCTATGAGAAACTGGGCTTTGGCTTCTCTACGATGAAGAAGTGGACGATCCTCTGCGTTATCTTTGTCGTGCAGATCTCGATGAACTTCAATACGAGCGTCTATGCCAACGCTATCACACCCATGTCCAAAGAGTTCTCGTTGCCTGAGAAGACCATCAGACTTGGACAGATGATCTTTCTTGTCGCATACGCCTTTGGATGTGAACTGTGGGCACCGTGGAGCGAAGAACTTGGGAGGTGGCCCATCATGCAACTTAGTCTACTCCTTGTCAATATATGGCAGGTATTATGTGCGCTTGCGCCAAGCTTTCGTGTGATTTTCGCTGGCCGTCTTCTCGGCGGGTTATCATCCGCTGGGGGCTCCGTTACGCTGGGTATGATTGCAGATATGTGGGAAGCCGATGATCAACAGTTTGCCGTTGCCTTTATCGTTCTTTCCTCCGTTGCTGGCTCAGTTGTCGGCCCGATCTCGGGAGGTTTCATGGAGGTCCGCCTTCATTGGCGGTGGAACTTCTGGATTCAATTAGTCGCGGGCATCGCTGTACAGCTTTGTCATTTCCTGCTCGTTCCAGAGACCAGGGCCACCATACTCCTTGACAGGGAAGCCAAACGAATGCGCAGATTCGGTGTAGCAGACGTTTACGGTCCTGGCGAAATCCACGGCCGGGGGTATACATTCAAGGAACTGCGCGAAATTTGGATAAGGCCTTTTAGCATGTTTGTCCGGGAGCCCATCGTGCTGTGTCTTTCTCTTCTCAGCGGCTTTAGTGACGCACTCATATTTATCTTCCTGGAATCGTACCAGCCCGTGTTTTCTCAATGGGGTTTTGGGACCATTCAAGTTGGACTTGCATTTATCCCGTATGTTCTCCAAACACCGGGGGGTAGGAATCCTACCTCTAAATATTAAAGCTCACTTATTGACACGGGACTTAACAGGATTATTATCGGGTACGTTATCGGGTATCTTTCGTTTATTCCGGTTATTCTACATCATAAAAAGGACCTCGATCAGAAACCTTATCGAGCAAGACCTGAAAGACGACTCTGGTGGCTTCAAATTAGTGAGATTTCTTTCATATAGAGGCGTGCTTTTGCCGCGTATGTGGCTAATAGTGACTGTAGCTGCTCCGCTCGAGTGCCTGGGATTATTTCTATTTGCCTGGTCAAGCTTTGGCCCCCCTTATTTCCATTGGATAAGCCCAATGTTCTTTTCTATGATGATTGCTATTGCCAACGTGAGTGTCCCTGTTCATGTCAATGGAGAGGTTTGATATTAATGATAAATTTATCGCTTTTTTTTAGTACTGCATATACATGGCTACGATTGATTATATGATCGCTAGCTACGGCCCGTATTCGGCATCAGCAACGGGTGGTAATGCCTTTGCTAGAGATCTACTTGCCGGCATCGCTGCCTTGTACTCTACGCCATGTGAGTTGAATTGCCCTTGAAAGTAAGGAAAACGTTTCGTGGGATTGTGCTCATGGAGGTGGCATCGTTGAAACACATAGTTTACAAAAATGGCCATCCATCCTACGAGCTGGTGTATCCATCCTTAATCCTCTCAGGCATCGCATTTCTGGTTACAATACCAATTTACGTATTCTATAAATACGGACCACAAATCCGCAAGTGGTCAAAGTTTGCGCAGACGGTTGCTACCGACAGGGACGAGATCCATAAGCGCCGCGCTAGGCGTGCGAATAGGAGTACTTCAGAAAAGACAGGAATGGAAGTTTGATCACCTTCTTTGAAAATGCTTTGCTTTGTTGGAAGTGATGGCAAGATTTGAAAGCCAGAGAGATGAGCAATAACTTTGTTGAGTGGAGCAAGAACGAGAGATCTTGATGAGCTTGCATATTCATTTTGGGGCAAGGTGATGTGTTTGTGGTATGGGAACGACCTGGTTACCCAGCGGCATTAATCATGGGCATATCCTGCGTTGCATTGTGTATGTTTTAGTGCTTGCATGGAGTAGCCTGATAAACGCGACGATGAACAAACAAACGCACATATTTGATCATCGGCCCTAAATTTAAAATAGGGGAAGTATCTGCTCTGTGGGTGAATATTGACCACGGTTTTCTTTTAGCTCCAATGTCAAGGAACTAGTCACTCCGACAGCATAGCATAATTTCGGATTATGGGACAGCTAACTAATCTACAGGATGGGTTGAAAATCTCCAACGGGCTAAAGTCGATCGGAGATTAGCCATATGCTGGTACCATGTGTCCGTCCGGTCCGTTCCTCCATTGATCCGCTTGAATTTTCTTTGGAACTTTACCTCCGCAGCGACAAAGCCGTCGCCCAATATTGGTTTAAAGAGATCTGCTTCGTCCGGGACGGGATCCGGAAGGGGTGGAGGGATTTCGTCGTACTGGTCTTCCTCGATGTTTGGCGTGTGGTCTGAAGATGAGCCGGGAGATAGCAGGGCTGGAAGGTTGGCCAGGGTAGGTGTAACGGCGGTCGCTATGGATGATGGTGACTCATTCTGTTGCTGTTGCCGTTGTTGTCGCTGCAGCTGGTGTTCGTATCTGCGTTCTTCGTAGGCAAGCATTTGGCGTTTCCATTCTAGGCGGTCGTTCCAGAATTTGGTGAGTTTGTCGGCGTTAGGGGTGATGAGCTGCGCGAGCCAGGCGGGAGAATTTGGTCTATTTAAGTTGCCCACATCGCGGCTGACCTCAATGTAGAAAGTCTTCCAGTCCCGCTTATTCACGTGAGTACGGGCAATCCAGTAGATGGAGGTCTTGCAGCCGGGGAATTGGCATTTTGCAGAGTCATTGCGCATGTCAGACAAGTAGTATTTGACGTCGATGGGGTGGGCGTCAGGTTTATATCCTTCGATGATGACGGGGTGATTCAATCTCATGTGCGGGCAAGAGGGAAGGTTAAAAGTGTTGAGGATAGAGGCAATCTTCTTACGGGGTGCTTGGGTAGATTTGGGGAGGGAGAGGATCTTGTAAGTCGTGTAGATGGCAAGGTCGGTTCCACCTCTGCGGCGCAAGGTGCCATCGTCGGTGAGCCAGCCGCGATCCGCAGAACGGTCTTTAAGGTCATTGAAGCTATACTGGGTATCTGGGCTGACCCAGAGGGATCTGGTTGCGTCTCTGCAAGTCCGGTCGTCCGTGCCTTTGTTGAGCTCTGCTAGAAGAAATTTATAACTTGAATGAGTGGTTTTGCATCCACTGCAACAAGCCACAGGAGTTTTGGGATTTGACGGAATGGAAAATCCGAGTCGTTCCAGGAGGTAGAGAAAAGAGTATTGTTCGTTGGGCGCAAGTTGGGGCCACTTTGGGACTTGGTCCGAGAGGATCTGATAAAAGCGTCTCGCTGTGAGGGAGAGAGCCAGCTTTGACTCTGGTGGGAGATAAGGGAAAATGTGCAAGAGTAGTTCTGGGGGGAGGGTCGGAAGGGAGGGTACTGGTGGTGGTGGTGGGATGCAGGGGTACATGATGCCAAAGGACCGCGTTTCAAATCTCAAAGGGGTCCAAGATCAGAGGAACTTGTGGACTCGTGAAGCTATCGAGATAAAGCTCACAGAGTCTTCGCAGTTGGTTGAGAATCAATTCACAATGTCTTTGATTTGAAGAAGGATGATAGGGACCCTGCGTCCTTTATGTAGCTCTATACTCCGTACTCCGTACATATGTATCCGTTCAGGAACAAGCCACCATGCTCTCCTTTTGCTGATGATGCCAGGTCAGCCTGAACGACCAATAAAAGGCATCTCAATATATTAACTCTGGTGGCTCGTCATATCTTGGGATCAAGACGGGATGAGCCCCATCAGCGCCAGAGAGGCTCTGATGGTTGTTCACTTGCAACCACTGCTCCAGAGTGGAGTTCCTTGATACACATTTCCGATGCTGGCATGCAGGAAAATCAAATCAGCGGGCAAGCAAAGCGCAGAGCCAATGAATTTACGCTGCCTAAATCAGGCAGAGCAAATGGAGCTGAGGTCCAGCGAGGTTCAAGCAGGGTTCAGCGGTAGCAAGCTAAGCTTGAAGAAGGTTAGTGAGCTGATTTTGCGCCCGCCGAGGTTGTCCCGTCTCATGTTGCAAGGTCAATGTCGCTCTCTTATGCAGGCGAATTCGGTCCCGCACTCTTTGATTCAAAAATAAAAAGAAAAGAAAAGAAAGAAAGAAGGAAAGAAAACATCCAAGGATTGCTTTGTTGTGATCCTCCTCGAGAAATGAGGCTGCCTGTCCGGCGTTGTTACTCGGACGGGGCCGGTGGAGCATTGCTTACCTAAGAAATACTTGCTGCGTAGCTGGACTGTTTACCTCTCCGTATTATGCTTACTCAGCACACACCGGCGCCAAGTTGCGCTAGTCTATATCAAGACTAGCGCATTTGCAGCTCAACACGAAATCTTCTTCCGTCGCGATTCGAAGCTCAACACCAATTCTCCCACCGTTAAAAAACGCCCGCGACAACAAGCAACAGCACTACCACCACCACTGACATCGCCAAGTCATCGTTCGCCATGGTTTCGACATATAAGTTGGAAGAAGAGCTCATCAGGAAAGCTTCGGAGGAATACAGCCAGAGGACATGCGCTAACGAGAAGGTCAGCGTTGCCACCCTGGCGCGCGAATATAAAGTCTCCTACCACCGTCTTCGTCGCCGAATCCTCAACGTTCCCTCGCGCTCCACCCGCAAGAGAACCAACCTCAGACTGACCGAGGAGCAATACAAGGCTCTGTACGAGTACCTCGAGCTGCTGGGGAAAGAGGGAACATCCGTCACTCCGCAGATGCTCAGAGACACAGCCAACTCCATCCTGCGAGAGAGCCATACAGACCCCAATACTCCTCCCCCTACTGTCGGAAAGGGCTGGCAATATCGTTTTATCGAAATGCACCCACACTACTTTCCAAATATCAAGGTTCGGAAAAATGAATCCAGACTCGGCCCGCTAAGAGACAGCCTCACCAGCTAGGTGGACCAGACAACTTGACCCTCTTTCAACCCTTCTGGCCAAGAGCCCCATGGCCTAATAATCGATGCTAACACGAGGGACCCTCACCCACACCCACTCTATGTATTGCACCTCCCGAAACTCACTCTGGGAGGGAGCGCACCGAATTTTCTCGAGCGACCAAAAGGTTCACCGGTTATCCTTCCATTCCAAAAGGAAAACCAACTCTCGAACAAACTTGAAAACCACCTTCATTCTTACATTAATTCTATCCCCTAGTGCCGGGATAGGTGACCTGCCACTCCACGAATTATGTGTTCAAATTTCGCCGATATTCGAGACATTTGAGGTCTTCAAGCCTCATTCACTTTCCCGGAATCAGTCGCGATTGAGTCTAACCAAGTGAACCCCTGCGGCTCTCACAACGTGCGCCCTGAATTTTTCAAGTTCACAAAATTACCGAGATCGACAAGTAGGGCCATTCAACTTCCCTCCTTGAGTTAGGGAATAACCTCTCCCATCATAACCACGAGCAGGATTCGGAAAGCGTCCTTGCAACCCCCCGTTCTGCTGGCATTCTCGATAAGATTGCCATGTCAGATAATTTCTCCAAAGCATCAGAGGTTCGGCGGTAACTCCCCCCCAGGGATGCTGTCCCCCATCTCACGTTAAATAGTTTCTTTTGAAACCGAATACGTGAGGTGCTGAACTTCAATTGGGCCGCAACAGGAGTCAATCATCCTCCTTTTCTTCTCGTTATAATTGGAGAAGAACACCCCTTGCACTTGCAGCTAAATTTGGCATTCCCACCTTGGCGATCAGGTGACATGCTGCGGTTTTCAACCCGCGTTGTTGAAGGTTTCACGGCCCAACAAGCACAATCGCATTTCTCTAGCCTGTGCTTGGTGTTGATCCTGCTGGCATTGGCCTCTTCCGCCAATGCGGGCCGTTCCGTGAAGGCCCAATCCGCCGACGGGCGAACACCAGGTCCAGACAGTCGGGTCCCAAAATCCAGAACCTGAGGAGTGCCAGGGTTGTCCCGCCTTATAACCAATTGTGTGGCCCCCGGGTTTGACGCCATGTTAGGTCAACTTTGCCTGCGAACCCATCTCACAGCGGCAACCCAAACGATAGTGCTCATACGTTAATGCATTATGGATTCTAACCATCATGATTTACGCCTTCTCTCTATTGACGGAGGCGGAGTCCGCGGTCTCTCCAGCCTCCTCATCCTACAGCGTATAATATATGTTCTGGAAATTAAACTCGGGCCCGATGCCAAACGACCCTTGCGGCTATGCGACTATTTCGATATAATAGCCGGCACGTCCACTGGTGGCCTTATTGCTATCATGTTGGGAACACTCGGCATGACCATTGATGAATGTATAGTTGCCTACTTGGATTTGGCCCCGAAAATATTCCCCTTTCAAGGCTTCTTGTCAGACAACAAGTTTCGCAGGCTTTTGAGACAGATTCGAAGCGCTGCAAGATTCGACGCCACAATACTAGAAAAAGAGTTAAAAGATCTGATATCACACAGCATTTGAAGCAGTGCGCCGATGTTTAATTCGACAAGGTTCAAACCCCTCCAAGCAACTGTCGCGTGTATGTTTGGATTGCGTGGTGTTCTCAAGTGACAAGCGACTGACTTCATGTAGCTTTGTTTGTGCCACTCGAGGAATTGTCCACACACCAGTCCTCCTTCGAAGCTATCCGAGCAAATGGGAACCTAACACGGGATGTACAATTTGGCAAGCTGCACGAGCGACCTCGGCAGCCCCATTGTACTTCAACGGTATAAAATTTGGCGTTCCTCCAATAACTTACGTCGATGGTGGCCTGCATAATAATAACCCTGTACGCATCCTCTATGAGGAGGCCATGGGCTTAATAAATGCCTCAAGTGGTCAAACCATCGGCTGCATAGTCAACACTGGCAATGGATTACCGCCGTTACGTGATCTGGGGATGCCGTTCCTCTTTCCTTTCGCCCTCTTGATTCTAAGCCGGATAGTGTGTTCCTCTTCAGAATATGTACTTTGATCTAGTGAATCCCTTCATTGGGGCAGATGGAGGAAGTGTGATATGTAGAACGCGCATTAAAGTATACCCTAACAGCCCGCCTAATTCCCTGTAGCTGGCTATCTCGAGGTTGAGCTTTGCCGCTGCAGATTCTCTGTTATAGATAAAGCTGCACCATAGATCAGTGGGAGCCCAACCGCCTCTCCTGGTTATTTCTAGCTGGAATGAAATACGTCTATTCTGGCAGAAATGTCCGTATCAAACCGCACTGCACTATACAGATTTACCGTTCCAGATACCTCGGTTGTCTCACAGAGTACGTTCTCTTATACTACTGGAGTTGAATGATCATCCGCACTCGCGCCACCAAGTCTCCGTTGATGTAAAAACAGACCAGATCACAGAGAACAAAACTTTTAGCGCCGGTTTTGGCACAGGGCTATAAATTATTCATTTTTGTGTTGATTTTGTGGTACTTTATTCAGGAACCAGGAGCTTTCGTCAACAATCGTGCTGGAATGTCTCTCAAATCAATTGAAATAGTTCAGGGCAGCCTTGAGCCTTCAGTCCTAGCCAGCGCATTTGTACAATTCTCCCCATCCTCTGACGAGTGAATATATGCACCCATTGGTGTAAGTTTCGTTGGCATCGGCCAGGCTTGCAGCAACGCAGAGAGGGAGCTAGCTGACTTCAACTTTGACAAAATATTCTCCCTAGCAAGGGATGCTTGGGGCCGGAAGCTTGATGTTATTAAAGTCACAACTAGCAAAGTATCGGGTGATATGGAGAAAGATCAGCTGTAGGCCATTAATGGGACGAACAGTGGGTTTGTCGAGTTTTTCTAACCACGATATCTTAATGGGGCCTGGGGATTTCAAGACCCAGCTTTCTGCAGCCCGCTATTAAAATTTAAATTTTGCTTTTTTAACTCAGACAGACCTGAGAGCTATGAAAGTGGTAGCTGGTTCTATACCATGTGGGGAGACAACTTCCTCTCTTCGTGTCTTGCAAATACTTATCACTTGATATCTAATTTTGTTCCTCAAGACATGGCTACACTAATCGAAGTCCTCAGTGGGTCACAACAATTCATCGATCGCCTTACATACTTCCACGAATCTGGGCTCTGATATATGGGTGACGAATAGTCATTTTTAACCATTTGCCGGCTCCACTACGCTGGCCGTCCGGAAGTTTCTGCACGTCGGGTGCATAAATACGTTTGTCCTCTTTTCTACAATGACCCCAAAGGAATACCCGAGAACGACGACGGCGGCGTCATGGGATTTTTCTTGCGCTTGCAATGATAGACTATATCCCGTTCATGGCGAGAATGTATATTTGATTATGCCGCCCTTCTTCCAGGGCGTTAGCATCAAGAACTCAAGCAAGGGAGATTTCACCGTCATTGGAAATAGTAATTTCGATACTGGATATGAAAACATATATTTACGAAGTCTGAAGGGGGATGGAAATGCTTGGATGAATAATTGGATCCGACACGACTTCTTCTCGGGTGATGGAGTATTAGAGCTCACCTTGGAGGCCTACGAAAGTGCTTGGTGGGACAAGCAACGAAGATTTACCTCCCAGCCTCCCAAGTTGGTTTTGGGGGGGGGTGTGTTTTCAGAATGATACTGATAATGGAGCAGCATATTTGAGACGACTCTTCAAGCAGTTCCCAAATTGGGTGTCCATCTTGATTGAGCCATCCTGATGTGGTCGATAGCATTGAACGTGTTGGAACCCCGACAATTTTTTTCTTTTTAAAAAAAAAAAAAAAAAAAAAAAAAAAAAAAAAAAAAAAAAAAAAAATTTCCTTAATACAAAGTTAAGCGGATCATATCCATGATGAAATGCCAATAAATTCCACAAGGTATACACTATTTACTCTTATTCGCTATGTATACAGTCCGTACGTGCTTGTACACACCAAGAGGGGATATGATGATGTATAGAGAAAGAAGATATTAAAAAGGATAGACATATAGAGTCAGCCAAAACATGCCGCTAGGTATGCAAGGAAGCATGCGGAAGAAATATAGTTTTCAGGCTCAGAAATAGTTAGATTGTCTCGAAAAGGATATTCATGGAAGACAGCGCTCGCTTACTAGCGATGGGCTGGACTCTTGAACAAAAGGAATAAGTCTCTGTCGAGAGGAATTGAGGTAGGGGTATATTCCAGAAACAGGCACAAGAAAAGATATTCTCCTGGTTTTGTTGTCAAGAATGTTGTTGAACAAGGAGACTTCCTAAAAGAAAATGGACAAAAAGACAAAGAATGAAGTGAAGAGTAGATTATACAAGATGCCAAGTGCCTTGCGACACGTGAACATCTAATCATCTCGAAAGAAAAGAAAAGAATCGGAAAAGAAGGGCGGATTATCGAAGGCCCACAACCAAAAAAGGGGAGGAGACGTGGAACGTCTCTTACTTTGATTCCACAATTGATATATTCCCAGACGATAATGTTCGCTTTGTCCATCCGCTGAAAAAGCCGCCGCCACCGGTGCCCCCACCCCCGCCGGCACTAACTGCTGAACTTCCATTTGAATTGGGAGTTCGAGGTGTCGTCGAGGACGATCCCCATCCAGTTGACAGGTGCATGGTTCCCGCCGGCATCGTAGCAGCAGTGGAAAGGCCAATGCCCGATTTGGACATGAGTTTTCGAAGGTTTTCCAGTTTTGCTTTGACTTCGTCGAGTTCTTGACGGGCGATGGCTTCAGATGTCTTGGCATTGACGAGCTCTGCGAGCAGGGAGTCTTCATCGGCGTTATCGGGTGGAGTGAAGAAAGTCGGGGCGCCGAGGGAGCTAGTGCGTTTGGCGAAAGTAGCTGCTTTGGGAGACGTCGCCTGAGTAGAAAATGTGCTGATGGTGGAAGCTTTACCGAGTTTGAATTCGCGAAGACCCGAGGTGGAAGCCCGATTGTCGTCAGCGGTGGACTGGGGTCGGTCGGAGGTGTTGGAGGGAGGTTGTTTGCGAGATCGCAGTTCCTGGATGGTGCGCTCGAGACGTTGCTTGTCCCTGTGGGCATCCTGGATGCGCGAGCGGGCGTCACGGAGTTGCTCTTTTAACTGGTTATTTTCGTGCTCGTGGTCGTCGATTGTGCGACTCAAGTTTTGACATCGGGCGAGCTCGATTTCGTACTTCTCTCGCCACAAGGCGATATCGTCTCGAAGCTGCTGTTTGGTTTGCTGCATAGACAGCCGGCGGGATTCAGTAGTAGAGAAGCGGCTGTTCGCTTTAGCGATAAGGTCAACGGCCTGTTCATCTTCCGGCTGTTCTTTGATATATCCCAACATTAATTTAGCCAGTTGTTGGTCTTCCTCGCGCTCTTCACGTTCCTTTTGCAGTTCCTTAGCCAGAGTTGCATGCTCGCGCTGCATGTCTGTCAATGCGATAAGCAGGTCCTCGATTTGAGTATGCAGATCCTTGTCTTTGTTCTGCATGGTCGACTTTTGCTTGCGCTTACTGCCGTCCGATGAAAGCTCTGTTGGGGCTGTGCTAGCATCGGAAGTTGACTCGAAAGAGTTCAGGGTGGACGCCATGCTCTGCTTGGACGGTGTACGGCGAACCGCGGATGGGCTAAATGGCGTTCCAGGGTTGAGCACAAGTGACTTGGTGGAATTGTGAGCATTCGACCCCGCCCATAATCGCCCTAAAAACCGAGAAGCAACAGCTTGTAGCTGCGGGAGATAAACATTAGACGAAGATCCTTGGGATTCTTTGTAGCTCGCTTCTAGCGCTTGAAGGCTCTCTCGAGTCACGAGGGACGTGAGAGAGACAAAGTCGTTAACAAGGTCGTCCGCGTTGCAGCAGTACCTATATTTGAGTCAGTATTTTTCCTAGCGACGGAGGGCTGGAAAAAGGACGCGTACGGATCCCAAATGCTCCTCGATAGGAGAAGTTGCATGACGTCCTCAAATTCGTGACACGCCAGGAGTTTCTTTTCGTTTCGTTGCATCAACGAAAGTCCAACGCGCATCAGAGTCTCGCAAGCACCCTCGAGAAGCAGAACATCGTAAATACGGAGCAGCATTGGAAGTGGACAGGTCACGGCGAAAAAGGACAGAAACCATTGCGACACGTAGACAGGCTCGACATTGAGTGCTTCAAGGTGCGCATGAAGATTCGGTCGATGACGGGAGAGCAGCGTCTGGAACTGATAGATGCGCAAGTGGAGGCCAGATAAAGTAGGCAGGAAGCACGATCGGAGATCATAATGGTCCATAAGCCTGAGAAATCGTCAGTGGTAAACGATGAAGAACTAAGAAGAAGGGAAAGTTGGCTCACCTAACGAGCACAGAGAAGGCCTCCGCTTCGCTCATGTGCATCAAAAGAGGACCAACGACGAATCCAAGGCCCTGGCAGTACCCGATCTTTGTGTCATGGAGACTAAAGCATTTTAGAACTTTGGCCAACATCTGCTGACCCTCGCCGTTGGGGTCCCTAAACATCTCCACGTTGGGAAAGCTTCTGCCGATATCCTTGCCGATGAGACCTTCATACGGGCTGGATTCGCCGCTCAGCTTGTCAAATTCTTCCTGGAGTGCCACATCTCTAGCACCAGCGATGCTAGGCCAGACAACGCCCCGTAGAGGTGGAGGCACGCCTCCTCGAATCTTGTTGGACGTGAGCGTAGGGAGCCTCTGGGCCGTTCGGGGATAGTCTGCGACGAGGGCAGCCCAGAACTCCAGTTCGGTCATCTGAGGGGTTGGGAGTTGCGAGTATCGGAGCGACGACCGAGGATCGTTGACCAGTTTCTTGAGCTGGTGGATGGAGGGTGGCCTGGACGAGCGCCTGGGCTTTGGACTGCCGGACAGCGCTGATTTGGGGTCGGTCGCGAGGGCATCGTTCTCCTGTTCCAATCTTGCCAGGAGCAGAGCGGTCGACTAATAACCGGATTAATCTTTCTTTCCTATTCACAATCAAAAAGGGACAATGGAATGTCAATCACTGACGGCGTCATCCGCTGGGCCTGACTTCGACTGCAGCTCTTCGGTTTTTTCCAGCTCTACCCAGTCCACAGACCTGGCATCGTCCATCTCCTTATTCTCGACAGTCTCGCTTGCGACCGCAGACACGGAAGATTCCCTCCTAGACGATGCATCTGAACCAATATGGCCTGATCCAATCTCATCGTCGAGGGTGATCACTTTTGCTTCTGCATCTGCTTCGCTGCAGGGACTGGCCGGAGAGATAGAGGTAATTTCCGAGAATCTGCGGTCAAGATCTATCTCCCTCGGGCTAGGCTGGAGGTCCGAAAGGGGCACGGTGACCATGGAATCCGTTGGGAGGCGCTCACGAGCTGGATCCTCGATGCTGAGCGAGGGGGGTCTAGAGGCCCGTTCCGGCGTGGATTCCATTGCTCTCTTGCTTTTCTTTTCCTCTTCTCTCTCTCTCTCTTTTTTTTCTTTTTCTTTTTCTTTTTTTTCTTTTTTTTTTCCCAGGCAACACCTTGTCTACCCTCAGGCTTCGATAGGTGCGGTCAATGCATGAACGGCGCCTTTTGTTCGAAAGTGGCAGAGGGGCGTTGTGAATTAAAGGGGAGGGCGGGGAGGGAGGGATCAACGGCGAGCAGCTATAAATAATATGTTTTGTCTGTTGAAAAAGAAGAGGCCTTGATGCCTCTAGATGTATACAGTAATGACTGGAAATGCCGACAACGGCACGAGCAAAGACAGGTGCAAATTAGGAGCGCAAGGTGCCGCCAGCGACAGGGTGGTTTTCGACTGGTGATCTCGACGAAGAGTGCCGGCTCGACTGGGTCTCCTGGCAAGCTCGTCTTTTGAGTCTCATCGTCGGCCCCGTCAGGGGTTCGCGGCTTGGCGGGCCGCTCGCTAGTCCAGAACGGTCTTGGACGGGGGCGAGCGGAGCGTCGAACTGCTCTCATGACGGGAGGGGGAGGGGACGAGAGAGAGTTCCACGTCCATAGGGAACGGTTGTTCCTCAATATATACGGGAGTAGGTACGGAGTCTGGACTTTATATTCTTTTCTCCGCTGTCAGATGGCATCAGTGGCCCAGCACCGGATCATCCACGCACGCAGATGGCTACGACCGAACTACATGCACTGTCGAACTCCAAGGCTCTTCCCCCCCGATCGTGGCATTTGTCAGGCCGTCACCATATACGAAGCAGGAGTTCTCCGCATGGAGAGTTGTCGGATGCGACGAGCAGATGCTCAAACCCGCCCCGTTCACACGCGAGATGTTTTGGGGGGAGACAATGATGTGGAGCGTGCAGCTCAGTCAATGCCACCCGGTCCCCCCACACGTCCGCGCTTAATGCCTGCGGCTGCACTTTTGTATATCATCAGTACGGAGTAAACACTCTGTCAAAAGTGGCTTCTACGTGAGTTCTCGCCCGCTGTTTCGTCTGCTGCCAAGGGAGCTCGAGCTTGAGGCTGAAAATCGGACGGGAAAAAAAAAAAAAAAAAAAAAAAAAAGTCGGCGCGGAGAAATGTAAATCCACGGTTGTGTTTTCATCTTTCCTTTTCCGGTCTAGACTTATTTGGAAGATTGATGTTCCGCGTCGGCTAGTCCTAAAGCGGACTAGCGTGTTTCAGCCTAGGCGCGTCCAGGGGCCGCCGAGAGAGGAAAACACGGCGGGAAGGGGAAAAAAATAAAGTCAACAACAAACAACAAACAACAAACACAGGGACCAGCCAGCGCTTCCGCTCTCTTCGCCGCCCACGCTCGCTGCAAACACCATGAAAGCCGCCGCTGGGCTGTCCTGAATCGAGCCGGCGCAGTGTCCTTCACTCGCATCCCAACCCCTCGCCCAATCTCTCTCTTTTTTTTCGTGATCGTCATCGACTGATCATGGACTCCCCTATCGACTCCGTCTTTGAGGATGAGAGCGCGAGCTCTGACTTTATGCCGGACCCCGCGCCCGTAAGCCCTCTCCTTCTCCCTCACTGGGTGCCCCACCCCACCACTTCCACACTGACCTCGAGAGACTAGAAAGCCAGGGCAAAGCCGAAAACGACCGCCGCGAAGAAGACTTCCACGGCAAAGGCTCCCGCAAAGAAAGCAACTCAGACTACGCTCAAGGTCAAAGCCGCCTCCAAGTCGACCGGCGTGAAGAAGCGCCCTCAAAAAGAACCCGAAAACGATGTCTCGAGCGATGAAGATGTCGACATGCTGGACGATGATTCGCTCCTCTCGAACACGCCGCCCAAGCCCGTCAAGAAGGGTAAGGCCGTAGGGGCCGCCAAAAAATCTACGGCCAACCCCCTTTCGACTGTGCAAAATGAATCGGTCACGAACGAGGCGAGCAGTGGAAAGTCCAGCGACCAATATCAAAAGGTGCTTCCCAGACAATCCCTCTCCCCCGGTGGCCCCCCCCCCCCGGGAACTTCAGAGCTAACAGGAGGCCTAGCTTTCCCAAGTCGAACACATCATCAAACGCCCCGACACGTACATCGGTTCCATCGAACGCACCCAGCAGAACATGTGGGTTTACAACTCGACCACCGATCAGATGGAATACCGCGAGGTCTCTTACGTCCCCGGTCTCTATAAGATATTTGATGAGATCCTGGTCAACGCTGCCGATAACAAGCAGAGAGACAACAACATGAGTGAGATAAAAGTCACTCTCGATATGGAAGCCGGAGAAATTAGCGTGTGGAACAATGGTCGTGGTATTCCAGTCGAGATCCACTCGGTATGTCATCTCTCATATTCCTTGGCATCCGCGGCCAGCTGTTGACCAATTGACCAGAAAGAAAAAATCTACATCCCGGAACTGATCTTCGGGCACCTGTTGACGTCCTCAAATTACGATGATGAGCAAGCAAAGGTTACCGGCGGTCGAAATGGGTACGGCGCCAAGCTTTGTAACATATTCAGCACCGAGTTTACCGTCGAGACAGCTGATTCAAGGTCCAAGAAGAAGTACAGGCAGACGTGGCAAGATAACATGTCCAAGATGAGAAAGGCCAAGATTACAGAATCCAAAGGGAATGATTACACAAAGATCACCTTTAAACCTGATTTCAAGAAATTTGGAATGGAAGGGATGGACGCAGATTTTGAAGCCCTGGTGAAGCGCCGCGTCTATGACTTGGCAGGTACCTGCCGAGTCACCGTCAGGCTGAACGGCTCAAGAATTCCCATCAGCAACTTCAAAAAGTACATGGAAATGTATACCAAGGCCATCAAACGCGAGCGCGGAGAGGAGGCCGCCTCAGACAAGAGCGAGATCGTAACAGACAGCACCGAGCCCCGATGGGAGATTGGCTTCGCTGTGTCGGATGGCTCGTTCCAACAGGTGTCCTTTGTCAATTCAATAGCAACTACGTCTGGCGGAACCCATGTCAACTATATCAGTGATCAGATCTGCTCTAAATTAGCGGATGCCGTGAAGAAAAAGAACAAGACCGGACCCCTCTTGAAGCCTGCGCAAATACGCAACCATATATTTCTGTTTGTAAATTGTCTGATCGTTAATCCGGCATTTACCTCCCAAACAAAGGAACAATTGACCACAAAGCAAAGTCAGTTCGGGAGCAAATGCGTCCTCTCGGAAGAATTCTTGAAGAAGATTTTGAAAACACAGGTCATGCAGAACATCATGCATTTTGCGGAGCAAAAAGCGGACCAAATCCTCAAGAAAACTGACGGAAGTCGTCGTGCCCGTATGAATAACCCGAAGCTTACGGACGCCAACAAAGCGGGAACAAAGGAAGGCCACCACTGTACGCTCATTCTCACCGAAGGAGATTCCGCCAAGGGCCTTGCGATGGCTGGCAGAGCGGTTGTCGGTCCTGATCTCTTTGGTGTTTTCCCGCTGCGGGGAAAGCTACTCAATGTTCGCGATGCGTCCGTTGACCAGATATCCAAGAACCAGGAAATTCAAAATATCAAAAACTTCCTTGGTTTGCAGCACAAGAAAGAGTATACTGACACGCGGGGCCTTCGCTATGGCCATCTCATGATCATGACAGATCAGGATCATGACGGAAGCCACATCAAAGGTCTACTGATCAATTACCTTCAGGTGGCTTTCCCCAGCCTGCTCAAGATCCCCGGTTTCTTGATCGAATTCATTACTCCAATCGTTAAGGTTTGGAAAGGCGATCCCAAGAACCCTACTGCGTCCAAATCGTTCTTCACCCTACCCGAATATGAAGAATGGAAAAAATCTCACGGCCACGATCGCAGGTGGGACAAGAAGTACTACAAGGGTCTGGGCACCAGTTCAACGGAGGACGCCGAGGTGTACTTCCGAGACTTGGATAGACACTTGAAGGAGTTCCACGCCATGCAAGACAATGAAGCGCAGTTGATCGACCTCGCCTTCTCCAAGAAGAAAGCAGATGACCGGAAAGAATGGCTCCGCCAATTCAAACCTGGCACCTATCTCGACCATTCCGTCGATAAAATCACGTACACTGATTTTATTAACAAAGAACTGATCTTGTTCAGCATGGCGGATAATATTCGTTCGATTCCCTCGGTTGTGGATGGGTTGAAACCTGGGCAGCGAAAAGTTCTGTATGCCATGTTTAAGCGTAACGTGAAGAAGGACATGAAGGTTGTTGAGCTTGGTGGTTACGTATCTGGCATGACAGCCTATCAGCACGGCGAAGCTTCCCTTCAGCAGACTATTGTTGGCCTTGCACAGACGTTTGTTGGATCGAATAACGTGAATTGCCTGGAGCCCAGCGGCAATTTCGGTAGTCGTCTTCAAGGAGGCTCCGATTGCGCCAGTGCCCGTTACATCCATACCAGACTTTCGCCATTTGCAAGACGCATATTCCATGCCGCCGACGAACCTTTGCTGAAGAGCAACATCGACGACGGCAAGGTTATTGAACCCGAGGTTTATGTCCCTGTTGTACCGATGATTCTGATAAATGGTGCCGATGGTATTGGCACTGGCTGGAGTACATCTATCCCGAACTTTAACCCCGAAGACATTGTAGCCAATTTGAGGCGTCTGATGGATGGTGAATCTCTCGTGCCGATGAAACCATGGTTCCGTGGATTTACCGGCGAAGTAACAGCGTCGGGGGATCGATACAAGTTTAGCGGAATTATCAAGCAGACCGGTGATTGTGAGGTCGAGATCACCGAGCTTCCTATCAGAACTTGGACTCAAGATTTCAAGGATAAGCTGGAGGAGATCATCAAGGCCGAGAAAGCACCGTCCTTTATCAAGGACTATAAGGATTACAACACACATAGCAAAGTCCATTTTATCATACAGATGGATGAGAAGCACATGAAGAAGGCGCTTGAAGATGGCCTTGAAGAGAGATTCAAGCTATCGAAGACCATTGCCACGACAAATATGGTGGCATTCGACGCGGAAGGGCGGATCACAAAATATGACACTGCGGAGGACATTTTAAAAGCTTTCTATGCCGTACGAATCAGGTTCTACGAGAAACGAAAGGTATATAATATCAAGCAAATCAAATCTTTGATCCTGTGTACAAATAACACTGACATTTCGTTTAGCAACATCTACTCGCTCAGTTGCACAAGGAACTGGATAAATTCACCAATCAAGCCAGATTCGTACAAATGATCATCGACGGCAAACTTGTCATCTCCAAAAAGCGAAAGGCCAAGCTGATCGAGGAATTAAAAGAAAAGGGATTCAAGCCCATTCCAAAGGCAGTCGACGCAGCCAAAGAGGGTGAAAACGAGCCGGCTGTTGAAGAAGAAGAAGAGAGCGAAGAAGATGAGCAACTCAGCTCAGACGTCTTCGACTACCTGCTTGGTGTAAGTATGGCCGAACCACAGTTGGCTTGGTAAAATTAAATTAACTTTGTGTGCTCAGATGCCCTTGTGGTCGTTGACCCAAGAACGAGTTGAGAAGTTGCTTCGTCAAATTGGCGACAAAGAACTTGAGATAGACGCGCTCATTAAGTTATCGAAGGAAGACCTCTGGAAACGGGATCTGGATGAATTCATAACTGAATGGAGAAACCAACTCGAAGATGAGGAACGGCGAGCCAAGAAAGCTCGAAGCTACGGCAGACGCACTTCAACGAAACTCAAGACGGCAGGTCGCGGCCCCGCAGGTAAGAAACGAAAAGCACTTGGGGATGATGACGATAGCGACTTCGCACCTAAGGCAAAGAAGGCGACAGTAGTAAATAAAGTGAAACCCAAGGGCGGACTCCTCGACTATCTCAGCAAACCTGCCGCAAAATCGAAAACAAAAGCCACGCGCCTTGATAGTACTAGTGAGACTGAGGATTTTGAAGCAGAAGTCATACCGCAGAAGAAATCGAGAGCCGCTTCGAACAAAAAACCAGAGGCGGCTACTACATTTGCCTTCAGTGACTCAGAAGATGATAAAGACGACATCCTTTCTAAGGAGACGGACGAGAAGGCACGGGAACCCGCCAGGCCTCCGTCGCCGGACATTCCAGCAATCTCAGATAGCGATGACTATAAACCCAAGCCAGCAAAGAAAGCGACCGCTGTGTCCAAGAAGGCTCCAAAGGAGCATGACGATTCTGACATTGAAATTGTTCCAAAGCCACGCCAGCGAGCAGCTCGCACAAACCGAAAGCCTATCGTATATGATTCCAGCTCGTCTGAGAGCGACAACGGCGATGACTTGCTCGGTGATGTTAGCAAAATGGTCAAAGGCCTAGATTCTAAGAGCGCAGATCCGGTCTCAGGATCCCCCACACTTTTCTCTTCCGAATATTCACGGCCTGGCGCCGGTGTCGGATCCAAACCAGCTCCCAAGGCGCTAAAGGCCAGCACGGAGTTTGATCTCGACGAAACAGATTATTCGAAGCTAATTCCACTGAACTCGCCGCGCCGCTCTCTCCTCGTTAAGCCCAAGGATGGAAAAGATACAAAGATGGATTTAGATGAGGAAGCGAAGCCCGTGCCCGAAAAGGCTAAGCCAGCGGTTACAAAAGCCAAGCCTGCACCTAAGGCATCAGCGAAGACGACCAAGGTAGCATCCTCGGCTGGAACCCGTACGACTACTCAAAGGGCGCCGACGAAGCGTGCAGCAGCGTCTACGAAGCAGTTGCAACTATCTCCAGCAGCTAAAGCCTACGCCTCCAAGAAATCCAAAACAAGCAAGGCACTGGCTGACGGCTTTTCGGACGATGATATCGATGCAATGGCCAATGACATTCTCGATTCATCTGGATCCGAAGATGAAGTGGCCGCCAAAGCTCCGGCTGCAGCTCCCGCAAGGGGGCGGCCGGCGCGTCGTGCAGCCGCAACGGCGAAGAAGCCAACCTACGTAATCGATGATGACAGTGAAGATGGAATCCCTAGCGCCTCTTCCAGTGATGATTTTTCTGACATTTAACGGGTAGTATTGGGTGGGCGCATTACCTGGATGGGGGTATTTTATGGGGTTGGGCCGGTGGGGACTGGTCGGACATTGGTGGATGAACAGGTTTAACTTACAGCAGACACAGGTTTCATTCGTCCTTTTGCCCTGGATCAGAGTTTATCTGTCCTCAGTATTGATATGTGGCCTTTCATGTGTATTTTGTGGGTTTTATACGTATACTACCCAAGCAAATATTATTCTTGCCCATCCCTTACCCGAGCCATCTGCGTAGATTTCCCCTCTTGTCTCTGTATAATAATACTACAGGAATCTTATACTCAGGGACCTAGCTTCGCATGGCTTGGTTCCGCTGTAACCAATGCAGACGCCCGGTCCCGCTGTTACGGGAACCGTGGGGAAGAAAAGAAAAGGAAAGGAAAATACCGCCATGCATTTCGTAGAGACAGGGGCGGTTAGTTACATGCATGTTGCCCGCTTTCACGCCTGATTGGTCACTGCTGTGCATTTCTTGACGGGCGAAAAGGGTTCACCAGACTAGAGTCAAGTTCTTCTCTAGAACCGTAAAATTATTCTGCACTGGCTCAGTAACTCGAATATTTGACAAGGTATGTGCATATGTACACAGTATGAAGGTGACTGTTAAGTGATAAGTAAGTTAGCTCACGCATCCCAGGAAGGTCAATTTCCATGACGGTCCCAAGTTGCGGTTTCGTAGCTTCTTGACCCGCACGCTGGTTTGATTACATGCTCGGTCGGCACAAGCAAAGGTCAAATAACCCGTTAGCCAGAATGAAAAATGGAAAAATGGAAAATGGAAAATGGAAAATGGAAAAGAAAAAGAAAAGAAAAGGTATCCTATCGTCTCTATGGCATATGACGGTGTGCGCTGCGACTGGAGGAAAAAGGTCGAGCCGGGCGGAAAGTTTCCTGTTCAGGGATGGTCGACATCACACCTTAATTCAACTTCATCTCGCCGTTTCTTCCTCTTCTTCTTCTTTATTTTCTTCTTCCCTCTCCCACTCGACCACCAGCCTATTCCATTGACATCGCAATTGATCCCAGAGACTTACATCCGTCATCCGCCCTGACTCACATTTCGTTCCACAAACAGTGGCAAAAGCAGTTCGACTCCACCCTGTCGCGATGCTCCGCGTGGAGAGCTAAAGTGAGCTTCCACCCCATTCTGCCGGAGCCGCTATTCGCCGTCCCTTGCTGGCAGACGGATAAGACACCGCCCCGGATTTCACTGCGGCAGTGTCATCGGCTGTTTGCTCCTTTCTTTTTCTTTTTTTTCTTCCTTTTTTTTGGGGAGATTTCTGAATGGATGAAGCTTTCGCGGCCATAGGAGCTTGCTTCCCTTGACAGAACAGAAATTAGCTTCTTAAACCAAGTAAAGAAGCTAGGCTGTTTCAGCATTTCTGGACAGTATCACGGAGAAGCTATCGTGGGAGCTAAATAATATACCGTCAAGTTCCCGCCAATATGGGCTTTGACATGTGGTCTGAATGAGACCTGAGTGGAAAGACACAAAGCGGATGGGAACTATGTTTCATGATGCTTTCTAGAACCTTTTTTCCTTCTTTGTGAATTTGTCCATTCGCCCCCTGATTTTATTAGGCACGGCTCTTCAATCCGCCCCTTTTCGGTTGGTGGGCATGTGGGTGGGGATTTTCTGCCGTTGAGACTTTCCACGGGTGATTGCATCGAAGAGAATTCTGGATGCATGGAAGAATACTTCCCACGCGATCTCGTTTTCTGTGAGGAACTTACCTTGCTCTTAGAAACCCTGGACGAACGGCCCGGGAAGCTGTGTGCCCGGTTTTCGTCTGGAACAAACGCGGCAAGCCAACGGGATCGAAAATGAGAGCGCAGCCGGCCGTTCATTCCCTGGACTAGACCTAGTCTTTGGTTGTGGATGTCTAGCGGGTCTGGTGCGTAAGTACCACTTCCTTTGAATCCGGGGTAATCAGGTTGCACCGATCAGATTATACCGTTTTCTCCCTGGCTGTTTGTGTATCCTGCATTCACGGGGAAAGGCGGGAATAAAAGAGCAGGGAAGAGGCGAATGAGAATTGTGGGTGCCATGGTTTTAGGCCTACGTTTCCTTGAGCTGTAGGAATTCTCCGATTGGCTCGTTTTATCTGTCCGGTTTCTCTTCAGTCTTACGTTTCGGGACAGTTGAATTGGATCTGTGGGTATGAAATGCAATTTTCCGTGACACGAGTTGCGAGACTGCAATGTTCCGCACGCATTTCAAGCTTGAGGCTTTGTTAGACCATTCCGTCTAGCATCAACGCCCATAGGTATGGAGTACTTCACCATCGCCACGCTTGCTCCTAGGCCATCCTGAGCGGTTATGGGCCGATATAACAACATACGAAACGGAGATCCCGAGATTTTGCTTCTGGAAATTTAGATCTCGAACATCTTTGCGTATCCCCTGATTCTTGCAGCACGCTGGCTATCCTCTAACATCTCTGCTGGCCTCCTCGATGCTAGTGATCGAATCTCTGAACGACTAACTGAAGGCGGTAGCTCCTGATATCCTAAATAATAGCGATCCAAATAACCCAGATATGTCTCACTCCGTTTAGGCCCGGCTCCTTGCAGATGGAACCTAGGACGGATTTCGCCTCGATGATTGTGTTCCCTTGTTCTGCCCCCAGAACGACGTTCCTAGCAATCATAGACCAGGTTATTCCATTCCCCCTTTCCCCTTTTATTTGGCGCCTCATCTTTATTGTGCTGTTGGGAAAGTTTTTCTTAAACCCATCCGTCAGGGAGTCGGGGTAAAAATTGACTCTCTCAAGTATTATTGGCAGTTCGGACAAAGTGCGACAAACGACGATGGCTTCCGACAATGAGATCCCGTAGCCAGGATGACTTCATATCTTTTGAGCCCACACTAATATCTCCGGATTCAGGATGCGGATTGCTAATCCATCGAGCATGCTCTCTGAGACCTGCCCATATCACTTTTATGGGGCTTTCCAATCATTGTTCTAGCACTCCGCTTGGCCAACCATCATAATAGCCTCGAATTAGCAGATCAACGTTAGTGGCTACCTTCGTTAAAAAAAAAAAAAAAAAAAAAAAAAGGTCACTGGCCACGAGCACTTTATGCTTCTAAATGGGCGATACTATCAAAATACCGCTCTTACAAGTCTCGGGTAGCTCTTACAAAGGTATCGGGCCGTGCGAGGAGAGATACTATGGATGCTACTTGCTTCAGCGTTTTTGCGCAATCCTCCCCTGATTGTCAAAAGCCGCAGTCTCGTTTTGGCATCAAATGCAAAGACCGGCATTTGGCTTAAGCTTCCCTTTAGCTTCGCGTTTCCAAATCTCTATTATCCTCTTTATTGGCTGAGATTGGCTTGTTTCATCTACCCAGGTCTTTCTTACTGGTCAGTGTTTTAAGCCCTTCCTCGTCCTCGCCCATTCGCGAAAAGCGCAGAGGCACTGGGCATCTGTGGTGTCAACTTATCTCTTCTCCACTGCTCACACTTCTGCCTGAGCTAGACCTTACCAAGTCTCCAGCTTTGAGTCCAATGTTAATAGCCTCATTGGCACTTATTCATTATTTGACACCATCACAATGGCATCCATTGCGTCCCTACTAAATCCGGAACCAGAAGATTTTCAGAGAAGCCATCAGCTTCCTACGCCGTCTTCCAGTCGATCAAGAGACTTTACTACAGCACCACAGAGACAGAAAAGGCAAAAGTTATCCAAGGACGGTGCCGTCTTCACTAGAGGAAAGGTCAAGGGCGAAGTCAGATATCCTCCCTGTGAGTACCAAGACACAGAGCTAGAAAACGCTCATAGAGAGTTTGAAATCCATCCGATGGGACACATTACAGAGTTCCCTCGACATATACCTTACAACAGCGAAAAGAAGTCATTTCTTGAAAAGACTGGACGGGAAAGCTTTGAAGGTAAGTCACATTATACTTTTGTTTGATGTATTCAAATAACAGAGCGTAGTTTTCCAATATACGTTCAGAATCCCCGGTGAAGATAAAATACATACGGTCATGTGGGATTATAACGTTGGCCTCGTTCGAACGACGTCGCTTTTTAAATGCAATAACTACCCCAAGGTATGTTTGAGAATCTGAATGAGAATGTTCGCTATGCAAATTTTGCTAATAGACACGTAGACCGCTCCAGGAAAGATGCTCGATGCAAACCGAGGCCTTCGGGAGATATGTCATAGTATCACGGGCGGAGCTCTAGCCGCACAAGGTGAGCAAGTCTTTCGCTTTCGTTTTCTTCATCTTCCTAAGTAAAAAATTATCTAATGATAGACAGGGTATTGGATGCCCTTTGAAGCAGCTAAAGCCGTTGCGGCTACGTTTTGCTGGAGGATCCGATATGCCTTGACGCCACTGTTCGGGAGGGAATTTATATCAATATGCATTCCACCAAGTGACGAAAGGTTTGGCAGAATGATCATTGATCCGGAGATCATTCGATCAGCCGCTAGCACTGCAGATCGCTTGCGTCATCTAGAAACAAAGCGAAGTTCGCCCAGTTTATTGCCGAACACTATTGCATACTCCCCAGGCACTGAAGGTTCGCCCCGCGCGCATGCGAAGAACCTAAGGCTTAAACATATTCGCAAGCCTGTGGTCAACTATGAACATGACGAAGAAATTGCCAGTCGCGAATATTGCCGGCCTCGCGCACTTCCCCACAGTGGCTGGACTGCTAGAAACGCTTTGCGGACAGCATCCTCGGCGCAACTGAGTATACCGTCGCCCGGGGAGATTCTCGCCTCCCTCTCGGGCATTCACGACAGGCGACGAAGGGTATCGGCTGTCTATGAATCCGACTCGGTCGCTGATGACGTTAGCCTGCCACCAAAATCGGCTGCATCCGAATCAAGCGATGGCTCCTATACCGATGGTGGATCGATGATGGAGTCCTCGGACTCTGAGCCGGACGACCCGCTAAGAAGGAGGAATTCTCCTTTACCGCTGACGAATGATGCAAGAGCAGCGTATATGCTGATGCGATTGCATATGCAGGAAGCTGTGGGGGTGGATGATGATTCCCAGCGGAAGAAGCGTCGAGCGTCGACGTGACATGCCTAGCTCTATTTTATCCTCTCTTGGTTGATACGCCTGAAATGGAGAGATTGTTCCCCCATTCCATGTTTTCATTTGGGAAGGTTTAGGGTCTGCAATGTGTTTTCGGATACTCTGGGAGAAAGAAATTGCCTTTTGTGTTTATCAATCTAATCGTGTCTTTCACTCATTTGGCTGGAAGTCTGAAAACGGCAGCTATGCACATTAAAGGAGAGACTTTCTTGTTATGCGTTATTGATTGGGATACTGTTGGCAGATATTGGCTGAGTATGCGGTTATGAGCTCCGGGATGGGACTCAGGTATTAGAGTCAAGAGGCTAGACCATGGCTTTGCTCTCTAAAAGTGCTCTCCGCTTCTTCCGCTAGCCGATGTTTTGTATCGGCTGTCTTCCTCTATGTTAATTCCGGATTGAGTTCGTTTGATTTAAAGGTGGATGAATTCTCCGAACTGATATTTAGTGTTTAATAACTAATTTCGGACTCCCTTTTGGCTCCTTCTGAAGCTTACCGCAAATTATTGAATTCGAGGATAAAACATGCATTACTTGATACGTATGTCCTGAATCAAAGAGCTTTGTTCCAGGGTCCATCACAATTCGATCGCCAATATCGATTAGTATATAACATTCTAATCGCCTACCTAAACGTCCTTTGGACCGTTTGGACGATCACGCTGCCAATCACTGGGGATCTTCTCCCCCTCCAAGGCCCTCCAGGTCTTCTCTGCATTCCCACACTCCTTGCCCACTGGGCATGGACATCCATACACGGGATCATCTGTATCAGACAAATGCGCACGATCCATGAAGATCAGACTCTTTTGCATATCGCCCTCGCAGATCGGGCAGCACCACACCTGCCGCTTGTCGCTGCCAAATGGCTGCAGGATATATTGCTTGTTGGGGCAGTAGTCGTTTTCGATGGCCGCAGAGACGTCGCAGACAGGGATAGTCCAGATTCCCTCCATGGAGGGACCTTCAGAGAAAGGATTGTTGCCGTTTTTGTAGGCTTCTGTCATGCGGGATGAGAACGTTTCAGCGGAGTAGTCGTAGCCACCGGCGCGGTGGGATTTGATAGAGGATCGGATCACGTCCTATTTTTGGTATTAGAACCAGGATTATCCTTTATTTTTTAATTAAAAAAAGAAAAAACGAGGGGGGGGTGGGGTGATCGCTTTACCTGCGGTGTAATGCCTTCAAAGGCGCCAGCACCGAGACGGTCGCCTCCCCATGGTGGAGCAGTCCAGCCCCAGAATGTGTGCAAGTCATTCTCTTGCCAATAATACAAGTACCACGCCTTGCCATCTTCGCAGAGCATGTATCGTCCATTAAACTGTTCGGAGGTACCCTGACCGACTCCCTCTCCATCACCGCAAGAGCCGCCACCAACGATGAATACACGCTGCTTTCTCCAGATGCTATTGATTGCGATGGCTTTGAGTGCAGTAAACGTGTTTTCAGAAAGAGTGGCTTTATCGACGCCGGTGAAATCTACCCAGAAACCATCTTTGAGCCAAGTGTCGAGGTACATATCGCCAAAGGTTCTGCCATCCATGAGTTCATTGTTGCCCCTGATACGCGAGTTGGCCCAGTCCAGCGTTAGCTGACCCAGGGCCTCGCCGAGCTCAGCACTGATCTGGAAGCTTTCGTCCTCTCTAGCTTGAATTTTCAGCAAGGCGTAGTCTCAGAACAATCACTATGATGTGGAGATGAAGACTTACGGGTTGACTGCATGATAGGTAGAAGTCATCGAGCCGGCGACCAAAGAGGCTGCGACAGCACCCGTAGCAGCAGTTGCCTGGGTTCCCAGAGCAGCTAATCCACCAGCAACGCCAAAGAGTGTGGCAACAACGTTGAGGATCTCCTTTAGATACGTAGCATCCTTGCCGCCATCTCCATCGTAGAATAGCGAAGCCCAAGAATCTTTGGCAAAAGCAGCAGACACGACGCTGGTCTCGAAAGCCTGGCCAACGCCCAAGAAGTAGTTATGAAGGTTGCTAATGGCTCTCAAGGTGTAGTAAGCGTTGCGAGTGGACGCGCCCTTTCCATTGAGGACACGGTTGTCGCAGACGTTCAGGTCGCAGTTGTTGGTTGAACCATCGTCCTTGCACGTCCAGCGGTCGTCTCCGAGCGCCCACTGACCCAAAGTCGCTGAGAGACCTAGAGAATTCCGTTGATCTGAGGTGTTAGGGTTGGTCCAGACCTCCTCGATCCATTGATGGAACCAGCCGTCAGTGTTGTGTTTGATCCAGTCCTCGCGTCTGGGATTATAGAACTCTTCGACGGGTCCGCAGCGACGGTGAGGTGCGGCCAGAGGGGTGATAGGCAGCAATGCTGCGATGATGAGGCCGAGATACTTCATCGTGCGAGCTTTGTTCCCTCCTATGGAGAGGAAGACAAGTGGGAAGGGAGTATAACCACGATTGGGGAAGAGAAAGCTGAAGTATTACTACAGCTTCTCTGGAGCGCAGAGATTCCTTTTTTATTCATACTGTGGGAACACCTGGAGCACATGGCTCTGTGGAGCGCTCCGACGACGGAACTGGGGGAGAGAGACGGTGGAGACTGCGGATATCCCAATCCAGCATGATTCTGCAGGTATCTAACAAGCTAGAACAGCGAAGGAAGCCACTGCAGCGGGGAAACATTCTCCAGCCTGTGCAAAAGTGTTGTCCATCACAATCTTCCGTGGGTTGCCACTGGGGTGCATTCGTGGCACGGGGGGAACGAAAATGGAAAGCCATGATGATATCCTTCAGAAAAGGAGATATTCTGGGGAAGAAAACATCTCCCTGTCCCGTTTCACGGACTCTTGCGTAGATCCGGGAAGCTTACAGTATTGCCACGGGACGGAACGTCGATGGCAGCTTGTTCTTGTGGCGTGGTTCCTGGTCGCTGAAGACGGTGATGGCTTTCATGACCACACGATGATAACGGAGGAAACACTCCGGGACATCATCATCATTAAAATGTAGAAAATCAGGCAGTGTATCTGTGGAAAGGCATGCATCACCCCCAAGCCCAAAACCCCAGCCCGCCGATCGGCATGTTGAGCACATGCACACATGCTTGCGGAATTCTACATCTAGTAATCCGAAAACACGTCCGGTTCCTAGGAGAAAATAAAATATGGAGCTTGCGATGGAGGCCGTGGAGCAGACCTGCCCATCGCAACGGCGCTGGCACGGGGGATCGCTGCACAAACGGGCGTGTTGACGAACTGGCGATCTCCACTGACAACGTCGATCGGTCGGCAGGGAGGCGAGAGTGGCTTTTGACCCAGCTTGGCTCCACAGACCCTTCCGCGACGTCGTCATCGGACAAAAAAAATGACATGTTGTGTACGAGCGAGCGAACAACAGAGGTGATGATGTGAAATGGAAGATGGAATGTTGGGTGAGGTTGCAGTAAGAGCAAGCTACTTGACTAGTGAACAGGATCTCGTCGACCAAACCAACAGTACGGTTGAAATCAGATGGCAAACGTAGAGGGCACGACATGCAGCACACGCCAGCGGAACCTCAGACAACTTTTAACTAGCTGGTAGATGCTGTGGAGCCATTGCAGAGCTCGAGAGAATCGTCGGAGCAGGGAAAATGCCGCAGACGGATGCTTCATACTACATAATTACAGAGACGCGAAGAAACAAAACCCGCAGGCGCCATGGTACTGCAGACTGGGGGTAGAAGGAATCATATGAAGACATTAATAGAGCCATACATAAGTGGGATGAGAAAGAAGAACAAGAATGAAAATACACCATTTGTTGCGCGCCTTTTTTTTTTGGCTCGAATTTCATGCGGGAAAACCGAGAGAATGAGAATGGAAAATGGAAATGAGAATGAAAATGAAAATACAATCTCCTAAACTGTTGTCGCTTTTGAAAACATGGCTTTCCTCCCCGTCCAAGAAAAGAAAACATCCAAACTCGTCGAATTTCGCAGAGGTATCCACCCAGTCTGTTGGAAAGTGGATGGTCCCCTTTTGTTAGGAATTACCTCTTGATTGCACCCGAGACGTCCCTTCAAAGGCGGCTTACATCGCAGCGACTGGCTCTGGAGCAGGCTCTGCGTGTTCCTCCTTTGTGTCCTCACGGAACTGAGGGAGAAGCTCGGTCTGTGGAGCCGCCGGGAAATCTGGATGCTCAATCGCAGCCGGACCTGGCTGAGGCTCGGCCTTGACTGGGGTGTCCAGGATGTGCTCCTGCTTTTGCTTCGGGGATGCCGAGTGGGCGAGAGGAGTGACGACGTATTCATGGGCCTTTGCACGATATTCACCAACATAATGTTTTACAATGCCGGTGGCCTGGCTGGTCTGGGCTTCTGCCATCTCCTTGACTTCCCGCGCGTGGGAGTTGATCATCTCCTGGAGAACATTGATCTGCTCGTCGATAAACTCCTTGTTGCTGAGATAAAACAGAGGTCCAAGGTAGGCAACCGTCACGCCGATGAGGGCCAGAACCCAGAGTGGTAGGAACCGCACGAGCCAGTACGATGTAAGGGCAGCCGAGAAAGTCTGCGAAAGTCAGCATAGAAATGCGAGATGGACGCGTTTTGTTTGGGGGGAGACATACGGCAAGAGTATATGACAGGTTCTCGACGAACAGAATGCGTTGGAACTCGATGAGGAAAAAGTCCATCAATTGCTCGAGGTCCTCAAGCACGCTCTCGACCGTGTCCTTGGGGATAGTGTAGTACTTGCGAGGACGCGAATTGCTCATCAAGCCGCGACCGAAGATGGCTCGTCCACTAACTTCGACAATCGCCGTGACTAATCAAGGGGGTTTTAGAAATCAGATTCGCTCCCGTCTCTAGCAACTCCGAAAGCTACAACTCACATCCAAGGGAAATGTATAGTAGCTTCAAGGCCCAGCGGAGCAATGGAAGATATCGACCTGCAATGATCATAGCCACGACGCTGGCATAGGAGGCAGCTGTGGTTTGAGGGCGCTCCCACTATCTCCCGTCAGTAAACCCGTCAATGTCGCATACACGCACACCGCTGTATCTCGGAGACTTAGAAGGAGGGGGAAACTCACGCTGAGCAAGCTATAGACGAGGGAGTGGTAGTCTGATCCGAAACGTCAGCCGGAGGAAGCGGAAGAGCAGGAATCAGCTCAAAGAGATACGTACGAGTCAAGGGCTGTCCGGGCGCGGTCTTCTCGGGACTTCCGTTGGTAGATCTGCGATCGGCATCCCCTGTGAAGTCTAGAAAGATCGTAAGACTTGTGGAAGGTTGAAGAGATCAGCTGAATCACAGGTTTGATACACACCATTGTTAGAGTGCAGACTACATCACTTGCAAGGCTCTCTATGATGAAGGGTCAGGATGTGATGCTCCTCAGGCCAGGTTGCCAGTGAGTGACTGTGTAGAAACGAGTTGTTGTCAGTGTCTGGGGAGCTGAACATCTGGCAGGGTCGGAGAGCCCCTACTCACCTTACATTCTTCGGTTGTCAATCCTCCAGTGGTGCAGCAGCAATTTACCATTGCACAAGAGAGCCAAAAAAAGCTCAAGTAAAGAAAAGAACAGCATGGATGATGTTGGTTCTTACCTGTGTGTGGGATATCACTCGGAGCAGACTCAGCCATTGTGGGCGCAGTTCTCCAGGGTAAGCTTGTTCTTTGTCTCGATGCTGTGGTAGTTGGGCAGGGTGGAAGAAGATAGGTAAGCAAATATAATGTAGTCAAGGGAGAAAGTAATGAATGAGCGAAAGAAGAAGAAAAGGAAAAAGAGGATGAAGAGGATGAAGACAGAGTTGGTGTTTGAGGTTGGTTTGGTTTGTTGGTGAGAGTGCGAAATCTTGCTTTGTTTTTAGGGAGTGATGCAATCGTTACAAACAGGAAAATCAAATCACAAACAACAGCCGTTTTAACTGTCTTCCAACGTTCTCAACTAGGTAATAAATACACTCTCTCTGATGTAGACGTTTTCTTTTCTCTATTCAAGATGCCATCTGTCCTCTGTCCTCTGCCACCTACTATCCTCTCACTCTCTCTCCCGCCCTTCTCTCTCTCACTCACTCTCACTCTGAATCGCTGATGCCTACTCCTCTGCTTGCATGTGACAAACGGGTGAGTAGTTATTCTATTAATAGGATGATCCCTACAACCGCCAGCGTGTGAGGCGAGAAAATGTCCGATCGCACAACACCCACTCTGTATTATGGCTAAGGTGGCATTGTCATCAGAAGAAATTCTATTCCATTCCCATGGTATAACTAACAACCTAACGCTTAAAAAAAAAAGGGAAAAGGAAAAAGGAAAAAGGAAAAAGGGAAAAGAGAAAAGAAAATGACAATGACAATGACAATGACAATGACAATGACAATGAAACGCGCCTATCGAAAGTACAGATAACCCGGATGTCCATCTAGTAGCTTCGAGGGAGGTCGAGAACCTTTTCGCTGACGAAATTCATAATCATCTCCTACCAATCAAGCCCGTTAGCAGGTGGGTAAAAAAAAAAAAGGGACTTCCAACTGCACTTACCCGGCTAATGGGCGCAATTCTCGGCACAAAACATTCTCGAAGATATCTCTCGACGTGGAATTCCTGGGCATATCCCATTCCGCCGTGTGCGAGGACCTGAATTTGTCCGACCGTTAATTTAGTAGGAAAGGGGAAAGGGAGAAAAAAAGAAAAAGTGACAAAAAAGAAAAAGGCAGATCATTCACGTACGGCTCTCTCGCAAGCAGTGAATGCCGCCTCCGCTGCAAGGAACTTGGCGGAGTTGCAGGCCACCCCGACCGTATGCTGCGAGATGGATTTGTCCGTCTTGCTCGCATCGTAAAGTCTCGCAGCATGGTAGGTGGCTAGCTTGGCTGCCTCTAGGTTCATGTACGCCGACGCCAGCGGGTGGGCGATGCCCTGGTTCTGGCCGATCGGGCGGCCAAAGACGACGCGTTCTTTAGCATATTTGGCTGCTTTCTCCAAGGCCACGTAGCCCAATCCCAGGGCCTCTCCCGCAAGCAGACACCTCTCGGCATTCATCCCGTGAAGAACCTGCGGTAAGGAGATTAGTAAAAAGGACATTCTCCCCCACGGTAATCCAGAAGACGGGGCCGACGCACGATTTTGAAGCCCTCGCCTTCCTTCCCAATGAGAGTATCGGCGGAGACGCGGTAGTTGTCGAAGAACACTTCATTGGCATCAACGCTCCGGCCACCCATTTTCTTGATTTTTCTGAGATCAAGACCCGGTGCATTTTTATCAAAGTCGATGAAGAAGAGCGAGAGGCCCTCAGATGGCCTTTTGACTTCTTCAATGGGCGTCGTCCGGGCGAGAAGGACCATCTTCTTTGCGACCTGCGCGGAGGATATCCATCTAGTCAAGCCATCAGCGAACGCACGTTGTCGCTAGGAGATATGTGGCTCTCACATCTTCTGGCCCGACACCCTGTAGTGGTCGCCGTCTCTGGTTGCCGTAGTGCGAAGTTTGAGCGTCTCCAGCCCGGTGTTCGGCTCCGTCCTAGTGACCTGTTAGCTGCCAAGCCGTCCTGTCATCCCCTGAGAGTCCTCTTTCTCCTACACTCCAAAACAGGTTCTATATTCTCCCGCTATCAGTTTGGGTAGCATCTGTTGTCGCTGTTCTTCCGTGGCAAATTTGGCGACAGGCTGTATTCCTATGAGTATAATATGATTGAAGTTGGCGTATAGGTGAGAGAGATTATGCTTACCTGGGTGGCATAAACGTTGGCATGGATTGATTGAGCGCCCGCGAGCCCGGCACCGCTCCTAGGAAGACGCCATGTGAGTCGCTCTTGACTCGAGACGAGCAATTGGGTATCCCTGGTGTATATCATACTGAGCGATTGTGTGCAGCATCATGGTAGCTTCTGAGATGCCGAGTCCTGCGCCGCCCAGTTCCTCCGGCAGGGCGATGCCTATCCAGCCATCTTTTGCAAGAGCGGCATGGAGCTCATGGGGGTATTCTCCAGTTTCATCGCGCTCCGCCCAGTATTCCTATATGGTTCCAAGAACTGCGATTAACCCTTCTCTTTCCTGGTCTCCCTGGCGACGGGACGATTTTTGAAAGAAACGCATAGCGTAAACCTACATCGGGGAAATTCGAGCAGATCTTTGATATAGCATCTCTGACCATCAGCTGCTCTGGTGTGAAACAGCTTAAATCCATTATTCTAGTAGGTGATGACGCGGAAAATGCCCGTGTCTGGGACAGTAGCTGCTGTACGCCCCGTGCACGAGCTGCCTGCTGTGAGGCGGGCAGTTGGCGGCACGCGACGGAGAGGAGGGAGCGGGAGAAGAGCTTTGATGCCATTGGTGTCGTGTTTGGTCACTATGAAGAGTAATTCGGCATTGTACAGGTAGAACTACAGACGGTCATTTGATATTTATTGACCTGAGATCGCCGGCAGCGAGCTTGAAGCTGCTTTCGGCTCGGCAATTCCGGGGCAAAAATGATGCGCATTAGAGGCGAAGCTTTGTTCGTTTGGGGGCCACTCCGGGGAAGCTCCGAAAGGCATCCCATCCCGCAGCAAACGGCGTGGCTGCAGCAGACCATGGCAACGATCAATATTCGCTCCGCTACCCTCTTCCTCTCCCCTTGGTCTTTAATCCTGTTTTTGTCTCTCTCTCTCTCGCTTCTATTTTTATCTTTCTCTGCCTTTTGGTGCCGTTTCTCGGTCGTCACCCGCGATTATGTCATGTCGTTAGTCAGCGTATACCACGTGATTTCGCGTTTTGGTGTGTTTTGATCTCTCGAACAGACGAACGACAAACCACCGCAACGAACAACAACCGCCGACGGACGAACACACCCGCCTATAGACACACGTCGAGTCTTCCGCTGCCCGAGGATGCTGCACGGGAGACGTACCTAGCCGTCTTTTCTCCCCATACTGCATCTTTTTTTCCTTCAAGCTCGCCGTCGTGTCGCCCTATTCGCCCTCTATTGCGCGTTTGTTTACACCATGGCCTCCACGGCCTTCAAGCTGCAGAAGCCGGTCGGCTCCGCAGAATGGATCGCGGCAGAAAAGGAAAACATTATGTATCTGGTGGACCAGGAGATGGAGGAGGTTGAATTTCCCGTTCGACATGAATTGGATTGGCTGAACGAGCACATGGCGGAGGTCTTCCGGGGAAACCAACTGTACGTGTCCTGCGTCATGCTGCTCAATGTTGGACCGTGCGTTACTCACTCAGGCACAGCAATGTTACCGAGATATTCAAAACTCCCGGAAAACTTCGCGGTAAAACCCCCCGCACGATCAGAAAGCACAAGACTCCCGCTGGGCAGGCGCGTGTTGTAAGTCAAACTACATGCCACCATCCCCAGTTGTTCTTGCATGCAACACAAGTTCGAGGATTATCGAGTCTAACATCGAACGCTAGCCCCTGAGCGATATCTTCTCTTCACAGAATGCTAAAAATAGTCCTCTCCCGACAAACCGATTCCAGCAGGAGATCTCAAAACTAGCTGCTCGCAAGGAATCACCTTCGAAACGGCAGTGGCCATTGTCAACTCTGAGCCAGAACTCCAATCCAAATTACAATACTGACTCGGGCTACCATGATATACCCGATGATGACCATATGCATGTAGTCTCTTCTCAGGCCACCGAGCCCGCCCCGGAAGCCGAGGAGACTCAAAATGAGCCGGAAGTGGAACATGAAGAGGAACAGGAACAGGAACATGAACCGGAACCGGAGCAAGAGCAAAAACAGGAACAGGAACAGGAACCGGAGCAAGAGACTGCAACGCAGCGTATTGATGAGTCAACCTTACTGGCAGAAGATCATGGTGACCAGAGTCCCTCTATTGCCCGCCGGACAACAGAGGATTCATTCCATTCGGCAAGAGAGGTCGCCGCGAGCAAAGAAAATACTGTCGAACCCATGGACTTCGAGTGCTCGCAACCCCCCCAGCATCACAACTATTTACAGCCGGTATATCCTACCATTCAACCCGAAGCACATGATACCTCCCCGCAGGTACAGCCCCAGCTCTCCCACTCTTATCATCCGCCAGCTTCAGGACCACCAGAACATGACACGATGCTTGATCATCTCGATGATATAGGTTCTCCGTCCGAAAAGTCGACCCCTGGACGCCCTCTTCTCCGGAAGAGCAGTCTCACATTTGCATCTCTCCCTGCCAGAGAACCGCTGATGAAGAAGAGCATGGGAGGCACCAGAATGTCAAGACTAAGCCAGATTGATCCGGCCAAGAATGGCTACTTTGGTCGCCAAACTGGAGGAGCCAGGATGACACAGTTTTTCAACGAGGAAAAAAACAAGGAGGAGAACATCAGCGCACCAACGCATGAAGAGTCGGACTCGGATACCAGGGCGACCAAATTTCATAACAAGTCGTCCACACAACTCCTTCATGAGAAGATCAACATGCTTGGTAAGACTCAGTCGACGAGAAGCACTAAGTCTATTGCATCGGCCACCTCGTCAGCCGCGCAGCAGATTACATACCCTGAACTCCCACCTTCTCGCCATGGACCTTCTACCGATGGTCCGAAGCAGTTGGCTCGCGAGGAATCACCAAGAATGGGCGATTCATCCATGCCACCTAGCTCACCGTTCTTTGCTCGACATTCGCAATTTGCCCGGGATCGTAGTGTAGAGATCGCGGAGAAACCCAAGTCGAGTCTGTCTTCTTCCAACCAAGATCAGTATGCGAAGCTTCGATCCTTACGTACAGGAACTCCAGAACGACGGTCTCCGGCGCCAAGATCATTTATCTCACATGGTAAATCAGCCTCTGTTTCTTCGCTTGCTGGCTCTCCACGTCCCGGCACTGCTGGGTCTTTGCATAAATCCACCACGTTCGATGGCACCCCCAAAAGTTCTACTACTCCCACGGGCTCTCCAAAACGTTATGAAGGACCTCTAAGTGCATCCAAGTCCAAGCTCCAATCTATAATGAAATCTGCCAAAGGATTGTTTAGCAGCAGCGCTGGCGCGTCCGCTGCAGCGAAAGAAGCCATATCACCCAATTCGATGCGCTCAAAACCCACAGGTTACCCAAGTCTGCATGGCACCTTTAGTCAGGCTTCCACACAGCAATATGGGCACGAGAGCCCGGTGAAACAACAGGGCCGTCGAACTCGGAGTTCTACGGAACGTGAAGAGAGACGCAGAGAACAGGAGATGAGAGAACGCCAGCGTATCCAGGAACAATTGGAAAAGGAACGAGAGGCAGAAAACGCAAGGACTTCCCACCCTAAAACCCCACACAACCCGCCATCTGGCATACAAAGATTGGAGGCTATTGTTCCTCCTCCAGCTCCAGGAATCAAGTCAAGCCCGAAGAAGGTGCAGGCACCGCCCAGATCTGCAACCAGAGACTTGGAGGATCGTCGTGAAGAGGAAATCAAGGCTCCAATTTCCGGGTTTCCCCAAACACAACCAAAGAAGAATGAGCGTCGACCGGTCAAACCGACGCGGGAGACACAGAAGGCAAAACCCCAGCCAGTTTCTATCAAAATAGGGACGCTATCTCAGCGTATTCCGTTAAATTCGGTTCCTTCAAGTGCGCCTAGAATTCAAGATCCCACTCCCACACCGACTCTGACGAAGCAGCCGTCAGTCAAAAAGGCGAGCATTGCTTCTTCTCATACCAGCACTTCAACAAATAGTTTTAAGAGTTCAACTACCGGGAGCAGCACCAAATCGAAGGCAGCCTTGGCCGCTGAGAGAAGAGAACAAGTAAGTATTTCGCCTTTGTATACTTATCCTATTACTAACAATCGGTAGCAACGTCGTGAGGCACAGCAGCGACGAGAAGCAGAGCGCAAAAATCTCGAAGAAGCACGTCGCCAGGAACAACTTCGCGCGGAAGCCGAGCGAAGGGAACGAGAGCGTGTGGCCATGTTGGAGGATCCAAAGAGTGCTGCGAAGAAACAAGCAATCGAGAAGCGGAGGCTCGAAAATGCACGAAAGGCACAGCAGCAGAGAAATCAACAACCTCCACCGGCCAACGACACGGTAAGTAAACGTCATCCATTCGTGCTCTGATGATGCTGATGTGATTCTTTTCAGTCCCTCGTTTCCCATCAGGAGAAGTCTAGCTTTCAGTCTTCCCAACGACCGGATATGGGCCCAGCTAGGCCTGCTTCTAGACTGAATAATGTTCAACCACCTTCTCGACCTCAGCCGATGATAAATCCGGCCAAGCCGCCAAAGCGTCCGAATGAAGAGGAGGCAGTGCGAACAGTATCTGGAAAGCGGAGGAAGACCGACGACGAGCTTGCAACTGAACCCCCTATGCGACCAACAATGGCGCCTCCAATTCGTCAATCTAATGTTCGAAAAGTAAGCACGTCCAACTTCATAGATGATGGAGCGATAGCTGACTGAGGAACAGGAACTTAAAGCACAAGCATTCCCGGGTGGCTATGCAGGTGCACCAACCATGGGACATAGCCAAGCTGGACTGTCAGTGTTCAAGCACCCGACGAACCCAGCCCGCCCGCTACAGACTCCAGGTCACCCTCAAGCCGGCCGATCGGCTCAGCTATTAGAGATGTCCAAGTTCGCAAGTGGCAAAATCCCGTTCGCGGACTCAAATCCACCACCTCCAGCCGCTCACAAAACCCCTGGACACAAACCAGCACACAAGGTTGCCCGCTCGCCAGCTTATCCCAATGGTGAAAATATCAAACTCCCCGAAATCCCTACAGACAGCGAAGAAGAAGATTCCGAGGCGGAACCGTATCACGTACCCGAGTGGGCGAAAGCAGATAACCTCCGAAACATCCTCATCGAGCAGGAAGGCAAAGATGGAGAGATGGTGTTCGGGCCTACTGCCCCATTGCGCATGGAGGAGATATTTAGAGATAATAAGGAGCGGCTGAAGAAATTTAGGGATCGAACTAGTAGCGCGAATTGGGGTGGTACAGATGGATTGACAACAGAAGAGATCCGGTGGGATATCGAGCAGAGAGAGGCACTGAAGAAGAATGGCGGCTGGACATTTGGCACTTAGCTGCTGTTTGGAGTGTGTTGCTTATCTATGTATAAATACATGTTCATATTCTTTTCGGTCTGGATTGTTTTGGCATTAATGTTGTCCTTGAGTTTGTCTTGGGGAATGATTTGTTTAATATTGATAACCACAGGTAGAACGCATATACTTGCATACGTATATTTGTTAGATGAAGGACTGTTTACTTTACTAGCCATAAAAGCAATTGGAGTTTTTGACTCGGATTCTACACTTGTTAATTTTCAAACAACTATGGAAGCAAAAGGGAAAAAGGATCGATCCATCACATTTAAGTTTGCTCTATAATATAAATATCCATTCTAATCTTTCATCTTGTATCCATTCAATTTGAAAATGATAAAGGAGATGTAACAAAAGCGCAAAAAAGTACGAAATGGAAATAAGGAAATAGGAACAGAGGATAGTTCAGCCCGGAAATACAAGGTCTCCAAAAAAACGCCCCAACCGAACTCCGTTTCCCAATCCATTAGCTAGCCTGCTGCAGTCACTTTCGATATACAAAATAGAGTACAAACATCAGGATCATACGAGTGTCACGGTAGTGATGGGACATCACCAAGCGCTTCAGAGGTATGTATGACCTGTTCAAATCACTCTATGTCAGGCTCGACATCACTAACACCCTCGTCCCTGCCTTCGTCCATCGCATCAGCGTTGAGATTTGCAATGTCGCCAGTCCCGCGGCGTTCCTTGCCGCGATCGTAGTTGACAGTTCGCCAGCCCAGCGGTGCGGAGGGCTCTTTGATGTATTCGGACATGGGGAACTAAATAGAAAGGTTAGTGAATGGGCAATCTTAAAACGGATAGGAGACATACGTAGTGATCATTCTTCTTCATGGTCACGACCCAGGGCACATTGTCGAAGGTCACGGCTCGGAGGCGGAAGTAAGTATTGTTGGGGATGTTGCTGACTTCTCGGATGAACGAATCTAGATCGGGGGTTTTGACACCGTTTACTGCGGTGATGAAGTTCGTTGGAGAGAGGCCGTACTGGTAGGCTGGGGAGCCACGCGACTACGTACAGGTCAGTGATTCAAAATATGGAAGAGGGAATGGGGGTGGAAACAATACCCTTGCGCTGACGTAGACTTCGCTGTGCAACTTACTGATCTGCTGTCGAACGGCGTGATGCGGTTTCTGCAATACGGCACCGCAGAAAATCAGCGCCCGGTCGGTCTCCAGATCCTCTGTTGGCACAGTCTTGATCTTGATCTTCATCTCCTCGCCATTTCGCACAATCAACGCGTCAAGAGTCTCCTGGTCGTACATCATATCAAATTCGGACACACGTGTGATCAGCTTATCATTCAACGTTAAGATGATGTCTCCCTCTTCTAGCGGTCGGACATCGGCGGACAACGGCGAGGCGCAATCCACCTTTCGAACCATGAACAGTTCATGTCTTGCGGCATTAGCCTTGGCGACTTTCTCAATCCATTCCTCCGAGACACCCATGACACGTGCCTGGCTCATTTGAATAACATATGTCTCCATATCGAGGATGCGCAGGCGCGGGATGACACCACTCTGGATTTGCGAGATGACGGGGATCAGAGACGGCGTAGCAAGGCCAAGATGATATTCCACGTCTTTGTGGGAGGATTGCGTTCGTTCACCGAGGTAATTCAACCACAGAGCCTGAATCACACCATCTTCTCCTAGCAAAACACCACTGGTGCACTGACTGCTCAGTCCAGTGTCAACAGTGATGGCATCCAAGTTGATGGCGCGGTATCTAGGAGCCGCCGCATTAGGTGGAATAGCAACAGTGGTGATATCAGTGACCGCAGTCTTCGCAACCACGATTCTAAAGTTCTGATTGAACCCCACAAACAATGTCTCCGCTCCTTGTTTGATGTATTCTGGGCTCAAGCGTGCGGTCTTGACGGGCGCCTGGACGAGGCTAGGATCATACTGAATGATCGTGTAATTCTGCAAGGGATGCAAAAAGACAACCTTGGCGCTCACGATGATAGAGTCGGCGACGGTGATGTTGATATCGCACAGGTCAAACGGGACAATCGCTCGGGAGATCACAACCAAGCCCTTCTCTGCGTCAACCACTAATCCGAACCCTGTCTTTCTGGCCTGTGGAAACCCGTCTAACTTGACGGGCATGGTGCATGAGACACGGACAAAACTTCGGACAATATCAGCAGCGGCAGGGTGACTGACACCGTCAAGCTGAATGAAATCAGCTTTACGTGGGACCGGGGGTTCGGCAGGAATTGGGTCCGCGAGGTCTGTGAAATCCCAGAGCCCTGTTTGGTCGTTCCTCTGGGCCAGTCTCATATGCGGATGCCAGTGACGATCAATATGAACGATGCTTGTTCCACGGGTATGGAGATCTCGGATATGGCGATAGGAAAGAACAATTCTAGCGCGATCTATTTTCAACCGTCAGACGCCGGTAACTCAGCGGGGAAAGGTTAAATGCTGAGAAAAAGAAGGTCATACCTGGGATAGTCTTCAAAACTTCAATGAACTCGTCTAGATTTCTTGTTGGTCTTTTATCAACTGAATCGATGATCCATCCAGAAAATGTACTTTCCAGCTTAAACGATCCAGCTGCCTCACACACATAGACACCTTTGCACGCGATGGCATACAATCTCGCTTGCTGGTAGGATAGATCGTGGAAGGTAGCTCCAGCAACGGTAACATATCGTGACGGAGTGATCGCATGAAGATCCTGAACCTTGCACGTAACTTCCAGGTCCTCGCCGCCTCTCTGCACCAGCAGATGAACGTCCCCTCCGACACTGGAGTCCAGGATATCATCTAACCGGACAAATTGGGTCAGAAGCTCGCCGTTGGCCTTGATCAGCACGTCGCCTTCTTGTAATTTGCCGTCGCCAGGGCCTTCAGGAAGTACGATCTCCGCCACGAGCATACCGGTTTCTTTCGGGGCTACTCTGCGGACTTCAGCCTCCCATTCTGGCGAGAGACCAAGACGTCGACATTCGTCAAAGGGCTTGATGATCCACTGAGTCTGTATGGTTCCGCGACTGACAAGTTCTCCTTTCTGAATACACTGTAACGCGCGAAGGGGTCGGTCGAGTGGGAGGAAGTAATCAGTTGCCGCACCGTCAGCACGACCACCAGCCTGCAGCGCGATCACATGGCCGTCTATGTTGACCACGGGACTGCCGGAACTCCCACCGCTAGCAGCCGCAGCGGCCTGGATGTAGTTCGTGTTGAAATCGCTGTACCCTTCACCGTACTCCGGGGCGTTGCGATCAAGACGACTGATCACACCGGAGAGAATACTCAACTTTTCACCAGCGTCGTTTCCCACAACTCTGATCTCCACACCCACACGGGCGGATTCTGGCTGTAGCTTCAATTCGGTGAGGGGCATGTACTTGATTGCCTTTGGATCGAACTTGAGGATACCAAAATCGTGAACAGGATCGCGATAGATGGGTGTTACATCACACTATCCGGCAGAAATTTGTAATTAGCCACCAAGAGTCCCAAAGAGCTGAAATACAAATAGAGGGAGGTATGGGGGAAAAAAAAAAGGAAAAGGAAAAAGAAAAAGCCTGAGCGTACCTCTTCATGATTATCAAAAATACAATAACCCCAAAACGGGCCCGCACAGACAACATGTCTGTTGGTCAAGATATAACCACGCTTCGCATCGACGACAAACCCCGTGGCCTGGCTGGACATGGACAGATCCGTATCAAAGGACGCAGTCTGGCAGAAATGGATGGACACAACGCTCTTCACGACGGTTTCAATCGTCTCCTGCCACTCCGCAGAATCGGTCTGGACGGCGGGAAGCTTCATCTGCATCGCAGCAGCATCTTCGGCGGCGGAGTCTGGATCGCCATATCCGTACACGGCGAGGTCGGGAGGCAGCTGCATCTCCATAGCAGCGGCGGCGGCAGCGGCCGTCTCTTCGCCGGCGGAGTCCACGTTGCGGTATCCGTACACGGCAAGGTCGCCGGAAGTCTGATCGCCGGAGATCCTGGGTGAGGATGGAGCGGCTGAGTCTGGACGAAGGTGTTTGGCAGAGGGTAACGAGTGAGGGTCACCGCTGTGTTTGCGTTTAGGTTTTTGGGGAGAGCCGTTGAGCTCCATGGCGGAAGAGGAGAAGTAAGATCGACGAGAGAATGCAGAGGGGTATTTATAAGCTTGCTGGTGGTGGTGGTGGTAAGGCTGATTGCGTTTCCCGTGGTGAAGTAGAGGGGACCGGGTGCAGGGAGAGGCTCTAGCAATTGGGACCAAAGGCAAACAGCTTGACCCAGGGCCGGGATGGCGTAGCAGTAACAGGGAAGACAAGATGCGGCCAGGGGGAGAAATTGGCGTTAAGGAAAACGAGCGTCGAGAGATCACGCCCAAAGCCGCGTGTGGGCGCTTCGAAACGGGAGAAGTTGAGCGGAGGGTGGGCGGCAGCACCAGCAGCACCAGCAGCGGTGGTGGTTGGAACGGGAGCGGTGAGGACGGCGTCAGAGCTTGGAATGCCTCCTGGAGCTGCAGGCGGAACAGATTGGGCATTCACAAGGCGCTGGCGGGAGAGACAGGACGGCCGTCGCGAGGTTCTGAGATGCGATTCTGCTTCCGTTTCGTCCGTCCGCCAGCTTCGCGCATCAAACTTTCTCGTCGCGCCGAATGCGGAAAACTTTGCCCTGTTTGCACTGCCACGTGACAGGCAGTTTTGACGACCACGACGACGACGAAGATGATGATGATGGTGATGAGACAGTCGTACATTTAGATGAACGCTTGAGGGGAAGAATGGATAACTAGGTAGTGGTATTTGTACTATGATTATGTGCATGTATGTACACACAAGGCAATCAACCGGTGTAGTTAATTACTTTACCGTCCCAGCATCATCGCTATTCCCCCGGTCTTTGGTCACAATCATGACCACCAAGGTCTTGCAGGCTACCCTACAGCCTGGCCAATGCCCTCCCTGCCGCACAGCCTAGGGTCCAACGTTTCGGAGGTGTAGGCTATATGTCAGTCTCACACGCGACCAGTGGCGCTGTTTCAGGCTAAATAGCCGCTGCCCAACCAGAAGTTCATACCGTCCTCATGGGGCCAGCTTCCGCTCCAACAGTGATCAGTAATGAAACAAGCATGGCGGAAAACAATCAGCAACTCAAACCACCTTTGACCCACTTGATGAAAGAAGAGTCCAAAGAAAATTGCCTGATTGAGCAAAACACACAAAAACAAGCAACCTGGTGCTTGTACTGTCAGACATAGGCCTTCCGTCATCTCTTCTCAGCAATATCAAACTTTGATTTTTTTTTTTTTTCTTTTTCCCCCATAATTAATTGGTAGATAATTATCTCCTTCTCTTCCCCCCCTCTTTTCCATGCAGGGATGTTTAAGCTAGGACCGTGGTCTCTCAGATATATCGGACTTCCCAAACTAGAGATGGAGAAGCAGCTCTTTTCGGCACATGTCTGCTTTAAAGCCACTACGATTCTTGACAGAACAGGAGCATGCATGGCACTATTTTGTGTTCATCCAGTCATGACGCCCATACCTCCCGGTGCCATTCCCTCTGGGCCATGCATCGGCTGGGTTGCCTGTGGCATCAAGTGGGGCACATTCTGCACTTGCATTTGACGTGGCTGCGGTGGTGGTACCTGCGCCGTAGCCTTGGCTGCCTCGGGGAAGAGCTCATTCAACTGCGCATATATCGCGTTCAGACCGGGCATGCTCGGTGGTGGAGTCATGATGGCAGGTGCCAGAGGTGCTGCCACGCCGGACTTCTTGGCTCGGTCAGCGATGGTGGCGAGGTATGCCAGATTCGCCTGTAAGCGCCGCATGCAGTCGACGTATTCCTGGGTTGACTTGCCACCGGGCTTCGCGGCCTGCGGACCGGAGTTTTGAGACTGCGCGACCGCTGGGTCGGCGGGAGAGTGGGCACCTGACTGTTCCTGAGTGGACGGATTGGCCGGTTGGTTCGAGCCTCCTGTCTTCCCGGCGGACTGGAGGTTTACAACTTCCTGCAGGAGAGCAGAATTGATATCCAGCAGAGTCGTGACGCGAGCCTTCTCTCGCGCAGCCATGGCGGCCTGCGCGGCCTGTGCGGCCTGTGCTGCTTGTGTCTGCTGAGGCGGGTGGGGAGAGGGAGAGGACTGCAGATGGGAGGGTGTGGGGGTTTGGGCCTGCATCTGGCCGGAGAGGTGGGCAGGCCGCGTAGGAGTTGTAAATACTGGCCTAGACGCACTAGCGGTAGTCATTGCCGGAGGTTGGACAAACGAAGCGGTGCCATTATTAAGGGCATTGGTGCTGTGAGGCGTCTGGGGCAAAGAGGTCTGGCCTAATACAGCGGGCACCCCCGGATGGGAGAACGCGGGCTGGGAGAAACCTGGGTGGTGAGGGACTGTTTGTGCAGCAGGAAGGCGGACAGCCATGGTCAGTAAGTCGAAATGCGACACATTCAAAGACGATGATTATAAAAAGGAATTTTTGAGAAAGAAAAAGAAGAGGAGCAGCAGGAAGGACAAGGGGGGAAAAGAGAAAAGAAAAAGTACGCGAGAGAAAGAGAGAGTTAGAGAGACAAGAGTGAGAGAACTCGACCCCCGATCCTCGTGGTCTTGGGATGACGAGGACGATAGGCACATGCTCCGAGGAGAGTTCATCTGTTCTTGAGTAATACGAAGTCGCAAGAAAAAGGCGGACAAGAAGGAAGGGAAAACTTGCATGACCCAGCCAATAGAGGACGGCAGATCACGATGGAGTCAGGAAACAGGACCTGGCAGGACATTTAAAAATAAAAATAAAAAATAAAGCAAATAAAAACGATTTGACTTACGATTAGCAGACGCATGATGGGGTAGCGGCGCCGGGGACATCATCATGGCTCCACCCACGCCGGCATGTGGTGGAACAGCGCCGACGACATGCGGGAAGGGATGTTGCTGCTGCTGCTGAGGCTGCTGAGGCTGCTGAGGTTGCGGTTGAGGTGGTTGCTGGTGCTGGTGCTGGTGCTGGTGCTGTTGTTGCGGCTGGTGCTGCTGGTGGATCTGGGGCGGGAGGGTCTCCTGGGCGTACAGGTTGGGGTTCGGGTAGAAGGACATCGACTGAGCAGGCTGCGGGACGATGTGCTGAGGCTGTTGATGCTGTTGATGCTGTTGCTGCTGGTGCTGGTGGTGGTGCTGATGATGCTGGTGTTGGAGGTGAATGGGATGATAGCCGGGAGGATTTGAAGCGGCGGGCAACTGCTGGGGGAAGGGCTGTGGGTAGGGGATCGGTGGTTGGTTCATTATAATATTATTCGTCGAGGCCACTCGAACCCGCGGAAATTATAAGATTTAAACCAGGGAGAGACGAGGGCGACGGGTTTGAGCGATGGGATCTGATGGAGAACCCCGGATTTGCTGCTGCATTCGATTTGTGGGCGCGAAGGGGGGGGAGAGTCGGGCGGGAAGCGCGTGGCGTGTCTTGTCGGGACAACCTTGTCGCTCGACGGGGGATGGATCCGTCACGGGCTCGGCAAAAAAGGCAAAATTTGGTTCTTGAAAAAAAGTCCTGCTCCGCGAAAGGCTTCACGGGTCCTGACAGGGGCTTTTTTTTTTTTCAGTTGAATCGATTTATTAGCTTGCTGCTGCCTCCTGCGGTGAATGACAGCAAATCACGATCTTCTTCTTGTCTCTTCAACGCGGGAAGAGAAGGGGAAAAAAAAATAAAAATTTAAAAAATTTAAATAAAAAAATAAAATAAAAATCGTACGAAGGGCGTAATTACAGGTATGGTTATTAGATAATCTCCGCAATTCGCCAAGATGATTGGCTACAGGGGTTGTATCGGGATCACAACCCATGCGTATCGTGACGACAAGACGACTCCAGCGACATCGAGAATATTAGAGCAGACATCGGAAGCAGCCAGAGCGGCAGAGAAGGCATCCGGATGCACCGAGTCTCTTCCGTCCATACAGAGTTACCCGTCGTCCAGCCTCGAGCATACAAATCTGGTCTACGGCCGGGACAAGAGGTCCGCCGGGATTCCAGGCTAGACACCCCATTCGCAGCACGACGTGCAGTAGCGGCAGCCCACAATTGCTAGGCAAGCGTGGCGGATCAGCGAATGAAGGCGTCTCGAACGCAGCGCTCGGCTGGCCACCAACCCTGCCGCCGGGATGCAGTCGAGCTGACGGCCGTTGCCGCGTTTGAGACAGGAGAAGAACGCACAGGGCCCTACCAGAATAAAAGGCCGGCGGACTCCCCTGGCAAAGCTTTAATAAGTAGCCGCTTCCATTCCATGTAATTCTTTTCTCTTCTTTTCTTCTTCTTCATCTTCTTCTTCGTCTTCTTCGTCTTCTTCTTCCTCTTCTTCCTCTTTCTTCGCTTCGTGGTCCCCGTCTTTGTCTCGGTCCTTTTCAAATCATCCTGCTGTTTGCACTGTTTTAGCACTTAACTATATACTTAACTAATCACGGGGGGAAACAACTGAATTCCCGGCACTAGTACCGATCCGGCACTGCGGGGAGAGCTTCATCGCGGCGACGAGACAGCGCGCGAGTGGAGAGGGGAGAGAGAAAAAAAAAAAAAGGAGAGAGACAGAGAGAGAGAGATAGAGAGTGTGTGTGTTAGGAAGATTGAGAGATAATCTCGCATCCCGGCATGCGTCTTGCAACGTGAACTCTTCCCTGAAACACAGACTGTCGGATCGCCCCAGCTGCCTCGGCGCTGGCCCTTGTCTGCGATGTGAACAGCCTATGGAGAACGCTGAACCGACTGTCGCCCGCTCTGTATCATGGCTGCGCAGCGGCCTCTAGGGTGAGATTCCCCTTGGACTGCCAATCCGCTGAGAGACAAAATGTGAACAGAGTTGGAGTTGGGGGAAGAAACGGAACAGAACGGGGGAACTATCATGCTGACTTCTCCGCAGGCCAAAGCCATCGGATTCTTCCTCCTTCGGGATCCCTCCCACGGGCCCGCCGCCACCCCCTTCGAATCCACCAAAACCGGCAAAGGGCCCTAGCACACGGAGAGCGTTGAGCTGCCTGCCGTGTCGGCGCCATAAACTCAAATGTGACCGCCAGGTTCCGTGCCACTCGTGCACCCGTTACCGCAGAGAGGACCTCTGTCGCAAGCATCCTGCCCCATCCTCCCTCCTCGAGGGGGTCCGCGGCGGCCCAAAGGCGCCCACCAATGCGATCGCCGCCGTCTCGGACGCCTCCTCCTCTTCCCCTTCCTCCTCTGCCCAGGACGCCACTCCTTACTCCAATCCAACGTCCAAACCCGGTACAGCTTCCGTCGTCCGGCCCGAGACAACCATCAATCCTCCTCCCTCGACCACCATCAGGGCTGCAGGCACAACTGCTTCACTGCCTCTCGGAAACACTCTGTCTCTGAGGACGTCAACAAGCCAAAACAGCGATGTCGTTCTGAGGGTCGCCGGCACTTCGACTGCCCCCCGTACCCTTCCCATCCTTCTTTCGGCCGTTCAGGGCCTTAATTCCCAGGCTGAAGTGGCTTCGTTTTGGAAATCGGAGCTCACTGCCTCTTTACCCAGCAAGTACCAGTGTGACTTGCTAACCATGTATTACCTCGAGCATATCAATTGGGTCTTTCATTTCCTTCACTCCCCCTCTTTCCAAGATGAATACGCCGCATTCTGGAACACCAAAGTTCAGGACATAAATCTGATATGGTTGTCCTTCCTATACTCCATCATATCCTGTAGCGCAATCTTTTTGCCCCTTGACGCTGCCCAGAACGCCGGGTTTCCAGGAAGAAGCCTCCGGAACAAATCCCATGAATGGTATTCAGCCTCCCGCCAGGCTCTCCATGCTGGCGGCTTTGAAGCTCGACCTACTGTTACTCAGCTCTTGACGTTTCTGATCACCCAGCTCTATTGGTTAGCCACAAAAAATGTCGAAGCATTGAATTCGTTGAGTGACCCCCCCCCCTCTTTTTTTTTGTCATGCCAGAATGTATTGTCCGCCTTTGCTGACAACCTTTCTAGCCATCTCGGCCAAGCTGTGAGGAATGCCCAGGCACTAGGTCTCGACAGGGATGTTCCCGGTAAAAACTATATCGACACAGAGCTAAGACGGCGTATTTGGTGGGAACTCTTCAACTGCGACATGTATGTGGGGTGAAAAAGAAACAAGAAAAAAGAAATTAAAAAAAATACAATAAAATTCTAAAGGCACACAGCCTTGGCTAGCCGTTCTGATTTTACTAACAATCTGCATAGCTTCCAATCAATGTGCCTCGGCAGGGCTCCCCTGATAAGTACCAGCCCTTCCAAAGTTCCCTTCCCGGCCCACTGCAATGATGACGACATCACCGAGACCTCGATCAAGCCCAGACCGATGGAAGAGCCGACTGACACCACCGCAAACATCCTTCGTGCCGAAGCCTTCATGATATTTGAAAAACTGTACAACACCGACGTCGATCTCCTCAGCTCCTATGAATATGTCAAATCCGTTGATGATGAAATCGCAGACCTCGTTTCCAAATTTCCTTGGTACTTCCAGATCGGGCCAAACCGAGAGTGTGCTATTCTAGGCGATCATCTCGAATTCATCACCTGGCAGCATCATATGATCAACAGCTGTATATGCATGCAACGTATCCGCATGAATAGACCCTTCATCCACACCCGAACGGGAAATTCCTGGGAAGTTTGTGTCAAGGCTGCCAATGACGTCCTCGCCGTGTATAGCAACCTCCGCAACCGCAACGTGGACGAATTCCGCAAATCCCAAAAGTTTCTCATCCAAGGATACCAGACTTTCTCAGCTGCAGTATCTCTAGCGGGGTTCTTGCTCGTAGAACGGGCGTTTCCCGCAGATAATATTCGGAAAGACATTGAGATGATAATTGCGGATCTCGCATACACCGACGCCAATATATCAATTGCGGTGGATGGAAGGAAGGTCCTTATCAAAATGCTGGAAATGCATGATCGCCGTGGCCTCCGTGAACCCCTGGATCCTGAGACTGTGATTTCTGAGATCGCCACGGTATTTGGAGGCGAACAGTCCACAAGAAAGTACCTAAAACGATGTGATATCGGATACGTCCTCAACGACGAGCCGGCAACAACAGGTCCGACTGCGGCGGCGGTGCCGGTCTCCACAACGAGGCCTGTCGACCAGACTGTCAGTGACCACGCTATCGCCGCAACCCACCCACAGGCAAGCATGGCCCACATGATATCGATGGGCACGCTTCCTGAGTACAGAGATCCATATTACAATATGCCCGAAACGATCCAATTTACGTTCGATGATAATTATATGAACTGGGACGTCATGCTGCAGCACATGTCGTATTATCAACAGTAACGGCCTGCACATGATTCTTGTTCTGTTCGGCCTTGTTGACCCTTACATACCATATCGTCGTGGTGTATTACAGATGGCTAGTTGGATGCGTACTTCATTCATCCTCTTGGAATAGAAGTCGGCTTCTCCTTGAATATTTTGGAAACAGATCTATACGATTATGCCCTTCTCTAGAGTCGGGGGAACGACCTTTACACAGTCTCCTTTTCCCGGTCCATCCAATCCAAAATCCCGTCAGCTTTGGGCGTCGATCATTTGGATCCTCAACGTGCCCGAATCGAACTCAAATTGCCAACGGCATATCTAACCGCCATCCGCGCTTTTGACCACCGTCCATTGGCTCTTACATATCGCCTATCCCCGATCGATCCAAACCGGTTAAATTCGCTTCTTGGGCTAGTCTTTCGGAGATGAAATAGCCCGTATATCCAGACATGTGTCTGGGCGAGCGCCAATCCTTCGCGGCGTCAAGAGAAATCACCTTATACCATTCGAGAATAGCAAAAGGCCCTAGTGGATCAGCCCGGCGCCCTCCGTGCCTTCATCTCTTCGATCCATTTCCGGCTCTTCGGCACAGGCACGACATTTATCTTCACCAAGCCATCCACAATCTCCACCTTTCCTCCACTTCCACTCAACACTTCCAACAGACTCATCTTCTTCCCAACGCGAATCAAACCGCCGGTCACCGTCTCCATGAAGCAATCCACACTGTCCACGCCATATTCCGCCTTTTCATCCCATGGTAAGGGAAATATATACTCCAGGTGGTCACGCACGCACTGCGTCTCCTCGAAATTTTTAATGAAATCACTCTGCGCGTGCATGGGATACAGTAGCACACAGGGCACCACCAGCGTACTTTTCGGTGACAGCGGGTCAGGCGAGAGATGCATGTTCGCGTCGTCTAGGTCTGGCGGCTGTTTGGTTTCGCGGACTTTGATGTTCCTGGCGCGTAGGGCTGTAGCCAGGGTAACTTTAACACGCTTTTCACGCTCTGCCTCAGCACGCTTCTTAGCGGCGAGAGCGTCGAGGGCAGCTTTCCGAGCGGAGATTTGCTCTGCGGTATGGAGAAGGGATTTGTTTGTGGGATCAAGGGCGAGGCCACGGTTTGCGGCGTCTTGGGCTTCTAGTATTTTGTCGAGGGTGAGAAGGGCGCGGGCGGAGCGGTAGTAGGCCTTAATGTTTTCAGGGTTAATTTTGAGTGCTGCGGCGCAATCGAGGATGCAGGACCGGTAGTTTTCTATATATATTTGGCCCGGTCAGTAATTTTCTATTTAAGAGCGAATAGGGACAGAGGAAGAGAGGTTGGGGACAAAAATGGATAAAAAAGGTTTCTTTTTCGTCCCATCTAAACCTGTAAACACAGCACATTAAAAAAAAAAAAAAGGCACAAGAAAACACAGAGCACTCACTCATCTCCAAATTACACAACGCCCTATTGACCAACACCTTCTCCTCCGTTTCCGTCATCCTTCTCCGGTCTCCGTCCACATCCTCACTGACATCCCACTTCCCCTCCCCTTTATCCCTCACCGTCGCCAACGCCTTCCCATAGAACTCCCGCGCATCACTCCACTTCTTCTCCCTCGCCAGCTCATTGCCCGTCTCGCGGAATCCCTCGGCAACCTGCAGCTGCGTGCCCTCATTCTGCAGCGCGCGAATCGCCTCGATGAACGTGTTCTCCTCCCCCGCGCTGTCCTGGAGCGCCTGCTCGACGTCCGTCATGAACAGCGGGGTCTGGTTCATCATGGAGAGGATCTCGTCGGCGGTGTGGGATTTCACGGAGGCCATTGCTGGAGGGAGGGCGGGAGCGGTGGATGTGGTTGGGTCATCGTTGGGTGCGATGGGCTTGATGCCGAAGGGGGTCTCGGGAATGGTGGTGGAGCTGGATGCGGGTTTGGGGTCATTGAGGGAGAGTGATTCGTTGAAGTCGTCGGGGAGCTCTTCGATGCGCGCCATGGCTGCGACTGTGCTGGTTTCTCCCCTCCTTTTAGCTGGCTGAATGGAAGGTGAAGGTGAAAGGATGGCGGGGGTGTTTTCTTTCTTTTTGATGCTTTTCTTTTTCCCCGCGCTGTCTCGGGAAAGGGTTGTATGGAGGCAAACACAGCAAACATCCACGCCATCAAACACGTTCGGATTAAGCTTATTTCGCGAGCCGCAAGCACAAAAGTCTATAGAGCAGCTGTCCTAGGCGCGCATTGTCCGATTCACAATGGCATGGAGCTGGCCATGTGGACTTTCAATCTATTTAAGGGTCCTCTTTGCGACAGAACAAAGGACTCCAACAAAGCATTGTTCAACAGGGCAGTGTTTTACACGGCAGCACTTCCCGTTAATTACAGCACCATAGGGAGCATCCTTAGTTTCACTGAGGGAGGACAAGGCCATTTCCTGAGCAGAGCTTGGACAGGCTTCATCTATGTATTTCACGATCATCGTGGGGCTACTTCTTTATCCTGCCGGAGCTCATAAGGCCTGGTCCCAACCGCAGTCGGCATACCATGGACTGCAACGACACTTTTAAAGCCGAAAAGTAAACCACCTTGATCTTTCTTCCTTTTTTTTCCCCATGCGTATTCCGCTCTATTAAATCAAAACGGAAACCTCAAATCACTCTCCAATCTCCTATATCATGGCCAACAACGCCACTGAAGGTTCCGACCTTGGAGACACTCAACAAAGTCCTCAGACACGCGGCGCGCTCTCCCTGACCGGCATAGAAAACGTTTCATCCAGTGAAAAATCCGCCCGCATCGCCGCCTTGGTCAGTGACATCTACGCTTCCATCATCTTCATATCCAGGCATGTCAAGGCCGGTACGCTGTCCAACCACCACTGCAAGCCCCTATACGAGCTAGTCAGCAACATTTTGATCGTTGAAAGGAAAGAGAAGCGCAAATTATTGCGGGAGCTGAGAAGGCAGGATTCTAGGATAGAACGGACAGCGAGACGCCACCAGAGGGATATCAAGAAACTGTTGGAGCTGGCGAAAAGTGGGATCGTGCATTTGCGCCGCAAGGCGGAGAGATTGCAGATGGAGTTGGATGAATTGAAGGGGAAGAGGAAGGTCAGCCTCGGACATATCGAGAAAAATCTATCTACAAAGCTTAACCTTGGGAACAAGCTGGACACGGCGGACGAGACTGTAGGACAAGAAATCCATGCAGAGGGCAAGGAGGCCAATCCGTCTTGCAGAAATGAGTTAAAGGTGGATGGCACTGGGAAAAAAATCCCTGCTTGACAAAATCGCTGGTTCTTTAAGGGTATGGTGAGAATGATATCAATTTACACTCACCTAAAAAAAAAAAAAAAAAGCCTCCCATCTAGTCAATAAAATGCGATATCCTAAGAATCGCTACAATTAGAAGTTTAATCGCTTCCAATATTTTCTTCCTTTCTCCCATTCGTGCTGCTGCTCTGGGAGCATGGATTCTGCAACATGTCAGCAGGCGACCAGCTTCATATTTCATGCTCTGAAAGAAAGGCCCGATGAGTGCCGTGGTCCCGAGTATTATTATCGCAACTAAAATTGATATTCCACTGGCATTAGCGCCGTGGACGCAAAACCCGGTTAACCTGCCATGCATGCGATCATCTTCAGGGGAGGCCTCTGTTGTTTAATGAAACGGGATTTGACTGCGTGGAGCAGGCTTGATACCCTGTATTTTCAAAGGGGTTTAGTTTATCGCGATATGGGCCAGAGTCGAGACCACGCTCTTCAAGTGGTGAGTCGACTAAACCGAGGCATTGTGATCGAAATACGGAGTTTATCCATTTCTTGCTGCTGATGGCATGAATCGTTGGTCCCTGGCTCCAAAACAGTTGCTCATCCAGCCTCATGCCTGCCGCTGCCCCATGTCTGTCCTGTTAACAAGATATGAGAACAAACAACACCTTACAGAGTACACTACGAATAAACAACAAAAAAGCGATATTTTTTGTCGTCGACAAAAAATTTCGCCTGCGACAAATCGTGATTCGGCCGCAAAAATTGCCGCCGGTTTGACTAGCCTGTATTACATAACCAAGCTGGCAAGGGAGACGATTCCGGCGGCAACTCGCTGTTGAGGTAAGATTTGATTTGGCTGAACCGGAGCGAAAAATCATCGTCGAAAATTCTCCGTAGAGGCCTTGAGGACCCGGCGGGTGGTAGCGGATGAGCCTCGGCCCAAGAGAGAGTTTGGAGCCTCCCGGTGTTTGCCAGCAAAAGTGACGACAGTGGATCTCAATTTTCGTGAGGAAGCGCTTCTTGCAGGCACATCATGTGAAATTTGCCATCCAGTTGCAGAATAACACGGAACGGACATCTTTTGCTGTATTAATATTCCCTTTCCTTGTGCTTTGCTGTTGTATAGGAAATTTTCTAGGGATAGGATTATCAGCACCGATCAACAGATATCAACTCCTTTCAACGTCTGATTTCTGAGAACAACTTGTTCAAACATGAGTAAACCAGGCGACTTCAACGCCGTCCGCAAGGACATTATCGCACAGATGAAACAGCCAGGTTATGACGATGGCAGTGCTGGTCCAGTTTTCGTCCGCCTCGCATGGTAAGGCTCTCATCTCCAGTTCTCCAGTTTTCTGGGAAGCCAGCATGTGCTTACTGGTTTTTTGTAAATATTTTTTTTTGAAGGCACTCCGCTGGCACATACGACAAGCAGACCGACACCGGCGGTTCCAATGGCGCAGGCATGAGATACGAGAAAGAAGGTGGCGACCCAGCCAACGCAGGCCTCCAATTCGGACGGGCATTCCTCGAACCCGTCAAGAAAAAACACCCATGGATCACATATTCAGACCTCTGGACGCTCGCAGGCGTCACGGCGATCAAGGAAATGGACGGACCCGAGGTCCAATGGCAGCCCGGACGAACCGACTTTGTAGATGACTCCAAGGTACCGCCGCGCGGACGCCTACCCGACGCGACGCAAGGAAGCGATCATCTTCGCCACATCTTCTACCGAATGGGCTTCAACGATCAGGAGATCGTGGCTCTCTCCGGAGCACACAACCTAGGCCGCACGCATGCCGACCGCAGCGGCTTCGAGGGGCCGTGGGTGAACAACCCCATCCGCTTCTCGAACCAATATTTCAGACTCCTCAAGAACCTGGAATGGAAGCCAACGACGTTGCCCAGCGGTGTCAAGCAGTTTACCTATGTGGACCCTGATATTCCCGAGGACGAGAAGGAGGAGCCTCTGATGATGCTTCCAACCGACATGTGCCTGCTCTCCGACCCGGAGTTTTCGAAGTGGGTGGACCGATATGCCGACGACAAGGAGCTGTTCTATGAACACTTCGCCCAGGCGTTTGCCAAGCTGTTGGAGCTGGGTATCAAGCGAGATGCCAGTGGGAAGATCATCAATACAGATAACGAGAAGGGAGGATACATCTCTGCGCCAAAGAAGAGCGACACCCCCACAGGACCGCCGAGAAGCTCGAAAAAGGGCGCTGCGAGCCAAGTCAGGGCTCGTCTTTGAGCTGTTTTGTGTTGAGTTTCGTTGTAAAGTGCTGCCGGTGGCTGCTGTTTTGTTGAATCCGGACTTTGTTTGGAGAGAGATATCCACCTTTCTTTAATATTTGTGTATAATAATAGAACTAGAATGGGCCAGGAATAGATAAAATCAAGCCGACTCTCGGTCTGCAGCTTGCGTTCAGTTTGTCTTTGCTGGCGGAGAGAGGAGAAAAGAAGAGAAACATAGGAAAGAAGAGAGAGAGAGAGAGAGAGAGGGAGAGAGAGAGGCAGAGAGGAAGTGAGAAGATGTTGACGATGGAGCTGGTTTTAGCCAAAGTGCGGAGAATGCGGGGTAACCACTACGGACTACTGTAGTTAGACAGCCAGCACGGAGGATCATCGCCCGCCCAGCTCACCGGCAACTGTTTGCAATGCGGATTATTAGAATTCTAGCACATATTCTATGTTTGCCAGCTATGTGCAAGCCAAAGGAGCGTGTCAAATAATAGTACAAATCCCCTGAAGTTTGATTTGCGGATCCACAACACATTCTCTCACATTTAGCCAGTTAGTTGGCTGCATCCCCCCCTGGAACCCCAATTGGAGGAGCCAGCAGACAAAAGAAGCAAATACCACGCAAAATGAATTCCAACATAAGGGATCTATACAATGAGCAAAGGGAAAAATTTTCAAAGGAAACAAAAGCAAACGGCACCTGAAACTTCCCCAATCAAGGAGCATCTCGCCTACTTCTTCTAAATGGCCATCACTGCCTTAGCTTCTTCATCGACTGCTGACCATCTTCTGGACATTCTTCTCTCTTCCGCTTCTCGCCAGAAGTGCCACCGCCATCATTCCCAATCATAGGTGCATCAGACGGCTGCATCGTCTCGCTATAATACCCTGTCGACGTGCCTTGTTGACCCTGTGCCTGCCCAGCCATTCCAATATCCGCTCCTCCCAGCTGTGGTTCGTGGTGCCCGACAAAGTCCTGCAACATATGTCCCAGAACGTTTGAACCCGTGTTCACGACAGACATCCCCGCAGTTGGCGCGGTTTCTATGGCGGACACAGTCGCGGGTGCTGTCGCCCCTGGAACGGGATTGGGTAGTTCGACGCTTGCGCCGTCGAAATCAAACGCCCATGCTTCAGGATCATCGATCTCCCCGGCACCTGCTGGTGGGTGATTTACTAAAGGCGAAGTGGACAAGCCGGTGGGCCCAATCTGCAGTTGCTGCTGAGATTGGGCCGGTTCAAAAGGTGACTGCAAAGGCGGGTTAACCTCCGGGTTCAGTTGTGTTGTCGTTCGCGGATCCGGAGCCCTTAACGCACTGAGGTTGTCAAAAAAGCCGCATGATACATGCTGGTTACTGTTATCCTGTCCTTGCAGGAACTCCTCGAGATTCGACGCCCAGGAGTCCTCTGAAATTCGGCTCCTGGTTGGCAGAGCATTTTGACGGCCGTCCATCGTCATATCAAAGCCTATATCTGATGCTGCTCCTACCATCCCTTGTGGCACTCCCTCCGTGGTCGTTGCTGCAGAGGGGCCTACGGTTCTAGGATTTTGTAACATGGGATCAGTGCGGATTTCCATCCCACCTAATGGCACCAATGGCAGACCTGTGGATGGAGGTAGCTCTGGGATGCTGAATTCAGGCCCGAACCCCATGCTAAAATCGATTTCTGGGAGGCTGGGGCAGCAAGGGACGGGCGGTTCCCCACCACTACTCATGATTCCTGGAGTCAGATTTGGCTGTTGTGGATTCTGCATGAGGGTCACATTTTCTTGACTTATATATTTGCCACGTTGTGCTGGCACCAAACCTGAAGTATTAGATGGGAAACCAGGGCCGCCGGTCCTACTGCCTGGCTGTACTTGTGGCGTCATTCGGGCAACCCGCTGGCCATGCCCGGACACTTGGGGTTGAGGCTGGGTTTGTCGGGCGGCCGAGGCGATACGCTGAGGGTAGGCCGCTGGATGATAGAACGACAGAGCTCGCTCACCCGATGCTCCAGTTGAGAGAGGAGACTGCAACTGTTGCAGACGTGGGCGATTTGATGGAGATTGATCATAAAACCCACTTCTCGATACTCTCCCCCCCGTCACTCTTCTCTCCTGCCCTGTTCCTTGCGTGTTATGACTCTGTACTCGCTTTAGCGCATGCTCATGCGGTTTCCATCCCCGGTGATGCTGTAAAATAAGTCGGCCCCGACTCGCAGTATCTCCCATGCCCTGCACGGCACCACGAGCAGCATGCAAAACTTCCGGCTCTGGGTTCACCACTTTCTCATAGAATATCACCGGCGGAGTGCCACCAACCCACCAGGTATGCGGTACGCGTTGAGACCCACTTGCGCGTAATCCTCCGATAATTGCACCGGAAAGCTGGGTCCCGTCATACACCCGAATGTTCCCAGTCTCTGCTTCACCGCGCTCGTGATCATTCCAGTACACACGGAAATGGTATTCGCGGCCGACAAGAACGCAATATATTCCTCCAAGCCAACGATACGTTGCTTGCTGCTGCGAACCATTACCATCTATATAATTAAAGGTCATGTTCCGTAAACTATGGGACTGCAGTAGCGTTCGTTGATCGGGTCGGACGGCTAGCCGCCAGGGAAGCTCATTGAATCGTCTCTCGATGCGGTTAGCTCCCATGGTTCCACACTGGGGACACTGGAAGCGCTGCTGGCACTGAAAAGTTCGTGTAAGCAAGTCAGCAAGCTCAACACCCGTCGTGTCATTCTCATGAAAGTCAGGGGCTAAGAGGGTCACAGTCTGAACCACACTGCTCGTCGTTGCTTGTTGACAGGGGCACGGATGAAGTTGCTCTGTGTACCGAGTGTGAAATTGTTTGAAGGACTCCGTACAGGCACCCCACACATTTGCAGGTATTATGGAAAGGCCCTTGTCGCTAAACCAATTGAGAAGGATCCCTCTGAACTCTTCGCGTCGACTAACGCTGTCGGCATCAGAAAGGACGTCCCAGTTAACGTTCAAAGCATTGAGGAACGCATTTTCTAGGCCAGAGAGATGACTGGTCCAATTTATATCGCTTTCACGGTCCGCAACGGTCGATCCAGCATCAAGAAGCCTTCCGACAACAATTGCGCAGTCTACTGCAGTTGTATCTTGGCTTGAAACGGGTCCTCGACCACGGTAAGGATACCAACATCCGTTGGGGTCAAACCTCAATCCGGCCATATCCCCTACAACAACTGCACGAGCATGTGAGACGGTGGAATAGGACCTAGAGGTACTTAAAGTGAGATGAGCTCCGGTACTTGCAACGAGACTTCGCGCTGGGCGCGTAACGGGAAGTGAGTCAGGATGCCGCTGGAGCTGCCTATACGCAAAGCCAATAATTGCCCGTTCTATAACTTCGATCACTTCATGTGCCATTGGTGTTGATAAAACCGATACTGGTTCTCTCATCGACCGCCATGACGCAGCCGACATTGTCTGATTTCGGCTTGGACTCGACTGCGCTATGCTCGGTACTGGTTGATGAGGTTGGTTAGCGCTTTGACTTGGGGTCATAAAGGTATGAGCTAAGGGTTGCGGCGTTGTATATGTTTGGGGATAGAACTGTCTGAGGTTAGCCGGTTCAAACCCCTGATTTTGGTCAGAAATAGGGGCTGGAATAAACTGCATTTGTCGCGATGGCGGTATATTGGAGCCCCCGTGGGCAAGAACAGGATAATTGGGTGCCCGCATTGGTACGAATTGGTTGGGCATGTGTACCAGGGGTCCCGATGGTATACTGGGCAGCATTCCCATTTGAGGCTGATGTTGTGTGGGCAGTGGCGGAAGGTATATTGAGGCTCCTGGGAGCCCATTTGGATAATTTCGGCTGATTTGCAACGCATTATAGCTTCTGCGCAAAAGCCGGGGCCCGGCGTCGCAATTTCGAGATATAAAGTCATGCCAACTTGGACGAAGGTTTGGTGCTTGGTTGAATATAATTCTTTTTAGGACCTGCAGTAATCTCTCTTTCGTCCGACGTTCACCTATAACAACGTGGAAGCCCCATGTATGGTGCTTAACCAATTTCTTAAAGGTATCGAGATCGAGCGCCCTATTTCTCAGGTGAGTCTTGTCCGGGATATCATAAAGCTCCCACTCCTCCGGGGGGCATTGTAAGCGGTTGTAATCGAAATCCGGATAATTCTCGTTAACCTCAGAGGGCGGATCATCCGACGACATATTCCAAACCCTGCCTCCCTCCAAAAGTTGCCCGGACTCCAGATCGGAAGAAAATGGAGCGTTAGCACGGCGCCGAAACCACAATGCAAAATACTAATGCAAACTTCGATAATTTTGCATTCAAAGGTGCGAAAATGTTCCTCTGAGTAAGCCCAGTCCGGAGGGGCGAGGAGGATCGTGAAATACTTCAAGAAATACTTATTTCAAGGGTATTGTTTTGTGGGATGCTTCAACAATGGACGATAGACGACAATGTCAGGATATAAAGACTAAAATACTATGCAAAGATGTCAAGGTAGCACAGAAACAAAGGCAAGTGTCTAGAAGAAGACACTGAGTGAGGCCCATTGCATCAATATTGAAATTTATGGGCATTGTTCGAAGCCACTTCCAAACAGTTCGGCAGAAAAGGGCCGTCAGCTTTTGTTGGGCCAAAGCCCACACAGTGCGGAAGAAAGATATGTCCCATGGGGAACAGAGCCATTGATATTCCTATCAACCTTCAACTTGCCAATGCTTGACTCTCCGGCGAGGCCCTTTGATAGGTAATGGTGCCTGAACCGCATCATGGCAATGCACAGTCAAGTCAACTGTTAGAGAAGTTACATGTTAGCGTGGCAGCATATCGCCCTCAGCTAGGGATGGACAGATGAGCATGAGAAGAGGATGGTTGTTAAGGGGTTTATAAGTCTGGTGGAAGGTTTTAACTCCCTGCCCAACTCCAAGGCGTCGTTAACTAACTAGCTTAAGATTCGAGCCTAACCACAAAGGGTCTAGGCTGGTGATTCGGCTGTTCTCACCAAAACGCAGAAACAATCGCGGCGGAAAAGATGTCATGGGACCCAGACGTGCTGAATTCAACCCTCATAATATCAGAATATCTCGCTAGATATTATATGCTTTAAAATGTCACTAGCAGATATACTAAACAGTGGCAATGGAAATCATTTTGCTACCTAACAAATAGCATGAGTTTTGCCTGTCTTCCCCTGAAGCGAGTGGTCTTCATCCTGGTACTGAGGATGATTATGCGTCGCACTGCCAGAATTAGTGACATGACGGCGAATGTGCCTGAAAAAAGATTTGCAGCAGTTAGTTTCTAGCGAATGGATGTTGCGCAAAATCTTATAGGAGCCGGAGGAGCCGGAGGAGCCAGCGAGACATACTGTTGGAACTTTTCTAACGTTCTCTTATCCATGTCGCTTAATTGCTGCAGCGCAAGTTTGATATCATTCACTAGGTTATCGCAACGGCTCTTACTGAAGTCTTCGCGGACAACAATTCTCATGAGCTTCAGCTTCTCACTGTGTGGTGCCATGGTGTATGCCGGGACGACCCAGCCGCGTTCACGCAGTTGATGGGCAAGGGCGAACTCGTCGTACATGACATTCTCGTCATCCGGATTGAGTCGGAACGCGACGAGCGGCAAGCCGTGGCCTTTACCGTCACTCATGATGATGAAGCCTAGCTGTCTCAATGCGCTTGCTAGGTAATCGGCTGTGCGCGTAAGGTTGACCATGATAGAGCGGTAACCGCGTTTTCCGAGGCGGATCATTTGATAATACTGGCCGATAACCTGTGATGCTCCTTTGGAGAAATTAAGAGTGAAGCTTGCCTGGTTAGCTCCGAGGTAATTGATGTTAAACACCAATTCTTTGGGCAGGTATTCTGGCGATCGCCAGACAACCCAACCTACGCCGGGATACACCTAGAACGTCGACATGTCAACACTTGTCTCACTCTCGAATCGCAGAGCCCTAGAGACTAACCAGTCCATATTTATGCCCAGAAACGTTGATGGAAACGACCTTTTCCAGCCTGAAATCCCATTCGAGGTTGGGGTTAACGAAAGGTGCTACGAACCCTCCGCTGGCAGCATCGACATGGATCGGACAGTCGATACCCTTCTCGATCATGATATCATTGAGAGCTTTGATGTCCTCGTACTGACCGGTATATGTGGTGCCAAGGATAGCGCAGATACCAATGGTGTTCTCGTCCACCATGCTAATAGCCTCCTCTGGATCAATAACGTATCTCTCACTGGTGCAGTACACGAATTTCTCCTCGACATCAAAGTACCTAGCTGCCTTTTCCCAGCAAACTTGAACGGCACTGCTCATGATGATGTTGGGACGCGAGTAATCTTTGCCTTCTGCCTTGCGTTTATTTTGCCATCGCTTTTTCATAGCCAGGGTGCCGAGCATAATGGCCTCAGAAGAGCCGACGCATGAGGTTCCCATTGCATGGTCAGATTCATCTGATGCCGGAGCATTGAAAAGACGGGCAATCATATTGACGCAGCGGTTCTGTATCTCTGCAGACTGTGGATATTCCTCATAGTCGATAAAGTTTTTGCTGAAAGACTCTGCCATAAGCCTTTCTGCCTCTTCCTCCTACATTTTTGTTATTTCTCACCACACGTCAGTTGCAATTCATGATGTTGACCTTTTTTTTTTTTGTCCCCCTCCGGGGACAAGATGCTATCGGTTGCTTACCATGTAAGTCGTAACAAAGCTGGCCAAGCTACAGTCCGGCTTATGTGTTAGCTTAATGTGTTTCTATGCCCCTGAGGAAGCCATAATAACTTCTTTCCTCGACTGGGGACAGGAGGAAAGAAGACAAATCTCACTTCAACATCGGATTCCCATCCAGACTCAATTCATCCTTGATCATCCGATAGGCAACTTCCCGGGGCATTTCCTTCTCGGGCATCTCATGGGTGGGCAGGTCCTCGGCGGCAAAGCGCGAGCCGTAGACGCTAGAAAAGAAGTCATGTTCCTGGGGCTCCTCAAGCGGGATCGTATCTACCCGCTTCACCATGCGTAGTGGGAGCACCTCGGAGTTTTTGCGGACAGCTGCGAGATGGACCATTGTTGCGTGGGTGTCTTGGCACTATTCCAATTCAAGAGAACAATAACTATGATGAATATGGCTTTTATGCAGCTATGGAATGTTATCCTTCTTATGGCGATATAAGAACATGGAGAGAAAAAACAAAAAAAAAAAAAAAAAAAAAAAAGGATAGAAAGTGTAGCAAGAGAGGGGCAAGGGATGTTCCCTTTTATGCTGGTGATGAGGGGCTGTCAACAGGCCAGTGAGCAGCAAGTGGAGGAGGATGTGTTTCTTGTGCGAGTGTTGGACACGAATGGGAATGTGGAGAGCTGGAGCGTTCCATTGACCAGCCTGGATGGTTGCTTAACCTGTTTAGCCTGTCACTACTCACCGTCAAGCAATAACAAGCATTGACGGATTGCAGGGATCAACGAGTTCACAGCTGAATGGTTAGTAAGTCGGGCGGGGAACTGGGACACTTACGAGTTGGAGGCAGCCCCTCACAATGCTTCACACACCAATCAATAGGCAAAAGCGACAACCCTAAGATTGAAATTCACAATCCCCTGCAAAGCTAGACTGATGATATCCATTTTGCCACCTCAGTAAGTTGACCCTGGGACTTGGGGCAGTTATACGTATATCCACAGCTGGATTTCTTGCAACAATATACAGGGGGTGGCCTTGTAAGCCTTCAAGTGACTGGGCTGCGGGACACCACCCATGGTTTCCAGGCCGCAGGCAAGTAGCGAGATACGATCCGAGGAGATACCAAATACCCGCTGGACACCCAGGCCCCATCACGTCCAATAATTTACTTCGATTGCTGTAATTTGTAGCATAGCGAAACTCTGTACTGTAAGGGGATCGTGGTTCGTTTCGTCTATATACAAAGCGCCTTCGACTTCCCGAGTGAATACGTAGTACACTATCGACGAGTCGCCACCCAGAACTGCGCCCAATATGCATTTTTTGATAGTGTATCTTTGTTGAACCCATACGGTGCCTCCATTTGACGAACTTTTCTACCTGGCAGGCTAATATCCCCACATTGCGGATCCGTGTCTTGAAGGTCAAATCCAACTGCCTCAGAGATGTCGATAATTTCATCCAAAGATAGCTGAATAACTGGAGAGGAGCCGTAAAGCAGAGGCCCGAGGTTTATCCATACCCCACCTTGACGTATAGTGTAAGTTATATTGTCCAGTCCGACATCTGGGATATCAAATGAAGCGGTAAAAGCTCACCTGGCTTGAGTAGCTGGTGGATGGTTTCAATATACGTAACAATGTTGCGCGCCGTATCGATGAAGAACAGAGTTACCACGGCATCAAAGCGGCCTTGATCGCTAGGTTTCTTGAAAGCCGTTGTAAAATCCCCTTCAACGAGAACGACGGAATGAGGGTCGACAGGCACAACAGGAAATGTAATGGGCCGGTGAAGCTCTGCCGTTGTTGGCTGGTGTGACCACCAGTCGATGTAAGGGTAGATAGTAGACGAGTTAGCCAAAGAACCTCCTGGAGACGTAATGTAGCGGTACGCAACATTCATGTACATCGACCATTCGTTAGCAGTAACTTCAAAGCCTATCAAAAAAGCAGTCAGCAGACCACAGAAATAGATCCATCACAGATTGAAGGTGTACAGGACAAACTTGCCTTGCAAATCAGCAATGTCATGCGCCAAACGCCCAAGCCCGGAGCCTGGCAAAAGGACTCGAACAGGGTTGGCGCGGTCCCGCTTGGGGTATAGCTTCTCAAGGGTGTTTAGGATGTGAGGGAAGGTACTGATCCGTTCATGCTCGCCCTCTGGCGCCCAATCACGGATATAATGCTTCAAGGCCTGCGAGACGCTCACACGCTCGGCAGACTGCCCACTCGACTCCACGTCATGGACGAACTTTTGAAGCTCGGAGAATTCAACACCATAGAACTCGAGAGCGTGGTCGACAATTTTCTGGGCTATTACATCATTCTTTTTTATGAGTCGTTCCGTCTGTCGAATCTTTTCGTCGTACTTAACGGTGAGTTCAATCAGCTAATCAACGCTCTGTCAGCGGAACCCTTCCAGCGACCATTAAGCAAAGTGATGCTCTGCACTGTTATAGAAAACTTTGAAAACCACAAAATCGGGTCAGCGTTGGCTAAGTGTGCAGCATATCATACCCGTTTCTGATTGTCGGGTAGACTCTTGTATCTGGTACTGATAGTATTCAAGTCATTCATGGCAATTGTTGCATATCGATAAAATCCATGAAGGGCGGCCAGCAGCCGACGTCGAGGGTGATATTGGCTTAGCTCGCCATTCGGCCGACGTAATCGCTGGAGGAGAAATTGCTTCTCTTCCTGATGTCGATCGACAGTGCCGGGAGGAGCAGAAGAGACCACGGTCTAAGAAAAAAAATCAAAATAAAAATATGCACCAGTATGTTATAGATCTGTCAAAACGTCTCTGGATAAAAGTGTGCACCATCCCGGGGTAAAAGGGCGTTTCTCTGGCCCTATGGACCTCAGCATAAACTTGGATATCTGGAAAAGTACGTTCTGGCGTATATTTGGCTTCTTACATACCTCGACGACAATTTTTGAAATCTCAATTTCTTCACCCGCCAAAAACCCGAAGATACTTTTCCTGTCGGGGAGTATCAGCGCCAGCAAAAGAGTTGCAGTGATAGCTCCGATGTGAAACCAGTATCGTGTGGAAATCATCGTGGAGGTCAACAGGTATCTCAATGCAGCTGCTTAGGGATATATAGTATCCATAGGGAAATGAACCAAAATGACATCCAAGCACGTCCTTTTAAGGTCCTCCTCCTGGCCGCTAACATCGGACCAAAAAGTGGTTCAGCCTTGAGCCTAGGGGGACCTTGGTAGCAGCCATGAAGGTGCAAGCACCGAGATCTGGCGATGCGTTGATATAGAGCATTCCTGGCTAGCGTGCCTGAGCTCCGAATAGAACTGTGGGATGCAACGACGGATGACAGCTGACTGCGATCTATCCGGTTGACGGATTAACTTCAATAACTATTGAAGCAGGAAGCCTTTCAAATCATGACATCCGGATACATTCATGGTTCCCCGAGGTCGGGGACGGTCGCGATGGAAGTCGACCTCACATTGAGAACAAAACGCGGGATGACATTCTAGCCAGTTGGATGGATGCTTTCGGATCCGAGGCTTGGCTCCAAGCTATCTCGTATTGCTCGCCTTGTTCTCCGCTATTTAACTCGGGGCCAAGAGTTATCGTTAACTTTATTATTGGGGCGTTGTAGGAATCTTCTCCCGCCTGGGACAAAACCATCGCCGCTATTTAGCTAGCCAGCGTGTAACTCGCTCTTGTAATTACCGGTGATCTGCTCCATGACCCATTAAATCTTAAGGGTGCTGGGTTGCCGCGCCGTAACATAGCAGTAATTAATTACACTTACTCACGGCACCTAAAACAGCGGTTCTTCCTTTTCTCGCGCTGCTGGCAGCTCCTGGGTTTCAGCACTACGACACGACGCAGGTCAATTTGAGTCAATCAAAAGTGCAGCTGTTTTTGTTATGGTTATGTACGGAGTACACTTTTTGAATTGGCAGCAGAAAAGGTAAAAGCAAGAAAGTCAAAAACGCAGACTTTGGTCACATCAAAGAGGAGAGGTATTGTGCACTTTCAAGTACAAATTAATGATTCGAAATGTCCATCCACAGGGGGGGAAAGAAGGGAGATGCGAAAATTCAACGGAAATGCTATCATGAAGCCAACACTGCCGGTTGATTCGCCGTCGCATTTTCGGCAGCTGTTGTCGTCGTCCCCGTTTGCTGTCCTCCGACTTGTCCTCCTCCTTCCACGTTCCCGCCGCTACCTCCGCCGGCAGCACCTGTGTCCCCAACGCCCGATTGCTTTGTCGAGGCTCTCCGCAAAATTTTATTGAAGAATCCACGATCTTCTTCCATCTTCGAATCTCGCCGCTCTGGACGACCTGGCTCAGCTTTGCGAGATTCCTTCTGTTCTCCCAGCTGTTGCTTGACCGCTTCTCTCTGGCGTCTCTTCTCCTCCTTCTGCCGGTCCTTTTCTTCTCTTTGGCGCTTCTTCTCAAGGGCTTTGGCATCCTTCTCGGCTCGTCTACGGGCCCAACGGCTTTGTTTATGTGCTTCCTCTCCTTCGTGTGGTGGTGGCACAGCTTCAACTGGTTCTTCAGCTCCAGGCGCCATTCCTGCCACGCGCTCTTGAACGGGGGCCTGTGGCCGTTCCTCAACTGGTTGCCCCGGAGTCTCAGCACGGAACTGTTCCGGGATCTCTTCTCGATCGGATTCCTTCCGCGGTGGTTGCCCTACTCCAGCCACCAAACCCGCCTCTTTGTCTCCTTCGCGGAACCGTTTTGATTCTTCGGTGCGCTCTGCCTCTCGGGCAGGTTCTCTTCTTCCGGGCACAGCACCAGGACGTTCCTCCCCACGAAACTGCTCGGGTAGCTGGCCAGGTTTCTCTTCACCGGAGGCTTCTGGGATACGTCCGCTTGTCCTTCGTTTCTGGCGCTGGGCCAATTCGGCCTCGGCCTCGGCCTGTAACACCGCGCATTCATATGCAAGTATCACTCTAGGTTCCTCTTTCTCCTTCGCCTCTTTCTGCTCCGTCGTCAGTGCTTCCGGCCGTGATTTATGTGCTTCCACGACGGCCCGCTCTGCCTCAGCCTGTTGAGCTGCAAGCAAGTACACTGGTATCATGCTCGCTGGCTGCGGCTGCTGGCGTCCTACTCCTTCTGCTCCTCTTGCGCTTCCTACCCCTACTCCTCCTTCTCCGCCTTCTCTTCCTCCTACCTGGACAGGCGCAGCAGCTTGTTCTTCCGTAGACACGTACGGAATTTCCGTGGCGTTTCCGATTACCAATGTCTCACTGCGCCGCGGCGAAGGAGCTCGCGCCAGGGCAGGACGCTCTGCTTCTGCGGTGGCGATAACAGCTGGAGTTGACATGCTGGCTGGAAGGTCCCATTCTTCCTCCTCGTCTACCCCTGGGTTGGCGGGTAGAGCAGACGACAAACCGCCACTTTCGATGATTTCATCGTCTTCCCACGCAGCCCTATCATACTTTTCATCGACACCACCCGTGGTTCCCACCTTCTCGTATTCACCAAAGCGCTCTTCTTGAACCGCTTCTGCTGCGGGAGGCGGCTGTTGCCCCATCGCCCTCTTTGACACCTTCTCCTTTGTACAGTATGCGGATGCTGCAGCGGCCACCGCAGCACCTTGTTCATCGTGGACTCCAAGCGATCGACCTCGAGACGAGCGCAAAGACGGAAACGCTCTCTGCTGGTTGTTCGGCCCCGAGGCTTGTGTTGGGCCAGATACTGAAACGGACCTCGGCCTCGCTGGCTCAGCCTCCGTGGTTGGCTGTGTCTCTAAATAATCGGTTACTACATATCCTCAAAAGGGGTGTCTTCGCGGATATAAAGGCCAATCGTACCCTCAGCGGAAGTTGTCCCATTGACTTGAGTTGTTCCTACGGCCATTGTTTCGGGGTGAGCCTCGTCGGAAACTTGACGTTCAGGACCGGCCAACCCTCCAGGAATCTGCTCTTCAGTCAATGTCGGCCTCCGTTCGCGAGCACTTGCATCATGGGTCTCAGCAGCAGTTCTTCCAGATCGACTAGTTGAAAAGTGTGACCCGGGTCCCGTCATCAGACCTTTTGGCCTGTGCTTAGAGGTTCGATCATGGCCGCCCCCTTGGTCCTTCTTGTGGCTAGACAGATTCGCGTCTCAGCGACTCGATGGCTATGGGGGAAATAATCAGCATTTCACTTACCCCAGTGATTTAAGCCTGCGCATATTTTTGACGAAAGTCAAGCTTTTGTTTGCTCAGCGAGCAGCGCCAAGGTATCTTGCGAACCCCCACTCTCTCGCGACTGTGGGGGGAAAAAGAATCGAGCGTCTTACGTTGGCTATTATGGCGTATGCGGGGAATTATAAGAGGGAGCGTGGCCCAGCTTGGTTGGCCCGGTGTTTCTCTTAAGATGGCGATTCCATCTCCATCGGGCAAAACTATGGAACGGTGAAGTCATGCATTTCCATGTTTTTTGGGGGGCTACATGGACCATTGAGTGTTGGTAGGGAGCACATGGCTGGGAGCCAAAGTCAATCGGTGGATATTTCCATGGGAACAAGCTCACCTTTTTCGTGAGTGAGTTCAAGAGCTGTCATGTCAGCCGGGAAGCCGTTGACCAGCTTTACGCTCGAGCAGCGCTGGCGGATTATGTAATATTCTGCTTATTAATCGTCGTGGGTTTGTGGAAGTTGGTTTGTAAAAGCTTCCATTGAAGGAGGATGGCGGGATTGACTGACTGCTGGCATTGCAACTACAACTTCTGACGCTCAAAAGCTATCCATTGCGACCACGACGGCAATTGCTTGAGGGCTGTCGATACGGAATCGCGAACAGAAAAGCCCACCATGGGTTGCTGATCGGATGGATTCTTGCATACGGAGCAGAGCAAGGAGAGAAAAAAGGGACAGACAGAAAGACAGAAATGCTCTATATTTGCTAAAGTCGAGATCTGAAGGGATAACCATCCAAAATCATTGTGTGCGGAAGTAAGCGCCAATCCAAAATTCCAACTTATCCCCGACGTCGCTCTTGGCGCGGGTCGAGACAGGGGCCAGGGGGCAAACACGATGTCAAGACCAGCCCCAGAAAAACACACTCTGTGCCTTATCACCTCCAGTTGCCTATCCCTAAACATTGACCAGCCATGTCTGGTCCGTTATGGCATTGAGACGGATAACAAGGATGGGTTTCGGCTACTTTGCTTTTACCAAGCCGGAAGGTCGAGCGATGATAAAGGCACCTGGTGCCCAAGGGTGAAGTTAGCCCCCCCCCTTCCCCCGGGGATGTCGTGAGCGTCACCTCCTTGCATAATGCTGGAGAATCATTTGGCAGCAGGATGTTTCTTTTCGGTTGGTTCAGGGGCACCGGACTTCTGTGCAGCCTTGATGGCACTGGCATGCAGTTGTTCTAGTTCGGCTGCGAGAGGATCATCGTGGTGTTCGAAAGTCATGGACTCGGCATGTCCTGCTCTTGTTAGCTTCTGACTGTGAGAATAACGGTGTTTTCACACGGAACACCCGTCGGCTTACCATCGAATATTGCCCCAACCCCGACTAGGTCGGGAGCGAAGCCGTTCTGCGTGCCTTGGCCTTCCGTGTCACCGCCTGGGGTAGGAGACATGCTTCTGTGTGACGGTTCATTGCATGATACGTTAATGGATTTGCTTGTACCCGACGGTGCTGGGGAGAGACAATACCTGGTCAAATTGCGGTAAAAAGCTGATCGAGAGGCTACCGGGGCGGCTTTGGGGCTTCTAGTCCTTGTTTTGGAATGTCTTTATCCCAGGAGGAAACCGGGAAGCAAGCCAAAAACCTTGGGGGGGAGGGAAAATAAGAATGTAGGAAGAACGCAAAAGATCTCGTATCTGTTGTGTCTCTTTATAGCAATAAAGGGGGACTGACAGACGAAACCCAATCGCTCCTTTTGCCAACGACAAGCCACCTAGTGATTGGAGTGGAAAGGAAAATGATTGCAGGAAAATGCGACCTGCCTCCCAACTGAGGAAGCCCCCTATTTATACATGAAAAGGAAATGATTGTTGCTCAGGATATTGATTTGGATTGGATACTCTAAGCATCGCTTCTTACCTGACTGTTCGATAAATAACACCGCCGAAAAAAGCTTGATCCCGACGAATCTTCAATGGTGATTTTCCCAACCAGCAATTGACGTCAACCTTAATACGTACTGTTTGTTGTGAAAATACAATCGCCATTGATTGGAAACTAAGGCGGGCCTCGAGTGGCGCCAAGCAGGGGAGAGTAAGTTTACTGGTGTCTTTGGCCAATGTTTTCCAGTTCAGGCGGCCAAACTTGCTGTGTTATGGCTCTGAGCCCTGCACGCCTTGTCTAGGATGAGCGACATTCTCACCAGGTTCTCTCTGCCCCGGACAGGACAGGACAGGACGGAATGGATAAGCATGAAATAAGGCGCGATGGAGGTAATTTTGAGATGGGTGGTTAGAGCGCCTCGGCGGAAGTCCCAAAAACGCGGCCGAAATCGGCCACTGGTGGCCAGCTCAGGCCTTGGTCGTGCGACTCGGTTCATTTTGCTGTTAGCGCAATCGAAGTTTCAAAGGCCGTTTGATTCAATCAATGCGTCAAAGCTCAAGGATATGATAGTCCACCAACCAATGCCTGGATTCTGAGGATTGAACACGGAATACAAAACGTTACCTACTTTCGAAGAATGCCAGGGATATGGTGGCTCCGTAATTGCCAGGTAATTCATAATATGATGTCTTTGCTATTTCGATTAGGGCGGACTGCAAAAAGCGCTGGTTGCGTGGCGTCGTGCATGATTACCCCCGGGGGTCAATGGGAATGTGGCAGATTCACCTTCGCAGTGGACATATTACAGTTCCCTAGACCCGCGAGATCGCGGATATCGCTCCCATCAGTGTGACTCACGCTATGATCCTCTGAGAGAATTTGTTACAAACTGTTAGCGCCCTAGCATCACCAGGGCTAATACAGTGTTTGATGCGGTATATCCGACTCCATTGCCATGCAATGGCGTTTTTCCAGGGACCATTTTGCCATTGGGCGTAGTATCTCACATCCCGCAAGTTTAATCTCTCTTGAACAGAAGAAGCGTGTAGTTACACTACATATGCACTGTGATTAGCGGAGCATATCAGATCTGCCAAATCGCATTCCGTACGGGGTTAAGCAGAAGGCTATCCGCTTTCGCTAGGCAAAAGCAGCTGGTGGTTAAAATGACAGAAATGGGATTCGAGCAGAGTTCTCAATAATTGACATCGAATCCACCCCTGTTACAGCAAAAGACATAATTCCGGCGCCCAACCCCGTGTCGGCAAGACGAGATCTGTGGCCATACCGAGGAGGTTTGATATTGACAACCCCGCGCAGCCGGTGGTATACTGTGTGTGCACGCAATTATCAACCTCACCAGCCAACCAATATGACAGATACATTCGTATTCAACCGGACGACATCGGGCTCTAGGTTTTAGAAGCAGGAACGGCAACGTCAAACACACATCCAGGCACATATTCTAAATATAATACTACTCGAGTGTGAGCCCATTCAGATCAGGTGTGGTACCAAAGGTGTAGCGGAGTTCCACTTAAGGAAAGAATTTCGCCTCCGTTTAAGATCGACAGTCCACAAAAGTAAGTAAAGCAGAGGGGTTTCAATAACTCTTATGAGCAAAGGAAACATTTTTTATCCTTATCCAACAAGAGAAGCAGAGTGGAAGATATTACAATGCGATTACGTCTCTGCACCAGGTCCCTGATCTGACCAATCGAAGGTCTGCCATTCCCTGAACATGTCCTGACTCCCTCCAAATGTGATCTATCTCCCCGAAGGAAATCAGAGTCCCCACTTTCAACTCTAGGCAGATCGAATTCTCCGAGGAACATCTAACAGATTCTCCCCATTACATTTGTAACACAGGTCAACACGAGATAAACTTAGCTTTGTCTGAGCCACAACGGTAATCGCTGATCCCTTACCCAAATCCTCTGTGAAAATTCTCCCGCTGAGGAAGCGTCAAGGGCTATTTGGAATATTTGGATTCCCGAACAGAACAATGCCTGCCGCTTTGGCGATTCCAGCACCGCAGCTCATCGACAGTTTGATCGTTTTACCTTGCGGCCTCGCCAAATCTTCACTTGGTGCTACTGCTGTTCAGCGAGTACCTGCTTCGGTTCTCGATTAGGATTCTGGTGTATGGAAAATGCGTATGTACCTCGAAATCCAGCAGAGTACGCATCCGGGTCGAATCTATAGTATGCGCTGCGCATATTATCGAAACGAACTGGCGGTCACCTACCTTGCTGGGAGTACAGAGTCGCCAGAGGTTTAGGTCACGGAATACTTCAGGCCCGTCAGTTTGGGGCACCTCGTATTCGGATCGGCACCAATATGTTTTTGCTGGCATTGACAGAAGCTTCGACCGATCCCCGTCTCTCTGTCCAGCGCGTGACTTTGAAGCATGTCTGCGTGCCGCCCAAATGGTCTGCCAGACAGGGTGGATGAGCAGGGACAAATGAGATGGGGCGCTTTTGACGTGGAAATTTTATTTTGTTTCATTTCATTTCATTTCATTTTCAATTTTTTCTTTTTTTTTTCTTTCTTTTTTTTTTTAAAGTTAAGGCCGACGGAGTACTCCGTTCAAGGGCTGAAAGAAACGCAATCCACGTCGGTGCCTGGGTTCGGCTGTCTCCACACCCTGCGGTGGATCCAGGCTTTCTTGCCATATGGTGGCGGCGGAGGCTAAAGGCACCACAGAACCCCAAAAGGATCTTCCTCACTCAGGCTAGCACGCTAACTCTGGAGTGACAGGGGTCGGAAAACATAGTTGTCATGCAATGGAAAGGAGAAGAACAACATGGAATCACACCAAGTTAGCAAGTTGAGAGAGAGAGAGAGACGATGATCATATTTTCGACAAAGCTTTTACCTTTTTCTTTTTTTCTCTTTTTGATTCACCTTCCTGAAGAGGGTTCGGAATACATAGCTAGATAGGACTGGAGATCCACTGCCAGTAAGAAGATGGATAGGAGAACCGACGACCAGAGTTCCAGTATCAGAGGTTCTTCGCTTCCCAGGTTAGGCTCGGCAAGGCCACCGTTTGGCTGGCAGGTGGGAATATTTGTTGTGGCGCCGCGACATCCTCTTTGCAGGGCCTTTTCCCCATGGTCACGATCCACACAAATTTTAAACTGATTTTCGCATGTGAAAAGATCAGCGCCCCACAAGCACGAGGCGTATGTAGTTGCTCAACCAAATGTGGATTTTCGACGGGAAAAAAGTGTACTCTGTACGGAGTACAGAGTACAGAGTAGCGAAAAAATATATGCTAGTGAACAAGAGCCTTGCTCCCATTCCACCTCAATTCACGAATCACAATAGCATCCTCCCAATCTTATCCTAATTTACAAAGTAGCCTTTTAATTTCATCGCATCCCAAGCTGATCTCAAAACAGTACAGTATGAGTAATGCCAGCAAATGCACCAGGCTGAGAACCTGGAGGCTAAATTACATGGAGACTAGTGTCTCAACATGCCTTCGCCGGCCCATTTGGCCTTGCAGCCCTCCTTTGAAGACCCAGCTTGAAGAATTAACCCACTGCTCAAAGCTGCTAGCGGAGGAGTCTATGAGCTCACCCCTTGTTAAGGTGGGTTGAACCCATGGAAGATAGGGGGTCTTCGCTTGCGGTTTATTCTGCTGCGTTGGCGCGGCATATCTTGATTAACTATGTATTGCTACATACTGATTTGATGATTGACCGAGATGTGATCCCCTTGGCACTAAAAGTTACAGACTTGATCTAGGCTTCACATACACCTTAGCAGAGCCTCCAAGTACTCTTCCCTCCGGTTATTTGAAATGCTCCAGTGTGACTCATCCTCCACTCTAAGATGCGCTCTACCACGCAAGCGTGCCGCTATTTGCACACCGTGATTGAGTGGCACAGAACTATCGTGCTTCCCATACCACAGCTGCACTGGTAGGTCGGAACGAATATCCTCCACTTGAAAACCAAAGTCAGTGCTGACCAACCTGCCATCCTGCACGGTCGGATCACACCCGTGCGCGAAGCTTTCCCGACTAGTTCGCAAAAACAATCGGAGAACATCTTCATCCCTCATAACCTCTAGCTCCTTCTCCACCTCGCGAGACAGAGTTGCTTTGGACCCGGACCTTGACGACACATCCTGCTGCAGAAGCTCAAGACGCTTTTCATCGCTCAGGTCCAAGCGTGCTGGCAGCTGGCGTTGAAACCACCACCGGGTGAGCGTGGGAAACAAGCGATATCCCCATGTGAATCCCAATCAGGTTGGCCAACCCGCACCGCGCATACCGATGTCAGGGGGGCCTAGGCCGCAGACAATCGAAACACACTTGAGCTTTTCATGGGGTAATGAGAACGCACAAGCAAGTGCATATGGTCCGCCTCCTGATATTCCCTACATTTCAAGCATGTAGGCTACTGTGAGCAAACAATCTCGGACTATCTCATTTCAGGGATAGGTGACGCATCGCTTGTATGTACGAACCAAGACACCATATTCATCCAACACAAGATGCTCTGCAAGGCGTTCCAAGTCCCTTGGATGATCAAGGAGTGTGTGACTGGGGTGTGGTGAGCTCCAGCCAAAACCAGGCCTGTCTGCGGCAATAATACGGGCGCCTAATTTCAGCCCCAGCTCCTCAAAACAAGCCGCCTCGACGCGAGAGCCTGGAAGGCCATGGAGGTAAAGGATAGCTCGCCCATTTGGTGAACCATACTGTGCATAACCGAGTTTTCGGCCGTCTGGGAGGATGAAAGTGTCGGAACTGTCGTTATCGAGACGGAAACGGCACTTGGAATGTTCATCATCTTTAATGACCGCTGGAGGGCTGGCTGGGTGATCATTGATGGTTGTTGTGAAGCTGGTGAGTACTCGAAAAAGGTAAGCTCCCAAGTCCAATATTAAGGACATAGCAAATAGATGTATCGTTGACTTGCAACGCTCAATGTTCCACTATTTGCCTAATTCAGTATAATGTGGTGCATAGACTTGATTCTTAGGTAGTTAGTTGGTAGTGAACGTTAAAAATGTTCACGCCAAGCATGGAGTATATCTGATGTTTATAATTAACCAGCTTTGGTTAGTGGCTATGGGTTGAAGGTGGGTTCCACCAGCAAAAGTGTGGTCACTTTGCATTTGACATGATCATGTTGTGATCACAAAGATCCTTGACATGTCTTTCTCACCCATCCAAAGATAAAGGAGCTAATAAGCTTATCTATGGATTTGAAGCTTAATTCAGTGCTTGGAAATCCCTCCACTAGCAGCTCAAATGCCAAATCTCGTCTTTAAAGTAGATTATTATAACTATTTCCTTGCTGAAATTTACTTCATCATTTCCAAGTCCTTTCAAAAATCAACTTCCAGATGTACAAGCGGAAATAATGTAGCTAGGGCAAGGACCAAAGTCAGATTTGCGCTAAAAATGTTTTAGAGTTTGTTCGAACTTTCTTGCTAAATACCCCGTACTTCTAATATAAAAAGGAAAATTGAACATGAAGTACTAGCTGTTGAATGCGCGGGATGTGGGTTATCCCGCAATATCTACGGAGTATGGGACGGTTCCTTTTGCCCACCTCACTGGTGTAACTACTCCACAGAAGACTAGAAAAGCTCGGCCCTGATTATCCGCGGTGTCGATCACTCCTGAGAAATGCTTGATCAAACCCTCGATCAAATTATCATAAAAGGTCCTCGTGTGAGAATCCTTAATCGAATCCTCTCATAAGCATCCTTCTCACGAGAATACTAGTAACATGAGGCAAAGAAACTCAATCGTTGGAATACCATGACAAAATCCAATGGGTTAGAGCACCAAATTGTTGAACGAAATTATCTACCAGATGGTTCTTGATACCTAGCGGTCGAGTCTTCGTCTGTGGGCATTCCGGTTCATATTTCCTCCGCGTCGAGCCAAGTCGGAGAGAGTGACATGCCTTCTCCGCGTCAGTTGACAAGTCTACCACGAGACACAAGCAGTGCTTTTCCCCCCAACACTTTAACCCCTACATCAGCATCCCGGAAAAGCGGACTGTTCGTCTCTTTCTGAGATCCGTTCAGCCACCGTCCGCCGGCCACCTACCCCTCAGACTGGCACTATACACCAGACTCAATCCGACATAATTACAGGGACATGAAGGACTCGCGCACACTCTTAACAGATGTGTTTCCGCAGCTGGCGCATGTCCAGTTAACCATCTAGGTCCAGATCAGATAAGTGCGAAAACTTATCGCCACCGCCGTGTTCTTGCTCAACACCTTTTTCAACAACACCTGAATCACTTGACTTTTATGGTCTGTGATCACTCACCATTGGACCCAAGGGGCAAGAATTGCAAGAATTGCCTTCTTTAGAGTGAAATCATGGGAATAATTTCCCTTTGATAGCCAGGTGAACAAAGTGCATTGGGATCCCTGGATACACAAGTAAATGCAGCCAAAGTCAACATACCAAGATGGGCCCACTAACAGAATTTTTTGCTCTTCCCTATTCCCTCCCTTGTCCATCAATTTGTGCAAAGCAGTGTCTCTCTTTTTATCATTTTTTAGCATATACATTCCCACTACACGCTTATTGGCAAGGAAAGGTAGGCATTCTTTGAAAGCGGCCTATTTCACAGGTTGGATCCAAGCAAACAGACCACTGATTATCACTCAATGAACCTGCTAGTGAGGTGCTACTTTACCCGACAGATAAGAGGATATACCCATTTATTACCCTGCCATGCAAACACTAACATCTATCTAGGCTATGATTGCGTTCATTATATGCAGAAGGATTGTCGACATTTCATGTTAACGAAGATCCTGGTTTTACTGCTAAAGGACTCGGCTTCCGCTGCCACGGTTATGGGATCGAGGCACATGAGTACATCTCTGTAGAAATATGCTACCAGAGCTTGATGCCCAAAATTTACATAGGATTTATGACGTCGACTCACTGACCTTTGTGCCATGTCACTTGGGCATCTTCCAAATGCGGAGAGATCGAACCGTGAGAATTATTTACACAATAGTACATTAATGCCTATTCTGGGTATATGAAGTTGCATCTCTCGTGCAAGGCGATGGCAACCAGAGCAATCTCGAAAAGTGCGATTCCTGAATGGAAGGTCACGAAGTTTGTTGCGGACCAATTCGCATCAATCAAATGATATTAAAATAATTCTGAATTCACTCCTCATGTGTCACGGCCATATCAAGCACTTCCACCCGCCCTCTTCCCTTGGTCTCTCCGCCAACAAAATCACCGAGAGCCTTGAACGCTCCCGGTTCCGCGAAACCAACAACCTCCCATTCATCTTTTCCGAGCATCTCTTGGGATTCCACCTGTTCAAAGTAGCCCAAGATCCGATCCTTGACAGTCCCTGTTCCGGCCGATGGACCCTGGACTCCGCCGATATCGCGACCTTCATCATCGTTATCATCTCCTTTCTTACCCTTTTTGCCTTTTCCTTTGTTACTCTTCTGTGCGGCGCCGCCCCCAGCAGCACCACTGGTGTTTGTCGTGGATCTAGCCGCCTGTTTCAGCACTGAGGTAGGACATGTAATCCGTAGCCGCATCCGCGCGCGCATCACAGGAATCGGCTGCCACGAGATGAGAGCTTTCATCGCATCCAGAGCTTGACTCTTGGCAGATTTGGTCGTCACCACTCCCGTCCACAACGGTTTTCTATGCTGGGACGTCGACTCCTCCGACGGCGGGACGGGTGTGCCTGTTTCGCTCCTCGAGGGCGTCTCCGACGGCGTCTCTACACCACCCTTGGGCTTCCCACCCTGCTGCCCGCTCGCCGCACTCAGTTGATCCAACGCCTTGCTTATCATCCCCGTGGTATACACCCGCTTCGACACGGGATCCACCAACCGCGCACTGACAATCTCCAGCACCTCCCTCTCCACCCGTTCGAGTAGCTCTTTTCTCTCCCGCTCGCCGACTTGCACTTCTCCCTTTCTCAGAATCTCCTGTACGATGTCTTCACGCTTGGCATTGGTGCCGAAGGCCTTTGCGAGTTCTGCAGTGGGGGCGGTTTGTGCTTTGGAGACGGAGAGGAAGACGGTGGGGACCTGGAGAACATTGTCAAGGTCTGTTTCGGCGCCGGAGCGGTATTCGAGGAGTTTATTCTTGTAACAGGCGAGCTCGAAGCGCTTTTTACCTGTTAAGGTCAGTGGCGGGTTTTGACTGGTAAAGGAGGGATGGGAAAAAGGAAAATAGGTCGGACAGCGGCCAGGGGATTGTGTTGCACACCTTTTTTTAGGCGTACGACAGATACGTTTGTGAATTTTATTTGATTCGAGGGCTGATTTATACCGACGGGCATTATGTTGGTAATGGGCTGCTTGCTCGAATGTAGGCGGGGTGATGCGAGAGGGGATAAGAAAGATAGTGGAGGTTGAAAGCAGATAATGAGCGGATAATAGCTATAGCATAGATATAGCGAGTCTAGTCCTATACTCCGTACTACAGTTTGATCGTTTAAGAGCAGAGAATCACCTCTCCCATCACAACAGAAGCACGCAGCCTTGCCTCTCCCCGCCGGCTTTAGATAACGAACTATCGATAGCAGTGCTGACTAACAGTGACGGGAGAACAAAAGTCCGCAGTCCGAGTCACGTGGAGCCATAATTACATAAATTGAAATTGAGGACTCACTGTTTTGTAACAGTAACAGTGCTATAAAATACAGGTTCCTGACGAATAAAGCTCCGAGACTAGTGGCGGTATGACGAAATACGTGGCTCCCAGGGTCGTTGAAGGCGGGCGCCAAGCTTTCCGAGTGACAATTCAAAACGGGGCTTTTCAGTACCCTAGTCCCGATCTGGTATGGTCATGGGCTGGTATTTGGCGTTTCGTTGCGTAATGGCACCGACCTCAGATCCCAGGCCCAACCTCTCTCTCTCACTCTCTCCTCTCCTCATCTCATCAGGCTTCCGCCATCCCCATCTCCATCCTCAACCTCCATCCTTCATCGCTCATAGAAGCAAGTCACTGGGGGATTCATCAAACATCGTCATTACTGAGTACTCGGTCGCCCGGCCGCAGAACACTCTTATAGCATCACCCCAACTCTCACAGTGGAGCACGCCGGCTAGGCAACGTCACTCAACGGACCCAGTCCCGTCTCCAAACTGGTGCTTCATTCTTTGAACGCTTTTGATTCCTGTTATCTTGTGGGATTGACTCTGTTCACTTTACCGGCATCATGAAAGCTCTTACAGCGACCTTGTTTGTCGGCACTGCCTTGGCTGCTGTACCTCCACAGCAGCCGATCCAAGTCCCAACCGAAGATAGCGCTTGGGCTAAGCCCCTCGAGAACCTGAAGGACACCTTCAAGACCCTCGGCAACGACGCAAAACAGGCGTGGAATGAGCTTGCGTCTGCATTTCCAGATGCCATTAACGAGTACACCCTCTTCTCTGCCCCCAAGAAACACACTCGTCGACCGGACACCCATTGGGACCATATCGTCCGCGGATCGGACGTTCAAAGTATCTGGATGGAAGGCGCCGACGGCCAGAAACGTCGAGAAGTTGACGGCAAACTAGAGAAATATGATCTGAGAGTCAAGGCCGTGGATCCATCAAAGCTGGGAATCGATAAAGTGAAGCAGTATAGCGGTTATCTGGATGACAAGGAAAACGATAAGCATTTGTTCTACTGTTCGTTTTGGCCTACAACATCCCCTTCACAATCTTGCATTTGACTGATGCTGAACTTTTTATAGGGTTCTTTGAATCTCGCAACGACCCCAAGAATGATCCTGTTGTGTTATGGTTGAACGGTGGCCCAGGCTGTTCATCATTAACTGGCTTGTTCTTGGAGCTTGGCCCCGCGAGTATCGATAAGAACCTTAAGGTTGTGCACAACCCTTACTCATGGAACTCTAACGCATCCGTCATCTTCTTGGATCAACCCGTCAATGTTGGCTTTTCATATAGTGGTGGATCCGTTAGTGACACTATCGCCGCAGGGAAGGATGTCTACGCTCTTCTGACTCTTTTCTTCAAACAATTTCCGCAATACGCCACACAGGATTTCCACATTGCAGGTGAATCCTACGCAGGACATTACATTCCAGTTTTCGCGTCAGAGATTCTCTCCCATAAGAACCGAAACATAAACCTCCAGTCGGTGCTCATTGGCAATGGCTTGACTGACCCGCTCACGCAATACCCACACTACAGACCCATGGCCTGTGGCGAAGGTGGCTACCCTGCTGTTTTGGATGAATCCACCTGCCGCTCCATGGATAACTCGCTTCCTCGCTGCCTGTCTATGATCGAATCCTGCTATAGCAGTGAGAGTGTCTGGTTGTGTGTGCCAGCTTCGATCTACTGCAATAACGCGATGATTGGCCCATACCAGCGCACCGGTCAGAACCCATATGATGTCCGTGCCAAATGCGAGGATGGTGGCTCTCTTTGCTACAGTCAACTCGGCTACATCACGGAGTGGCTCAACCAGAAATCTGTCATGGATGCTCTCGGCGTGGAAGTAAGCAGCTACGATTCCTGCAACATGGATATCAACCGCAACTTCCTCTTCCATGGTGACTGGATGAAACCATTCCACCGTGTCGTTCCTGGACTCATTGACCAAATTCGCGTCCTCATCTACGCTGGCGATGCCGATTTCATCTGCAACTGGCTCGGAAACCAGGCATGGACCGATGCCCTTGAATGGAGTGGCCGCGAGAAGTTCGCCAAAGCCGAGCTTAAGGATCTGACTATCGTCGATAACGAGAACAAGGGCAAGAATATTGGAAAGGTCAAGTCATACGGTAACTTCACCTTCATGAGACTCTTCGGTGGTGGACACATGGTTCCACTTGATCAGCCAGAAGCAAGCCTTGAATTCTTCAACCGCTGGCTGGGTGGTGAATGGTGAGCTTGAAAGGATAAAGCATTTACCGGTACCAACGACGCCCACCTACTCCTTTCCTCGACTTGTCCCTATGCTACGATAATGTGTAGACACACATGGTTTGCGTTTCCTTTTGCGTTTGCTTTAGAATGAAGACCGACCTCAGAAGGTCTGAGACACATGGCTTATTACATAGGCGAATTTGTGGTTTTAAGTATATCATGAGGTGATGGAACACTGATTACTATACATATCCAGCAGCATAATGCTTTAGATTTCCATTACTGTTAAACCAACATCCGTACATTGATGCATCCAGCTGAGCTTTACCAAATATTTAACTGAGGAGCCCGAATGTAGATTTTTATCATGGGTTGATGGCAACAGTTCATGCGCAATACTGCTTAACCAGTACTCCGTACTCTGAACGTTAGCAGTAGACCCGATAGGATTGTCGCGACAGAAGGGAAAGTCATTGAATTTTGTTCATTTCGAGTCTTTTTCATTCATACTAGACAGGGTTCATCACGGTATAGAATAATCTCAAAAACAAAAGGTGGGTCGGGAGAACAAGCCTGGCTCGCCACTCTTTCTTTGTTATTTCTCTCCTCTCGGCTATTGGAGGGGAGAGAAAGAAAGAAAAAAAAGTCCACACCAGTTTTTATTTCTTTTCTTAAAAAGCAGTCCATCTCAAATTACCCATTGTTGACCCTGTCATAGCAGAACATCAAAAGATCATCCCATTCGCCCTATCCACATCCCCACACGTACCAAGGTACCCAGTACGTACACCGGAATTTGAGAGAAAAAGCGGAAGCAAAGAAGACGCGAGAAACGTGAGATGGAGGGGAAACGAGGGGCAAAAAAGAAAACACGACGCAATGCGCATTTCGTTTAACCCTTCTTCTTGCTGACACCGACAGTGCGTCCTCTGCGGCCGGTGGTCTTGGTGTGTTGACCTCTGACACGGAGACCCCAGTAGTGGCGGAGACCTCTGTGGGCACGGATCTTCTTCAAGCGCTCGAGATCCTCACGGAGCTTGGAGTCCATGTTGTTGGCGAGGACCTGGGAGTCCTTGCCGTCGGTGATGTCGCGCTGACGATTGAGGAACCAGGTGGGGATCTTGTACTGGGTTGGGTTTTGGATGATGGTGACGATACGTTCGAGCTCCTCGGTGGTGATTTCTCCGGCACTGTTGGGAGGGGGAAAGAAAGTTTGTCAACAAAAGTTCTCATTCACGCCCGCTGTATATGGCCGTCTCTCTCTTCCATTTTTGGTTTCCCTTTTTTTTTTTTTTTTTTTTTTTTTTTTTTTTTTAAAAAAAAGTAGTCTCATCGACCGTTGCACTTGGGTAAGGAGTGAAGAAAAGGAGTGGCGTACCGCTTGGTCAAGTCGACATCAGCCTTCTTGCAGACCAAGTTGGAGTATCGGCGACCGACACCCTTGATCTTGGTCAAGGCGTACATGATCTTCTGCTTGCCGTCGACATTGGTGTTCAGAAGACGCAAGATGAACTGGAAGTTCGTCTTCTCGCCGGACACGAGCGCTATATGGTTGTTCCTCACTCTCGTCAGCCTATCTCTTCCGCGCAAGCCCACAAGCAAAAAACTTCGTGGAACCGCCACATCACCGGCCCAGCGAAGCTCCAAGACCAACCGAATCACAGGGGAGAGAAGGAGGGAACGTACACATGATGGGCGATATATGCGCTGGATATCCACCCGGGGGAGTTGTACAGGTCGACGACGAGGGTGTGAGGATTGACGAGGTTCGGAAGAGGTTCGTCAAGGGCAGAACGGGATTTCGCTGTGTGGGATCCAAAATACCAGCGCTAGCCGCATCTGGAATGGCGCCTCAGGGCTTTTCGCTACGGACCATTATGTAAGCCGATGACGCTAGTTAACTAACTAGTCTATTTTCAGACTAGCGCAACTTCTGCAGCAACCGAAGAAAATTTACGACGAGCTGAAAGCGCGGCGATGTGGTGATATATGACGGCGGCGACATCGACCGGCTTGGACGTCAGGAGAAGCAAAGTCCGTAAAGCACCGGCAGTATGGGGACCCTTTTACAACAGCTACGTACGGAGTAGTCAGCTTTTCTTCGGTCAGATACCCCGGCCAGCTGCTTTTCATATATACCCCGTACAACGGAGGGTTCTTCCCTGATAGCTTCGGGCCTGCTTCTTCAACCGCACACGAACAATGCAAAGCGTAGGAAAGGCCCAAAGGACAAAAGTAAAATGCAAAAAAGAAAGAGAATTGGACTGTCGGAGAATCGAACTCCGGACCACCCGCATGCTCGTGCCCTTAGAGTGGAACTCGTGAAGCCATGCTAAGCGGGTATTATACCACTAAACCAACAGCCCCTTTCGCTTGTCCAGCCCACATCCCCGGACGAGCAAATAACTACTATCTTCTCAAAAGCTTTTTGGACAGGGGATGATTGCAAGATGTTGAACGTGAAGGTGCACGTCATCGCGAATGTAACAAACCCGGTAAGGAATCGCCGGTAACCCAAATTGTCGATATGTATATTTCTAGCCAGATAAACCCCCAACTCCGTAGCACGACAAAACCCAAATGAGGCAAACCATTAAAGCGTACGAAGCGGCAAAAGCATCACACAAGTAGCCGCAACAAAATCGTTTCATACAAATCACTTTCCATATTTCCCAAATTAGATTTTCCGTTCATATTAGACCATTATCAACGACGCAAATCGACCTCTTATACAAGGCCATAAACCGGTGCTTTGACAATGACGTTGCCCACACCCTTGCTGCGGACTTCTACCGCGACAAAAGCAGCAAATCGAATGCGCATCGGCTCGTCTTTGTCGCCTTCGCTGCGCTCTTTCCCATCCCGAAGTGCCACTGAACCAGGCCTGCTAGAGTCTGTCTGTCCTTGGTTCGGAGTTGAATGAGTCTTTTTGGATATGAGCGAACCGAAAACGGATTTCTTTCGGCCTTCCTTAGAGCTGTAGCCGGAGTTCGTCGTGGAGGACGACGACGTGTCTCCTTCGAAGGAGCCTCCTTCCATGGTAAGTTCTTTTAGAGATCCTTGGTCGCCTCGATCGGTTGATGCCGAAGAAGGCTCAGGACTCTGACGACTCTCGGATACGAGGTTCGCAAGGGGAGGCAACGTCGTTTCGAGTTTCATATGCGATTCTATGATTGGTGAGCCAGGTAGAAAATATTCCACAGTCACATCTCTAGACTCGAGCGGTATGTTTGCAGCGATTCCAACAGCAAGCTCAACAATCATGGCTACTCCATTCTCCAGGCCTGGTGGCGCTGGGTCTTTGAGGTTCATCTCAAGGCTGGCAGTCAGTTTTTCAACAAGAGAACCAGTGAGCTGGGCGCGATGATCCTCCGCTAACTTGCCCTGCAATGCCTCTCCTAGGCCGTCTAGAGTCGTTCGCCGCCATGTCGAAAGCTTTGCTAGATGGTTTTCTTTATCTTCTTCGGTAGTAGCCTTGCCCATACGCCGGACATTACGCTCGATGATTTTCAATTGCCGACTTAAGCCGGGCTCCAAACTTGGATGGAAGTACCGGTCGAAAATTTCATCCACCAGCCATCTTGTGAGACACGCGCGACCAACGGCGGTCATCTCTTTGGTACCCACCATGTGAGCGTCCTCGTTAACAACACCTTGTAGCCAAGGCGGAATACTCTTCCAGTCCTTTCGGATATTGAATGCAAGATTGTTGATGGCGCCATCTAGTCTACCAAAGCGTGTCGAGTATTCGTTGTCGTCTAAAACAGTTCGTGATGTAGACATCCGTTGATGAGCGACTGTGTTCTGCAACTGTTGCACCTGCGCTTCTTTTTCAAAATAGTATCTCTTGACTTTGATATACTTCGCCTCTGTAAGCTGTCAGCAACGATAAAGCCACCATTGAACAGGAAATAGATTGGAGGGTAGACAAGCGATAACGTACGGAGCTCTTCATGTTTCTGAACTAAGGCTTGAACATCGACATCAGAAGTGTCATCTCGGGCTTTTGAAGGAGGTGGAGGTGGAGTGTCCCGATCTGGTTCACCAGAACCTGGTTGGGGCAAATTGCCTTTGAAGCTAGGACCAGGGCTGAGGCTTGGAGGTTGAGCAGTTTGTGGCTGGGCATTCTGTCCCATCGACTCTCCGGGCTGTCTTAGTCCTGTCTGCCTATCCATCCCACCTTGCGCGGGGTTCGGGCCGGCGGGTGGTTGGAGAGACTGTCCAAAATGAGATTTAGACTGGTTAGACTCAAAACCTTGATATTGAGGATTAAGGGGAGAAGGGGGCCCAAAGGACTGCTGGGATGGCGGCCTTGGAGTGAGATGAGGATCCACTTGCGGGGATTGACTGCGAGCACTTGATACCTGGTCTACAAAGGCCTGTGGTCCGCTTAACTGATAGCTTGGGCCTGGCTGCTGCAGGTGGGCTTGGTCAAGCTGCAACTGGGGGTGGGGTGACCCAGAAAGGTGGAGTCCCTCCTGGTACTGGTGTGCCGATGATTGTCGCGGCGGGTAGAACTCATGGGAAAGTGGTTCGGTACTCACGCGTTGAATTCGAGGAGGGTCAAACTGCTGGCCCTCAACGTTTGAAGAGGAGCGGTTTATAGAGGGAGGGTAGGGAGGGACAGATTGGGGACTGGACTTCTTGTGTAGAGGCATACGGATCTCTGTAGAATCTTCCTCTTTAGGGTCTATCAGGTCAGCGTCAAAAGGCTGGCCGTTTAAATTCTGCTGGTCTGGAGGTGTCTGACCAGGAACCTTGCGTCTCACAGATATGCTACGTCCAAGGACTTTGGTGCCTCGCGATGAAGAATCCTTATCTTTGTGCTTATCCTTGGATGTCAATCCAAACAGGCTCTTTCGTAACTTCCGTGGCTGGGATTCCACTAGAGGAGAGGCTTCCGAGCTATGCGTTGTGTAGGACGGGTCGGCCGAGCTCAGATCAGACGAGCTGCCGAGGCCGAAAGTAGGAGAAGTGGAAACCAGATTCAAAGAAGGCCTGCCTCCTTGCTGGCGAGACAACGGTGGTGGAGGTGAGTCCGGAAGTTCGTGGCCAATTCTGTTCGCGGAGTGGGCAGGATGAGTATAGTTGTCGTCGTGATTTTGTTGCTGGTGGTGGTGGTGGTGGTGGTGATAGTAGTAGTGATGGTGGTGCGGAGGGTGGTAGGCGGGCTGATCATTGGAATATGCGTAGAGCGGTTGTTGGGAGTCGTTGTCGCCCGGAATAACCAATGAATAGCGGGCAGGTAGGCCGGTATTGGAGCCCTGATGTTCGCTATAGTCCTCACCACCTGCCTCGAATATCTGCGGAAGTGATGGCTGCGACTTGTTATTGTGGAAGTGGTGCATGGGGCTGGTTCGAGGGAGCAGGAGGGAGGGACAGTTCTTATTTTCCGTCCCACAGCGCCAGTCAGGAGTATGTTATGGACAGGTTAGGCGTGCGTCTGCGTCGATGGAGCGAGAAGACAGGGGATCGGCAAATCAACGTCGGGCGTTTTGGCGGGGTGATTCTCGCGATGTCTAAAGTGAAGCCGGGGTCAGCAACTAGCGGAGACCAATCAACCCGACGACCGCAAGCAAATGAAAGCCAGCGGCATGAGCAAATTTTAAGGATAGATGTGCACGACAGGGCCTAGCAGACCGGCGAGCGAGAGAGAGAGACAGAGAGAGAGAGAGAGAGAGCCAGCGTGAGAGGAGGGGCAGCTGATTGGTAAATGCCACATACCTGGCTGACCATCGTCCAGTATAGTGTTACGCAGCACAAATGAATTAACCTATGAGGACGGAGGGGCCAGCATTGCGTGTGCTCGATAGAAGCCGAAAGAAGAGGAACTTGCGGGCGCAGGAGAGAGGGAGAATGCGTGAGAGAGAGAGAGAGAGAGAGAGAGAGAGAGAGACCAAGGATCACGGTGACGAGGGCGCGGAGAGGTGAGGTTGAGGGTGAGCGATCGGCGGCTCCAAGTACGGGCTGACTAGCTCACTAAGCCGCATCACGACATTTGGTTCTCCTTTTTCTCTCCCCCTTCTCTTCCCTCTCCGATATGATCTCTTCCTGATATACAGAGTACTCTCGTGCTTGATGCTACCAGGGATCCCGGATATTAAAACATATTGCTCGTGCATCTTACGTTTGCCATCATGATGATTTACAAATTGAACTGCATGCGTCCTGCATTTTTGACCCCCAAATATTCACCTAGCGGCCGGCCATACAGTGAGCTGTGATCCCGCCACGACCGACAGCCTTCTCCCTCCATTTGATCTTCCTCTCCTCCTCCGTATTCCCTTGATAATATCGGTCTGCCTCTGATTCCGCAAATGAGCTCAGATAATTTCCCTCCCGCCCCACGAAGCCAAAGTCAAAACCTGGCGAGTTACGGGCTGGTAACCTTCGGAGTGGATTTTTCAAACACGAACTTCCGCAGTCAAATAAAATAATTTTCCTCTTTTTTAATCTCTTCTCCTACCCCGCATGGTTCCATCACATACCCAGGCGCGTGCCTGGGCTTCTGCTGGCTGGGACGCTTTTCGTTCCATGGAATTGAGCTGGGCCGAAGGGCAGAGGAGACATAAAAAGGCGTCCCCACTCCGCCACCGCCCCCAACCTCGCTTCCCGCCTAGCAGAGCTTAAATTACGGTTTGTGTATCTCGTCAGCGGGGAGAAACGCTGGAAGGAGCCGAGAGAGAGACATGCAGCTGCCTCCGCCGGCCTCAGCGATCCCTGATCCTACTGCAAAATTCATTTCGCGTCTTCATTCACTGCTTGATAATGGACGACTGTCCTTTATGATATCAAATGCATTGATTGTCTCTCCTCTTGCCAGCAGGATCATCGTTCGAGCTACCGACGACCCTTGTTCTTCCCAATCGCCGCTCGTAGCCCTCTTCCGGCTCTCTTGCTCGTGGATAGTCCGCGGCTTTCCTCTCCGCTCAACTAGGATCCTCCCCCCAGCCGCATCGTTGCATACAATGTATATATATTATGTCCACATCCTTCTGGAATCTCCCTCTCTTACATCACGATGCGTACAACGCACATATTTGCACCCGGCTGTAACCCTCTCCCTTCGTTTATTGACCATTTCCCCATCCCACCAATGCTTTATACCCGACTAGATGTCACACTCCATCTTCATCGATTCCGCAATTCTTTCCGGATTTGTCTTCCACTGGTGGTTCTCGTCCAGCAAAGTGTCACACTTTTCTCTCCATACCCTCCGGATCACCCCAGCTCGTTGGGGGTTTCTCGGCTGGACGTCTGCCGAGAATCGCTTTATTCGAACTATATTACCTGGCCTGAGATCTTTGGGGTCGATGGGGATCTTGTTTCCCTCTTCATCTGTGGCGTGAGATGTGTTAAATGCCCACAGCCAGCGTGCAATGGCAATAAATAGACTTTTCTCTGCCAAGCTCTTTCCTGGACAAAAACGACGCCCTGCGCCAAAGGTAAAAAGAAGCTGGTTCTCCCCGTGAGCAGCCTTGATTCTCCCCTCCCAACGCTCTGGCATGAAAATATGAGGCTCCGGGTACAATTCCGGGTCGTTGTGGATCGCATATGTATTGATTGTCAGTCCAGTGTTCTCGGGAAAGTTATATTTCCCCCAGCTGACTGGGCCGCTGGTCACTCTTGCGACGCAAAGTGGCATCGCAGGACACCAACGCTGAGCCCTATTGTTGGCAATCAGCATTAGCCAAGAGTGTGAGAAGATAATGTCTTCTCGAGAACACTTACTCAAGCAGCAGTTGCTGGATATACGGAAGATTTATCTCATCTTCACCCCGTGGGAGTCTGTCCGGCCCCACCACTCGGTCAATTTCTACACAAAGTCAGTTTGTGCGGAGTGGTGAGGTTGGGACCGATTCAAACCTTCTTGCGCTTTGCGTTGCACGTCCGGGAAGAGACATAACGCAGCAATGCAAGTGGTCAATGTCGAAACCACCGTATCCGTTGAGCCAGACAACAGATGTTGGCCGATTTCGGCACCTTCTAGTTCGGATACCTCCGTCCAACCTTCCTGGAGCCGTTCCTGGATCGTTCGGTTGAATGATGGTAGCCTTGTTCCTTGTTCCGCCCTTTGCTTCACCCCGAAGTAATTCTTCCAGATATAATCCTTGTGCTTTTTCGCCATTCTACGGCCCACCTTGTATATCGGGAGTGTCCATACAACTCTCTCTAGAAACGGCCAGAAGTCAAGCATATTGCCTGAAAACCCCACCCTTGACAAATCGTATAGGTCCTCGACTGTCTCCTTCACTATCGGGTCACTTGACGATGTGATCCTATATCCGTTCACCATGACCATCCCGACGCTGTTAGCAAATCGCTCGAGATGGTCGTACCAGAGCAGGGGTTCATTGAGGGTGTCAAGGAGTAGTTGTTCACTTTCTAGCTCTTGGTAGGGGATATAATTTTTTATCGCACTTGAACTTAACACAACCTGCCACATCTTCCGCGCATTTTGCCATTTTGATCCGTTCATCAGGCTGGGAAAATATCCGTCTCGGAGCAGCATTATAGAACGGAATGGCGGGCGGTTTTGTGTATAAGCTCCCTGCTTCACGAAGACATCTCGCGCCTCTGCGGCTCTATTGACTATAATCTGGGGTGTGTCCCCTTGCATGACCGTGTATACTGGGCCGTGTGTTAACGCCCAATCCGCATATTGATGCTGTGGGAAAGAAGGATCGCACTGGAGAGAAGCGATTATCAGGGATATATTCTTGCTCATCATTCAAGCGCAACCAGACCTGTTTCAGATTGCCCCATATTGCCTGAGTCTGTGGTCCTGGGGGAAGATAGGCTGGACGGCGGCCCAGCCTTAACAAACGATAGATCAGATAGCCTAGGGCTGCAGATACAGCAACGCTCGCAAGTGTACCAGCTGAGAACGGCAAGACACGATGTGTCAACGCCATTGGTGCTAACAACTGCGCACTGCAAAGTTAAATCGGCTGCTCAAAGTCGAAAGACAAGAAGAATGCAAGAGAATCGGGCGCGAAAAGCTCATATCCACGGTAGCTTTAATATAAACATATCTTTTGCCCCAGCTAGTTATTGTGGAGGATATTCTTTCCCCGCATTTCTGCTTGTTTTCGAGGAGACGCGTGAGCACAAAATGGCCATCTGCATGCATCCCTCTCTGATATTACTCTATCCTGCATGCTTTTATTCCATCACGCGAAGAGCGGGTTGTTTTTTCAATGCGAAGAAACATCCCTGACGGAGGAATATTGACCCTACCACTGATCGCTGCGTGTGAGAAACTGATGTGGTACAGTTGAGAACCAAGCGAATTGCGCCGCGCCATGTCACGAAGATCTGCACAACCATCCAAAGCAACATTCTCATCCCAGCAAGTCATAGTTGAATCTGCAGGTAGGATATTTCTTACTTTTGCCTTGTCAATCATGATGCATGTTGTTCTCTGGAGTAACGTGGGGTACAATCTGCAATGCGTACTCGCATCGTACATATGGACACTCTGGAGACCGTCCCAAGACAGAGTTCGTTGATTGGCAGTAGAATAGTGCCAATTACTGAAGCAGGGAGTATATGCAGCTTCCCGGCTTTTGGTAGTGGAATTTCTTCCCCAGAACCTTGCCTTTGAGGATGCAGGGATCATCTGCTGCGTCAATCATATCCGCGATGACAAACCAGAGCGATACCCGCTGGGAGACTGTGGTTGTCTGCTGAGCAGTGATAACTTTCACCCTGACACGGGAGCCTCGCCGAGCATTTCTCACGCAAAAGCAAGTGATGACAATTTCTTAAGTCCCGATGAGGTGACCGCTTCGGGCCAAGCTGCAGGCCATTCAGTCAGTCATATCTGCAAGGCCATGAAGACGAACCTTATATCTCCGCTAGGTAGTATTATGTGGCTCTTGAAAGTATTTTGCCAGGGGAAATGCGGAATTGCAATATGTCACGCCTTGCATGCCGCATCACGGCCCCCAGACTCAGTCTAGGCATTGCTATAAGCTTCGATCGCTTTTTCCCTCGAATGTCTGTGGAAACATGTTCCTCGCAGCAACGAGTAACTGCGGCTCCCCGAGCTTTTTCTTGCTGCGAACAATTTCATCCGCATCCCTGCTGCAACCCTGTATTCCAAGTTAGCCACCTTCAAATATTCCAACACTTACCTCGCAGTTGATGCATTCTGAAGATGATGTACCTTCTGTGGTACAGATCGGATTCATCTGTACACTTCATTCGCTTCAGGGGCATGATACAATATCCATCAATCTTTGACATAGAAACATCTTACAAAAACTAGATGCGAGTACACATTTTGTCTAGTTTCGGGATAAAACAGATCTAGGCAAGATTAGAGGCATGACAACGCATGGCTTTCGCTTATACTAAAGATAGTACCCTACTTATCGTAGAAAACAAGAAACAAAAACCGGAGCAACGAAAAGGAGCGTTAACTAGTCCGAATACCAACATTCACCATAATTCGAACCCTATCTTGCATTTATCCTCCTCGATAGGAGTCATTTTTCGCAAAGGCTAAGAACCATTCCTCAATGGATATCGTCTCTGACTGCCTACTCCTTCACACAGGCACAAAACCGCAGCAACAAATTATCACAGCCCTAATCCAACACCCGGATTCCAAGTGCTGAAGTTCGGCTCAGGAGTCCCATTCTCAGAGATGATCTAATCACACAAATCAGTCTGCTTCACGAGATGGTCCTCTTTGCAGTCCGTCTTCGTCCCCGGGTGGATGAGTCTGTTGGGCAGCCCCGTGCTTGGGCCAGTAGCAGATGGTGGAGGAGGTGATACGGGAGCACTAGACCGTTTTGCTGCAGGATTAGAAGACATTGTTGCTGACGGTTCATGCCTGGGGGTCACAGGGAGGATCGAAAGAGGCATTGATTCGGATCGTTTTGCAGGAGTGGGTGGAAGGATTGAGAGAGGCATCGACTCTGATCGTTTTGCAGGAGTGACTGGTAGTGCTGACGGTTCCTGTCCGCCGGACACGGGGAGGATTGAGAGAGGCGTTGATTCAGATCGTTTTACAGGAGTGGGTGGAAGGATTGAGAGAGGCATCGACTCTGATCGTTTTACAGGAGTGGGTGGAAGGATTGAGAGAGGCATAGACTCTGATCGCTTGGCAGGAGTGGGTGGGAGTATTGAGAGGGGCGTTGTATCGGGTGCCTTTTTCACCAAAGCTGTAGGCCGTGCTTTCGTCGGGGATTGACTAGGGAGGCCAAGGGAGAACGTGACTTCTGTTGTTGACGACAGAGATCGGGGCAAAGCGGATACGATCAACGTTGATGGTGTGGGCGACCTCTTTGACAAAGGTGGAATAGAAACTCCAACCCCTGGTGGAAGTGCCCTTTTTGCAGGCGCACGCCAGATGGGCGCTTTCACACAGTAGGAATTACCTTTCTTGAAACCTCTGCAATCGTAATCAACTCCCGGATTCTAAAAGAAAAGCGTAAGCATCATAGAAAACCCGAGGGAGATTTAAGAGTGATGACAAACCCAAAGCGAGAATTCGGATTGCTTGAGGCTGAAGTACTTCACGATAGTAGGGCAGGCATTGGAGTCCGTAATTTTGTTAACCCAAAGTTGACATTGCTTAGTGGTTCTAGGGTCAACCACTCCTGTTGGCTTCGTTCCTGTATCGAACGGAACCTCCACGGCGCCAGCCGAGAGAACCAGAGCTTGGACGAGAATTGGCCAGTACATGATGGCGTATACGAAGAAGCTTTGAGTAATTGATGATTTGAGGAAGGCTATGGCGTCTCAACAGGGAGAAAGCCATGGGTTTTATATGCGATTCATCCAACTCATGGACATCAACGGCATCCTGTCTCTAAGCCTGAGCGAATGCAGCATGTCCAGAAATCGTCCGAATATTTCATCGTGCTGCCTTCTTTGTCCCGACTGCTGACGATTATCGAGCGAAAGGATGTTGCAGAACGACGGACGGTTCAGCTTCCCGTTGATCTATTGGCACTAAGCTCCTGGGACTTAAGGGAATTCTGCAGTATGTGGTGGACGAATGGATACCGCTCCCTTGATGACGACAGCCAACGGAATGCATACATGGACTTGAACCCCAAGGATCAACATATACATTGCACTTTTCGGCATGGTCCGACGGGTATGAAATCTGCAAAGACAGAAAGGCATCATTGATGTTTGCGCGTACTCTCCCGATTGCGCGCTTCAATGACATCGCGAAATGCGGACATTGTATCCCAACAAACGTAAACGTCAACGGGATGCGTCGATAACTTGGTATCTCTTTAAAAATATGTTTTGTATCTGCTAGCCTCACCGACAGTGAACAAGAGGATTGTTCGAGGCCACCAAATTTTTTCTCATGGATTTGACATGCCTTCGTCCCACAACAGTAGGGTTAACTAGGCAAAAAGTACCTTGCGTGGTACACAAAGCATTGCCCCACAAACTGAGAATTTAGTCCGCAGGAAAAGAAAAATATACGCGCGGCTTTCCAGGCGTATTCAAGCCCCAAACATAAGGGGAGAAATGAATGCTTGGGTCGCTCTTGTTGTAGACAACGCCTTTTCTAATTTGCGGCTAGCCGCTCGGGCCTAATATTTGGACTAACGGCGCATTTAGTTTGTAAACGACCGGCCCTGCGGTTGAGAGGGGGAAATTTCATCGCCATCCACTAACTCATACTCAGTTATGGATACATTTCTCTTTCCCCGCTTGAACAGACGGGACGCGGTTCGCAGCCGTAGCATTCCAACGATCGCGAGAAGCATGCATGCTATCCACGCAAGCCAGATCAAAAATGGTACATGTGCGATGTAAAGCCCTCTTGATATAAAGGTTAGTATATTCATATGTAGTACAGATGCATGGGAAAGCGGGAGAAGGTACAGGTGTGCAATTGCCGCCCATGTACCCTGCACTTACAGCGCAATATTGAGCCATGCAAGCATCAGCACAGCTCGTCCAAAATATATATGGGCATAGGTGACGGATGTCCGGCGCTTCAGTTTAAGAAACGCTAGATGATGCCAATATCCGATGCAGGGTTGCACCAATATGGCCAATAGCAGACATATACCGATCAACTTGTGTGTTCCATGCGCGTCCCCCAGCTGCCCATAGTCAAACAGAATCAGAAATTGGCATCTCGGGCGAAGGAACGGAGAGAAAAGAAGTTCGCCAGCGGGAACGTACCTGAATCAGTTTCTTGGAAATTAGAAGCGCGATGCTCATTCCACCTACGGCTCCGATAACAGCGCTGGCTTGAACAACCCAATGGCGGGAAAATGCGGATTCACCCCCCTGTCGAATGAACCCCACTCCCAATGGCATGATCAATGTGAAAACGACGGCAAGGACGAAGCCATGCACTTGAAACAAGAAACGGCGTATACTTTCAGAGTTCGACTGTGGATCTTCGGGATGAACTGATCCTCTATCGATCATAAGCATCTTCAAGTTAGTCCTGGGAAAAGATGCTGAGCGTCCATCGGCCATGTTGAGGTAGAATCCACCTGTGCAGGATGTTATCAGACTGGCATCCCAATCTTCAGATCTTCGGGCCAAAAAAAGAAAAAAAGATGAGAAAAGAAAGGGGGGACTCACCATGACCATGATGCCCATGGTACTCCAACCGATGGTCCACATCTGCCGTTTGCATGACCTGAGACGTATGCGTTGCCCATATCCAGGGTTGATGGTCCGTGTCCACCTTAATTTTCTTGCCCGGCCACCCGTCACATGCGTAACAAATGACGTGGACATCATGATAATGGGCATCCACAGAGGTTTGTATCACCTCATGAGACGGGAGTTCAGGGTGTGCTTCGGGGGGGAGATGCCCGCTGTTTCAATGCAAGTTGTTTCAATAAGCGACAGCCTTTTCTTTGTCTGCAATATTTTTTTTTTTCTTTTTCCTTTTATTCTTTCTGCCATGGGACTTATCGAGCTTACCTTGAACTCCTCACGCTCAGCGTAACATCTTGAGGATTGGCGAAGATCAGCCCCGGGACACGCTCCAAATCATGTAGTTAGAGAGAGGTACGGGGCAGAGGATGAACATACCTCCCTCGCGCTCACCGGGGTAGAAGATAAACATCATCGACCCGTCCATGCCGGTGCCCGTGCCAAACGCCGCCCATCCCCTACGACCAGTGAACTTCGAGGATAAGTGCAGGTAGACGTCGTTGCTGTTGCTCGTCCCATTCCGATAAGACGCCAGCGCGAGGCACAGATCAACGGAACCGTCCTCGTTGCTCTTGCAGAACTGGACTTTGGCAGCGGCGCTGAGGCAAACCAGCCATGCCAGAATCGAAATGTGTGGGAGGAGAAGCCAGCGTCGCCGTCGTTGGGACATTCTTCTCTAAGTTGTACTCAGGACGGGACACTGGGAGTTAACCAGCTGATCAGCGTTTCTATTCAGATTGTGGAATAAAGGCGTCCACACAGAAAGAGGTTTGCAGCCTTGACTTGTTAGTTTTCACTCGCTAGTGAGCGATGCTGGCCATGATGAATATGCAGGTGTCTCAAACCGAGCATTGCTCAAATGTCACCCTGCGGTCCTTTTGAACCCGCCAAGACGCCGCAGGACGCTTCAAGCCTGGTCAACGGCTCTCATACAACACGGCCAACTCTTGACGAAGCCTCTAAAAGGAAAACCCGTTCACCTTGATCGGGAGAGTGTTCCATACTTGTAACTGACTACGGAGTACTCGCTACTGCATTTCTGAACTTCACAACTTCCACATGCACTCTCAGCCAACAAGGGTGTGACAGGCCTTAAAGCCTACCAGCTTAGGTACAACCCTTAACGATCTACTGGAATAACAGCCGCTTCGGAATGTGTTCTAACCAGGTGAGCGTCCGTCCAAGCGGAGGGATGGTGACGTGCAGAAAGATGGTTCCGTGGCCAAATAGTCCGCAGGACAATTTTTCGTATGGGCGCATTCTCTGATTCCCTACGGAGTAGTTATTGCTATCTTGTACAGAGCACAGAGTAGTTAGGTGGTTCCCAGCGATCCGTTGGTCGAACCAAGAATTCCGGAAACAAGAAGTAAATAAATCTGCAGGGAGATGACAAACAAATAACGCCTCCCTACGGGGAAAACAAAGAGCAATTCTTCGGAGGGAAAAGGCCTCGAAAACGCTGCCTTTGTAATGAAACCACATGCTTGTGATTACGGTGGTACAGCGGGCGGTGATTCTGCTCAATCACAGCCTGCATGTAATAAGACCAAGTCCACTATAAGACAGGCTTCAAACGCTATCGGCCGCTTTCTCAAACTACGGAGTAGAGTCCGATGCCCATCCGGGGGGAAAGAATAAGGGGAGAAACATTCACTGGTGGTCTTTGCGCATCAACTAAAGCCCTTGGGCAGAGTGCCACAGCATCGTCCCGACTTCGCTCGTGACGGTAATGGTTCTGACATAAAGCAATCACTGGCTGCTACAAAAATGGAGTCGCACGTCGACTATAGACCACGATAGAATCGAATAAATACCGAGCTGTGCCTTGAGTGCAGTTTAACATCTTCTCTCACACTCGCGAGCATCTTCTCACCTGTTCCCAAGGGACCGGGTCCTGGCGAGTACATATAGCTCCTGAGGTATTGTGGATACCAGGGCTTGATGAAATTCAGGCCCTCGAACTGGGCCAGTCCAAAGATTTTTCCTTTTTTCTTTTTTGTGTTGAAGAATCCCTTCTATCGAAAAACGCTCCTGCCAAAGCCCATCGCAACTACAACTATTGCCTGGCTTTCGTTTCTTGATAAAACAAGACAGCTTGGCTGCGTTCGCCCCTTTTCCGTCAACGATCTCACGAGAAATGAGAATTAGTCTCAGCTATTTCATCGATTATCGAAACTCAGGAATCTTGTCGAGACGCTCAGCACGTTGACAGTCCACGATTCCTTTCCACCGCTGGGCAAAAAGGAAGTGGGCATATTCGAAGAAGAAAGCGGTCCTTTTTACCCAGGGTACTAAGCCTCGCGGGACAAAATGAACATGCGGGTTTGCTTTGGGAAATGCAGAGTATCGACACAGGTTCGACTCCTGATCGTCATCGCCGTTTCCTTTTCATTTGTGATGGGAGAATTTGGCGTGGGGTTCAAAACGCGGTCTCTCTCGCTCGTTGCCGACGCATTCCATTACACGGCGGATATCTTTTCCTTCATGGTGGCATTTCTCGCTGAAAAGGTAACTGTGGTTTAGTCCCCTCCCCCCCAAAAAAAATAAATAAAATAAAATAAAATGAAATAAAAAAAAATGAAAAGAGAAGAAAGGAAAGGAAAGGGAAGGGAAGGGAAAAAAGAAAAAGGCTACTCAATAGCAGCTAAAAGGAGATAATTTGGCTAATTTGCCCTGAACTCTTCGTTCAGTACTCGAGACGTCCAGATGAAAACAACAAACGAGGTTACGCCAGGCTCCCTACCCTCGCAGCGTTCTTCAATAGCGTCGTCTTGGTCGCTATTGGATTGGGCATATTTCTGCAGGGTATCGAGAGGTTCATCCATCTGCAAGGTGACTTTCCGCCGCCACACGATGCGCAGTAGCCAGCCTATGCTAACAGACTTCACCCTCCAGCCATATCGAGCCCGCTACTTGTCTTTGTAATGGGATGGGCCGGACTTTTCCTCAACATTATTTGCATCCTTATCATGGGACCACACGGACATCACCACCACCACGGCCACGGCCACGGCCACGGTCACGATCACCCCGTAGCCGGCGGACAGTCCTCGGCCGACGCAGACCCAAACAGACTCGAACCAGCCCCCGGCGGAACCCAGAACGCCCGGACAACCGGCACCAGCCTCTCGATCAAGGCGGTCGTCCTGCACATCGGCGCCGACGCGCTGAACAACGTCGCCGTGATCATCTCAGCGGCCATCGTGTGGCGCATCCCGTCGCGACACGAGGAGATAGATCCGGCGGACACGCGTGAGGCTAAGTTCTACGCCGACCCGGCGTGTACGGTGTTCATCGCTATTCTCATCATGGGCACGACGTGGCCGTTGGTGGTGCGGTCGGGGAAGGCGTTGCTGCGTCTGCCAGAGTCTGGTTCGGTGTCCATACCTTTGGATGAGAGGGCGAGTCGGACGGCATCGAAGTGACGGGTGGAGGGAGGTTTGTATCGAAGGGTCGAGAACTGTAACTCTAGTTATGTGGGAAGAAAGTTTAGAATAGCTTTTGTCAGCCGCTAGATAACTGGTTAGTTTAGCCAAGTTTTATTTCATGAAATTGGATATTCAAGATTCTACTGCAGCTTCTGCTCGGCGTTACCGAGATGTGTGTGTTTTGTGTGTTGTGAGATGGAGGTTTTTGCGGGCTGGCGGGCCAAGCCTGGAAGTATCTTTGTTGCGGATTTGCTTGGCATCAACCCCCGGGGCCCCTCTCCCAGCTTCCACGACCTCGCCTCTCGAATATGGCCACAATCCCGATTCAAACAACAAGCACACGAGGCAGTATGTAGCCCCGGCCAACATAGCCACCCAATCCCTAGCTCACCATGCTTCTCCGACTACCCCTCCGCCCGATTTCCATCGCCCAACGACCGCCCTACCTCTTCCCGGTCCCCAGCGCGTTCCGCCGCTCCATCCATCAGCACCGCCACCGCTCCCCGCTCCGTCCCGCCTTTCTCCCCTGTCTCCGCAATCCAACCCCCCTGCAGCGCCACCTCCACCTCCCGGCCATCCTCATCCCGCCGCTCGTCTTCACAGGACTCTTCCTCCCCCTCTGGCTCTACAAGTGTGCGATGATGATCGTGTTCCAGAACCGGATCATCTACATGCCGAGCATGCCGCCGGGTGCGCGGCGGGAGAAGATCGAGGATTACGCCGGTATGTGCGGCGGTGTGAGGTGGACGGAAAAGAGGATACGGGCGCGGGACGGGGTGGAGCTGGGGTTATGCGTGGGTGAGAGCGCCAATAGTGGGAGGTTGAAAGCCGCGGACACTGCGGAGAGACATGTGGTGATTTTGTATTTTCAAGGGTTAGTAGGAAAGAGAAAAAAAAAGAAAAAAATGATAACCTTGGTTTCTTTTCTTTTCTTTTTTCCTTTTTTTTTTTTTTTTTTTTGTTTGAGCTGATTTCGATCTACGTATGATTTATTGGTTTCTGTAAGGCTAAGAATTTTTTTTTTAACTTTGTTCTGCGTGTTCGATGAATGTAGCAATGCTTCGTCCCTACCTCCCCGGTTGCCGCTTTTATCAGGCGTGCTCAAGGATCTGGAGCGAGGAGGCTCCGATCCACGCGTGAAATACACCTTCGTCGCGCTCTCGTACCGCGGCTACTGGACGTCTCGCGGACGAGCGTCGCAGAAGGGGATCGAGCTCGACGCGCTCGCGGCGCTCGACTGGATCCACGAGGAATACTTCAAGGATCTCGACGGTTCTACTACCTTACGGCGCGACCACGGCGACACCGTCGTCCTCTGGGGACAAAGTATCGGCGCGGGCGTAGCCACAGGCCTCGCCGCGCATCAGTGCGAGACGAAGTCCAACCGGCGGACATCCGTCGGCGGACTCATACTCGAAACGCCGTTCCTCAGCGTGCAAAGCATGCTCGTCGCGCTCTACCCACAACGCTGGCTCCCGTACCGATACCTGTGGCCCTTTCTGCGCAACTGGTGGGACTCAGAGGCGGCGCTGAAGCGAACGGGTGTCGCGCTGCAGGAGGCAGGACGGGAGCTTGGGCGAGGATCGGAGAGGAAGATGCGGGTCTTGATCGTGTCTGCTGCGAACGACGAGCTCGTTCCGGGACAGCAGTCCGACAGACTGGAGGAGATCTGTGGAGAGTCGGGGCTGGATGTGCAGAGACAGAGGGTCGCGGGAGCTCTCCATACAGACGCGACAGTTCGAGCTGAAGGTCGAAACGCGGTGGTGAGATTCTTGAAAGAGGTAGGGGAAAGATGACGTCTCAAAAAAAAAAAGAAAAGAGAAAAGGACAAAAACGAAGCCTTTGGTTATTAGTAATACTATCATGCAGGGTCTTAACTAGTTACTATGGATTCCGACGTAGTTATGCTCCCTTTCGATTACAAGCTCGTGTGGAGTGCAGAACACGAGATGTGGTGCAAGCTCCTTTGACGAGCGGGAGCCGTTTCCGAGACTAGCTGCGGAGAGGGGGACGGAAGGGCGTGGTGGAAGTGAGTGTCAGCGTCAGACGGGCGCAGAAAAAAGAATTGTCGAGATCGAATCGAGAAAAGACGCGACACGTGGTTGTCAGAGATTCTCCAGCAGGGAGAAGCTCCCATGTCATTTCCGGCTTGGTGGTTGAAGAGATTTCGTGATCCACAGATGTCCTTGGCAGGGCGCGGTCTCGTAGTCAGTTTAGCTCACATTACGAACAACAACCAAGCTTATCTCTCCCTCTCCCCATTTTTCTCTCTCTCTCTCTCTCTCTCTCTCTCTGTGTGTCTCTCTCTCTCGAAACTCGAGTGTGACATCACACAGCCGCTGAAGGAAATTAAGTGCTCCGCACTCAAAGGGAGAAGCAGATGTGACAGGGCGCCAGGCTGCAGATCCGCCTCCCTCAGACTGCCCCAGTTGATGAATAGCTCGGCAAATTCTGCAAGCATATGATTTTGTTTTGTCCTTTTTCTTTTTCCGGGTGCATTGACTGGGGCATATGTATTAATAATTCGCATGCCAATTTTATTTTTTAACTATTTTTTATTTTTTTCCCCCGCATGATTACCCCAAAAACCCACCTCAAAAAGTATAGATGGATGTCACAGCTCCCTGACGCGGACAGGCCAACCGGAGAGCAGACCGGGAAACATGCAGCGTAATCAAGCGCTTTTTCAGATTGCATGCTCACCAGCTAGTTACATAGTTTGCCGCGAATACAAAAAAAGGAGCCAGCAAAACATCGCGAAACCAGACGATGCGAGAAAATGAAACGAGAAAATCCTGATGACAAATCCCCTTGCTGACTCAACCCGACGTCATATCACCCCAAGCGGTTTAGCGTACACTCACTGGCCCGTGCGGCTTCCGCCTGAATTGGCCAATCACGGCGCTTGGCTCGGCATTAGAGTTTCACCGCCGAGAATAGCTTAATTTTCTGCGGGAGCGGGTCTTTTTTTATTGTTTTTCTCTCTCCTTTTTTCTTCTTCTCTTTTCTTCTTCTTTTTCTTTTTGACTTTCCTGGACGTCTAGGCGGGCCTCGGAGCCGCGGCGCTCCCTGTCTCCTCTTCAACTGCCCCATCTTGGTGCTTCTCTTGTCGGGCGAGACATATAGTTACTGTATGAGATTCTTGCCGAAGACGAGTCATTACAAGGCGAGTGGCTACCCGTCAGGAGTTCGAGGCAGCAGGGATCAGGTGGCGTTGAAAAAGAAAATAAGAGGTAGTTTTCCTTTTTTTTTTCTTTAACCCCAGTTCTGAGACTAGGCCCGCCTTTTTTCGTTGTGAATCCACATTTAGCCGCCAATGCGTTTTTATTCTGGGAGATGGAGTGTGATACACTGCTGTAGTCTGTATCAATTGGTGGCGTGCGATGCTGTAGATGGGAAGAGCTGTGTTAGCTACGAGCATGAATACTTTGATCATCATCATCATCATCATCATCATCGTTACTGAATGTATGAGCTATCGGTCCTGCCATGTCGATCAAAACGGTACAGAGTATGAAGCAGTAAACAAATGATTCTAATATCACTTCCAGATAAACAAATAATTCTAATACTGTATCACCTCCAGAGTGACTCCGTACTCCGTATATACATACTCGAACAGCGTTCTCGGCTAGCAGAGGCGATCCGCCCTCCTCTAGAAAATGGATCTCATGCATTGTTTCTATTTCGAGGGCGAGAGTCAATCTCCGAGGGGAATCACGGACGGAAAAAAAAAAAATGAATGAATGAAAAAAGGAAAGGATAAAAATTTTTTCTTCTTTTTTCTCCAAGTGTGTTGATGTCAGTCGCCTCCACCGGCCAGACGCGCGTGCCCCACCCGCCGGCCCCAAGCAAAAAAAAAAAAAAAAGGGCCTGAGAGAGCGGCAAGCAGGTTGCAGGTGCCGGCCACCCGTGACCCTGACCGGTACCTAGGAGGTACCCATCACGGCAATTCCACCGCAGAGTGGTACCTCTGAGGTACATGCTACCCAGTGCATCTCCGTACATACACCCATACTCCGTACATTCTTGGTTTCTTGTCTTTTCTTTTTTACCTTTTTTTTTTTTTCCTTTTTTCCCCACCGCAATACGCACAGTCCACCACGTTCTGTCGGCGGCATCTGATTGGCGGGCGGGGGGCGACGACTCACAGGGCGGGCAGGCGAGATGGAGAAAGACGTGGTTTTGTCTGAACCTGCCGGACTCGGGAGGTCGTCCCCAGTATTAATGACTCAAAGGAAAGAAAGACACGGGGAAGAGAGCGGCGAGGTTTCCCGTTTCTGACTGCGATTTTTTTTTTTTCTGGTGTGTTTGTTTGTTTGTTGTTGATGGCTGGCCAGATCCGCGGTTTTGGGGCTGGACCCGGCAGGAACTGGCAGGGAAAACCCGGTAAGGATTGGACTGGAACCGGGAAGGAACGACGACACGCGAGTTTCAAAAAAAATAAAATAAAATAAAATAAAATAAAATAAAATAAAAAAATTAAAATAGTTAACAGACTTACTATGAAGTTAGTTAACTAAGTAGTGGCGAGGAGGCTGTCAGGAGTCATCTTCGTGGCCTGCCTGTCAGAGGGCGTCATCCGCCTACCGAAAAAGTATCGAACTAACTATATAATACGACATACCGCTTAGTTAGTTACTTTGCTTGCTGCTAGTTAACTAATGCTGCTGCTGCTGTTGCTGATGATGATGATGCTCCTGGCTCAATTATTAATCGCTGCAGCTCTCATGATCATCGTGTTCCAGATCTAAACTGTATACAGCATCGCGATCCAAATCTATATATATTTATATTTCCTCGGACCATCCTCCTCCTCCCTGCAAGGACCGCATCGCTGCTCGCATCAAACCCATTCAACCATCCCCCCACCCCCGCCTCTTTACTCCGTCCGTATACGTCTATACATCACACACCGAGCTTGCTTCCCTGTCATTCCCCTGGTCGAGTCTATTCGCCAGTCACTTGACACACACCTCTCTCTCTCTCTCTCTCTCTCTCTCCCCCTCTCCTGGTCGACACATATCTGCGCCATCGCACACCCCCTCCTTCAGTTAAAACGCATTCCCAGCCCTTCCCTCCCCGCATCTTGGATTCTTGGTTGCTTGGGTGTCGAAAAGTCCGCAATCTCCCCCCCCCCCCCTTCTTTAGACGTGGCAGAGAGGCAGCACCTTTCCGATCCAGCTGCAGAGCCTTGGCTTTTGTCGTTGAATTCGTTTGTTGTCGTCGTCGTCGTCGTCGCACGTCGCTGTCGCTTCTCTCCAGTGAGGGAAATAAAACTACTGCTACCATCCTAATCAATCGGTCTATACCGGGGGGGGGTTTTACGGTCGCCCTTTGTCCGGCAAGTTCGTCACAATGCCCTCCTCTCTGGAGTCCCGGAGCACTGGGACATTCAACTCCATCACCCGCAAGGGCCGTCCGTCCGTCGAGATCACGCTGGACGGTGATGTCTCCTCCCAGTCCCGCGGGATAAACACTTACACCACCCTTGACCCCATCGAGGGCAAGGTCGTCATCAGCGCCGACACCGACGTCCGCTTCGATCAGATACACATCTCCTTCATCGGCGCAGCCAGGACCTTGATCGAACGCCCCGGATACGCTGGTCCCACCGTCGGCCAGTCGTCCGCCTTCCACGCCTTCCTGAGACTCACACAGCCAATTGAAGAATCCCAATACCCCCAGCCCAGGGTCCTCGAGGCCGGGCGAAAGTACTCCTTCCCCTTCACCTTCGTCGTCCCGGAGCGATTGCTGCCCCATGCTTGCAAGCACGAAGTCAATCATCCTCAGATCCAGGCCGCTCACACCCACCTCCCGCCGTCCCTGGGCGGTCACACCCTCGCCGGCCGCGGCGGCTCGAAGCTGCTCGACGACATGTGCCCGCAGATGTGCCAGATCCAGTACAAGATCCGCGCACGGGTGGCCAGATTCGACCTGCCCGAAGACCAGCCACCAAAGACACTCGTCGAGGTCGTCAGGAAGGTCCGCATCGTCCCTGCGACCGACGAGGAGCCGCCCCTCGACGTGGCTGACAGCAATGAAGAGTTCCGCATGCGTAGTGAAAAGATCGTCAAGAAGGGTACCCTACGCAAGAAGTTCGGCCGCATCGCAGTCGCAGCCGCTCAGCCAAAACCATTCCGTCTCCCTTCTGTCCACTCTGAGAGCTCTGAGAATGTGTCGCCAGCGACCATGGCGACGCTGCACGTACGCTTCGACCCAGATCACGAACACCAGACGCCGCCCAAACTCGGGTGCCTCTGGACGAAACTGAAAGTCAACACCTTCTTCGGCATCGAACCCTGGTCCGACTTCCCCAGCCGCTCTTCGAAGCTGGCCTGGAACTACAACAAGGGCGTCTACACGGACACCCTCTGTCTCGCCTCTCGCTGCGTGGCATCCGCAACGTGGCAGAAACACACCACGTCCGCTCCCCCTTCCCCGTCCTCCTGCAGCAGCAGCCGACGCTCCTCCATCCAGTCCAACTGGACAGACGGCTCCCTCGTCGGCCCAACAGCATGCTTCACCGGCAACACTTACTACACCGCCACCGTGCTCGTGCCCATCTCCCTCCCTTCGCACAAAGCCTACGCCCCGACATTCCACTCCTGCCTCATCTCACGCACCTACTCCCTCGATATCTCTCTGTCCTACAATCCTTCGAGCTCCAGCACCTTCACCACCCGGCAGACCATCTCGCTGTGCATCCCCGTCCAAGTCACCGGGCAGGAGAGCCTCACGGCGGTGGTGGCCAACCGCGCGAGAGAGGCTAGTGCGCAGAGTGCTGCAGCGGACGAATTCTTCACTCCGCGAGTCATCACGCCACCGAGCCCGGAGTATGTCGGGCAAGCAAGACTCGAGGGTATGAGTATGCTCTCTGGTTCGACAGCGTCGGCGCCTCCAGAGTATTTGAGCTTGCTGACAACGTCCGCCCATTAAGTTCAAAAAAAAGGAAGGGAAAAAAAGGGGAAAAAAGTGCCTTACTTTGTCTGGTGTTTCTTTCTCTGCATGGTTCGGATTTTTTTTTTTTTTGTTCTTTTATCAGGATGTAGGGTCTCTGGGAGCTCGTTTTCGGCGAACAAAAAATTGTTGTCTTTGGTTTCTTTAATCTGCGAATGTTCGCAGCTCTTCGTCTTACTCTTAATTAACTAATGCCCAGCAGACGGTTTATGTGGACCTGTATCTAGATGATTTATTTTTTTTCCCCCCATGTTTGATACCCCCCCTTTGCTTGTGGCCATAGTTGTAACTCAGGCAGTTACGGAGTACTGTATAGTTAATTAAATACTCTAATATAAAGCTGCTTTTACGCGTAGCAGAACGACTCATACAATTTCAAAATTATATATATATATATGCGCTGGAGAGGGAGAAATGTCCAAGCGTAACGGAATGCTAATCCGCATACGGAGTACTGTATACTCCGTACATCTGCTCGTCATCCCTCTTCCCCGGGAGCCAACTGACTGCTGCAATTGGCCCCTGGAGCATCGCGCTTGTCAGGTCGATTCTATGAGTGTGTTATATACTCTGTATAGTGGCCCCCCTTTCTCTGGGTATTACCGAAGCCATTAGTGACAGCCGCTTCAGGTGTGCTGCGTGCACTAGCGCCAAAGTCAGGACCTCTAGGGAACATCCAGCCTGTTTTTCTTTTTGTTTTTAATCTTTAATATGCATTTTTTTTCACTTTTTGAGAAAATCGAGATGTTATATATATAAGTTGCTAGAAGGGAGAAGGAAAAAAAAGGAAAAAATTGGTTCTAACTGAGAAAATATTGAAATGCAGCTGTATGCACACAAGGCCTTGTGGCGTAATTGGCAACGCGTCTGACTACGAATCAGGAGACTGCAGGTTCGAGCCCTGCCAAGGTCACAAAAACATCCTTTTTTTTCTTTTTTCAATTTCTTTTGTTGTTTTTTTTTTCGCTTTGGGTGGCGTTGTTTGCTTTGTTTGTTTGTTTCGGAGTCGAGAAGGCTCCATTACACGGATCACCTCATACGTACTCGATAGCTCTCATCACACCCGGTCCAAACTACCTCTAGACAAGCAAAAAAGGTTCCGGGGTGTTCACGACAGGGTCAGCTTCAGATCTCGCGACAAATGACACCACCATCTCCCAAAGGTCAGCGTGCGAAAAGATCAAAGCTTATTTTATTATATTTTGTTCATCACGCAAATATAGGGGGGGCATCCCTGATTATATGCTGTGTGTGTGCTAGGTCGGTTGTCTCCGCGCCGAAGTCAGGAGGTAATCTGTCTACGAGAAGGGTGCAAATTTGTCATGAGGGAGAGTATGTTTTTCTTCATTGGGTTATCTTTCTTATACGCGGCTTTTCTCTTCACTTGTTTTCCTACTATATCACTCCCGTAGATTGGTTTTGCTATTGTTGGCCGGTGCCCACCCAACCTCCGGCCATATCTTGTGGGAGCATGACGAGTCAGATCATTAAATACTTTGTGTACATCAGACAAAATACCATTATCGGGGGAGGGCAAGGCACAGCAACCTTGGAACGATGGCCTCTTAATTGCATTAACATGCCTGGGATTTAGAACCCTAATTTAGGATATGGAGTCAGTGCTCACTATTCTAAGCTTATCGAGGCGAAGACATGCCGCTGCTCCGACTTGGATTTACTTGAGATTTTTTAGGGGTGCCGTCTTGACTCTTATATTTCCCACACTCCTGGAGCATTACGATATGCAAGTTACTCCGTCCCCTCCTCGGAGATTTTCTTGCTTTCCGGCTTTTGCTCCACTTCAATGTCTGCTAACCTCGCTGTGGTAGAAACTTTGCAGAAACAAAAGTGGCATCATTTACTTCGACAGGGGGACAAAAAAATGGAAAGAATCGAAAGATCTTATAAACTGATGTGAACCCATTTGTCGCTACCACTATTATCGCTCTCTCGCTCAAGCCTTTTCGAGAGCTTGTACGAAGTGCAGGAAACACAAAGACTTCGCAGCTATCACTTCTGCCTGCATACCGACGCTCATTACACGGGTTTTTTTGCACGGCGCAAAGATTGCAAAAGGCCACTTAAGGAATGTACTTGGAGGAAATCTTCAAGCCTGTCATGGTGTCGCTATCGGCCCCTGGGAGGAAGGGGGAGGAGAAGGATCATCACATTCGGCTACGCCAATTTTCGCATCTGGGGAAGTTGGGAGCTAAAGCTGGAGAGTCGTGGCGCTTCTGGATGGGATGGCCCCCGCAGTACACTTCAGCAGCAGAGTAGCTGGTTAAGTTGCTCTCCACGGGGAGCCATTTGGGATCTTCGTATATCCCATATGGTGAGAGACCAATGTCAAAAACCAGTCAGAACGGTAGGTGGATTTGATTCAATGGTTGTAAGCAAAGCCCAGAAAATAATGCCACAGAAGTGAAGCATTATGCTGGGAAAAAGGGGGGGGCCGCCATGTGTTCACAAATAGTGACCTTTTCAAAGAGTCAGCCACTGCAAATGGATCCAGTGCATTGCTTGCAGAATATAAATTTTTCCCTATCTAAATGTGTTGAATTGGGAAATCACACATCAGGTTACAATGTTTCACTCAATGATATTGTAGGCAACCTGGTTTAAGCTATCACAAACAATACTAACAAACTACTACTCTGAGAGACACGAAAGGCAAAGAAGAGGAAGCAAAAGCAAAAGGGAAAAAAAAAAAATAAAAAAATAAAAATAATATGACCTTGGCAGGGCTCGAACCTGCAGTCTCCTGATTCGTAGTCAGACGCGTTGCCAATTACGCCACAAGGCCCGACTTGGCATCGAATGCCATTTAAATAATCAGTGAATATAAAATTTATGTTATCTTCAAAAACATCTACGCTGTCCAATGCCGGGGGAGGGGAAAAAAAAAATGAGAGATGCTTTGAAACTACAATGTGATGGCTGTACCTTGCAAAACGAGAATTGCGGCAGGGCTTTGTTTTATAAGTAATACAGGTTATGGATCACGATGGGTTCGATCCTGAGCTTTTGCGGTCTGTTCTGTTGGGTGTTGTTGGGCTGGGATCTATATAACTGCTTCAAAAGCTATTTACGACGACGGACATGACCTCCGTTATCTCTAGAAAATGGCATCAATTAACTCGCGGTCTATGCGGAGGCATCGGAGATACATACATAGACGTACATGACTGATAAGTCGAGCCGGTTATCATCGAAGCTTTCACTTTTGTCTCAGAACGCCTTTGTCTTTTTGGTCAGGCTTTTCCACCTTGTAACTAACTACATACGACTCCCACGTCCTGCCAAGCTTTCCTGCGCAGTACGAAATTCGAAAAAATGCAGATGCAAGGAGATAAGTTTCAGATGCAGAGTAGATCGTCGCAGATTTACAAACTCACCGCACCGCGTCTATATACATCCATCTTAATTGAAAGAGAGATTAGACAATGCTTGACTGTTGTCTCAGGAGAGCTAACTTACCTTTCCCCCTAGAAGACAAAACATGGAACACTCCTCATATTAAAATCAAATTTGCTTCATTCAAAGCGGTTGGTCATTATTATTAATATTATGCTAATTAGTTGGTTTCTTGTCTTGTTTCGTGATGTCCCTTTCCCACATACACGCCCACACACACACACACACACACTCTCTCTCTCTCTCTCTCTCTCTCTCTTTTTATACACACCTTCAAACCCCAGGTGAGAAAACCAAGCAGCACATCAAGACCCATCCAGGCAGCATTCCCCATGAAACGCCCACCTGTCTTGCTGCTAATATGTAACATGCCTGGTTTTCCTTTCCTTCTCATCTTTTTGTTCCTGAGAGAAAAAAGACTTTTCCACAATTAACTCCACACAGCCGTCTGAAAAGGGACAACTGCAAAGATCTCCACAGCCTCAGCTGGTGGAGTTTTGTAGGAGGTTAAATCAGAAACATCTCTCCTCCCCTCTGCTCCACCCCCTAAGGGACCAAGAGATAAATAAGAACAGGGCTTGCTTTCCAAACAAAAAAACATATGTATCATCCGCCCAGATCGCAGTAGAGTACAATTCGCGCCTGCGGACACAAAAAGCGCAAAAAAAAAAAAAAAAAAAGAAAAAAGGCCAAGCAGAACGGGTTCATATGCAACGAGCATATCAGAGATGAGGAAACACACGCAAAGTAAAATGCTATGTGCCATCTCCCAAAAAAAAAAAAAAAAGAAAAAAAAAGAACCGCTTTTTTCCCTTTCGCAATAGCGTAACGAGGATTAGCTCCCAGAAAGGGAGATAGATAGAGGTGGTAAATCGAGATAATAAAAAAACTCCGGAGAGCGCCTCCACATTTCCCTCCCAGACCAGGTCCATAGATCGACGCCAATCCCAAAAAAAAGGAGGAGGTAGAATGACAACACGTAACAGGTGGACAAGAACGCCGTGACATGCCGTGGTTGTTTGAGGTCTTTCTCCTTTTTCCCCCTTTTTTAATCCCAAAAAAGAGGGAAAAACTCTCAAGAAAAGGGTGCACCTCGCTATCGTGAGATTCCCAAGAAAAAAGGAGAAATTGGACAAGTCGACTTCGATGGTCGCGACATGTGAATATTAATTACATCTCGGGAATTTTTTTTCCCCCTTCATTCAGGTCGATTGAGGAGTTCGTAAACGGTATCTGATAGCGCGTTCTCTTCGTCTCGTTTTCTCGAGCTGCTTCTCCGTTGTAGAAAGGCGGGGAGTATGCCGAGCTTGCGGGACGGCGAAAACGATCGCGAAGGGTTCAGGATCGCGCCGGATGGTCGTGTCTGGATCGGGGAATATCGATGGAAGTACTTCGAGCCGAGGAGGATGAGGCGACGGTATCCCCACCATAAGAACGCGCCGACGATGCCGGCCAGAACGAATCCGAGGACCGTGAGAAGGACCCAATGGCCGCCCATCTGGATATGTTAGCTTAGCACATAGTCCAAAAAAAAAAAAAAAAAAAAAAAAAAAGTGAAAGGTAACACGATGACACTCACCCAAAAAATCAACCTAGCATCCTTTCCATGCCAACTGCTACCAGGATGGTGGGTGAAGAAACTCCACGAATGTCGATTGTACTCGTCCGCCATCATCACGCGAACGCGCTCGTACGCGGACGGTCTGCCTGCCATGTACTCCTTCCAAATGACAGATAGGAAAAGGGGGCCAGTCGAGTACATGACGGTGATATAAGGCAACACCCAGTGCCGGTTGTACGTCTGTAGAGAATCGATGACGCGCCGGAAGAAGGGATGCTGAGGCACGGATCCCATGATATCGTTGGAGATTCCGGTGGGACTGGTCTTGCGAACCCAGGCGGGATAGACAAGGAGCGGATCCAAGCGGCGATTGCAACCCTAACGCGATCAATATCAGCATCCGACCAAATCCACAAAGCCATATATATATATATATATTGTAGGTAGCAGGAGACCTGTCTTACGTCGTCGAGATCGATGTAGATTCCGCCATAGTACGTCAAGACGAAGTATCTAATAGCGTCGGCACGCTGGATGGGGTAGCGATAGTTCCTAAAAGTCTCGAGGAACCACGGGTACTGGCTCTCGATGAACGCATCGGCCTTCTCGTCTGTCCAGAGCTGTATATTTTTTTTTTGGGTTTTGTTAGTGTGATGATTGTAGGACGAGGAGATCTACAGGCACAATTTCCCAATCCAAACCATTTGAAGGGGGGCAAAAAAAAGAAGAAAAAGAAAACAAAAACGAGCAATGGTGAAAACAAAAAAAAGGGACCAAAACATAGATATCGACGAACCTTGTACTCATAGTCCGGGTGAAGCTCCAAGCAGCTCTGCTGGGCCTCCTGCCAGATAGCGGGTATGGACTCATTCTTGTAGGTCTGGTGGATGATCTTTGGGATGATGGGCTTCTTCTGGTCGATGAAGGTCGAGTTCGGTGCGGGGAGCTCGGTGCGGCTTATGGCGTCAGTCGCGGCATCTTCAAACAGGAGACTGAGAAGGGTAGAGACGCTGTTGACCAGGAACGCGATGACGATAAAATTCGCGATGATGAAGATCAGCGCGCCCTTCCGCATGGTGGGTGAGTGGTGGTGGTGTTTGCGGCGAGAGGTTCCCGCGTCGGAGCGACGACGGGAGGGTGAGAGGGTAAAGGGGGTTCGAAGTGACTCTTTTCTGCCACTTTCTCTCTCTCTCGATCAGCGCCTGGAATAAATTATCTTTCTATTCTTCTTTTTTCCTATTTTTTTTTTTTTTTTTTTATTACAACTTTGGGTGTGAAGGATTGGCCGGGTCGGGAGTTCAGGCGAGACCGAGGATGCGGTGTAACCACCAGCTGAAGGAGGACGGGCGCACAATTGGTTCGAATATGGGCTGAAGGAAGACGTGAAGAGCGAAGGATGGACGCACGGGTGAATTCCAGAAGAGAGGAGGGGGGCAAAAAAAAAATTAAATAAAGAAAAAAAAAACCAAAAAAACCAAAAAAAATATACAAAAAAATTGGTGTGGTTGGGGGAAAAAAAAAAAGAGAGTGACGGCGAGGTCGGTGGATGGAGACGTTGTTTGGGCGCACGGAGGTTCAGCTAGTAGTGAATGAATGACGCTAAAAAGGGCGATGCACCCGCTAAGTGAGTTAGTTACGGGCTGTTTACCCCTGGCTGCGGGCTGGCAAATGAGGTGCGGGCAAGCTCCACGGCAAACAAGCTCGGTCGGTCGCGGTGGCTTGGGAGATCTCCACGGATCACGACCGTGAAGAGGGACAACGGAGATGCGAAATCGTGAAGAGAGATGGGAAGGTTGAGGGGGAGACGAGGGATAGAGTATTAAGATGAGATTTGTATATCGACAATAGTACTCCGTAGTGAATTTTTGAGAAGGGGGAAAAAAAAAAAAAGGAAAAGAAAAGAAAAGAAAAAGAAAAAGAAAAAAGATATGACGAAGAGGTGCAGGATGAGCGACGAAGGCGACGGTTAAGATGAGAGGGGAGAGAGTGGAAAGTTTGGCGACGAACCGGACGAGCTGACACTGCCACACCAGCGCCAACAGGCCGCGACAGGGATGCGGCGCGGGCTCAAGGGGGTCAGCAACGGCGAGCCGGGGTTTGGAGACGAGTTGATCTTAAAAAAGAGAAAACAAGAGGAGGGAGGGAGAAAAAGAGAGAGAGAGAGAGGGAGAGAGAGGAGAGAAGACCGTGTGGTTGACGTGCCTCGGATCGCTTCCATCGTCTGCATCGTCTTGTATTTATCGTTCTGGATGGGCGTGGCGGCCACAGTTTGAGATGAGGAGAGTTAAAACTGACTACTCCGTACTTTGTTAACTTAACTTGGTTCCGTTGGCTGATTATTTGGGGTCTTGGTGTGGGATCTGCTTTTGTACTCACACTCGCGTCATCGCGATTCATCATCATCATCACCATCATCATCATCATTCATCCTCATTCATCCTCATTCATCCTCATTCATCCTCATTCATCATCATTGTCGTCGTCGTCGTCGTCGCCAGCGCAGAAAGATGGGCAGATCAACGCGAAAGGGAGGTTCGTTTCCGGGCGGTGGTTAGGGGAGGCCGGCGCCTACAGCCAAGGCGTGCTTCGGGCCTGGTTCCGGGGCAGCCACCCCATGTATTTTATGTAGTCGTCGAACTTGGCGCGGAGGACGGTGGGTTTCCTCTCTCCTCTCCACGAACGAACCCACGCGCAGTCCACTGCGGATGAGAGTACTGTACACACCTTCAGGAGATATGGGCCTTTCTCGAATCATTATCGACATTCCATCTCTCATCTCCGTCCGCGATGCTATTCGTCGATCCCCCCATGTCCAGAAACAGTCTGGTGGTCGGGCAAACACGACTTCTCTTTTGTCTATGCAGCCAAAGGCCCAAAAGTCATTCATCCATCCATCCCGGAGAAAGGAATCTTGCGCGCACACACTCTACACTCTCTCTCTGACCTCCGGAAAATATCTCCTCTGGAGGACCTGTCCAAAATCATCCTTGTATCCCTTCAGCTGTGAATGTCCCCGGCAGTGCATCCTCTATTGTCCCTAAGACCCCCCCCCTCCTCTATCCGGTATACGAGCACAACAGCCAAGAAGATACAAGCTCGTCGTGGATGGGCATGCTGGTCGATTTATTCGTCAATCATCAACCAGCCAGCTGAACAGGTGGGGGGCTTCAAACAAACATATGCATAACTATTACCACATCCGGCGTACGCAGAACGGGGCCCCCCATCCAGTCGTCCACCAAATCCCAATCCCGCCTCCAGCTCCCCTGTGGGATCTTGTGTGGGATCTCAGCTCCGTCCCGGTTGCCCCGAGGAGAACACCCGTTTTTGAACACGACAGGGGGGGGCTTCGGAGTAACCGAACCGACATGCTGGATGTCGGCTGGCCAACACAAAAGTTGAGCGGGATCACTTCGAGGGACGAGGGTATCTCACGCCGCTCTGGGAGTGAGTCCAGCGTGGTTTATCACCCGATATGGTAGTCAAGTGGCTAATTCTGCTCTATATTACAAACTGACATGGTTAACCAGGGCCATCAAGCTTCAAAGCGATAGCTCCGTCGCCGAACAGAAATATCATTAACTCCTCCTCCTCCTCTGTTATAATACAAAGCGATCATTTACACGCCGAATGCCTGCTTAGCTTACGCGAATGGAGCCTGCACGGATATTCAGATTTTACATTCCAACATTATGCGTATCGTGTCGTGCAGCAAATAAAGGCAAAGCGTCAGCTTGAATGATCCGTCAAGACCTAGGGAAGGCTCAGGACTGTATATGGCCACGAATTTAGAACAGCATACTTGTGACACTCAAGTACCCACATCACAATTGTCACACCTGGTCTCTGTAATGGCGACCATTCTATCTAAGCGGATTCTCAGTCCTCTTTACGTCACAAATGGGCTCGCCAGACAATCACATGCAAGTCTTATATCTGTTGAGGAACCACCACCCCCTGTCCAGTGTCTAATCCCCCCCAAGACCTATGGCCAACAACTTATTACAGAAGGACTGGTACTTACTGAAACCCCGTTGAAGAAATGTTTCACAGACATATTATACATATTCTATATCCCCGGCAGCAGCGAAAGCCGGTCATTTTAACCTCCATACATGTTATCTCCCAAGCCTGGGTTGCATGACATGCATTCCGCCAAATTCACCCCGGCCATGTTGCCCATGGCGAGTGATTTTTGTTTCCCAAAACTTCATATCCTGATGGCCTTCAACAGGTCACTTTGCCACTTTCGCATCCTCCTCGTACAAGAAACCTCGCTGGACTTGAGTTTCCAGCTTGGCAGGTTGACAGAGCACTATATATATATCCCAACGGGGGAAACAGCCGACCTCTACCCACGCGAGGATAATTGTACCCGAACCTGTTCCGACTTGAGTCTGTGGACCACGTCATCCCGGCCGCAATCTCTTCTTAAATAACATACTGTCGGTAAATCTGTCAGCAAATATTCATGCTTCCCCTCCCCCTAGGGGCATAATACAGGCCGTCTTTAGTCTTACCGGAATGAATAAGTAGGGAACCTCATTCTCGTACCGCTTCCAGGCCTCGCCGTACTTCCTTCGGCATCTCTCAATGTCCCTTCTGGTCCGATGAATGATCATGACCATAAAGAAGATAGAATAGAACCAAGGGAAAGGGCTCCTGCTCGCCGCAAACTCAGTTATCTGTCCACAGCACCGCGAATATATATATATATATATATATATATAAGGAGGACAAGACAGGTGATAAAAACTTACTTGAACCCGGTGATCAGACCCCAAGACATAGAGAAGAACATGTCGGGAACATAGTTCGGCTTTCGAACAATCGCAAACCAGCCGTCCACCAAGATGCGATCTCCAGCATCCGTCTCGATGGCCTTCGGTTTCTCGATGATCTGCCACGGCAGTTGGGGGAAGGTGTTGCGCTTGATGAGCTGGCCCCTCTCCATCTGGCGGAATCCGTTCTTTTGGCCGTTGGCGGTGTCCCACATCCAGTACATGAAGAGGTAGGTGACGAAGAGCGTGGTCAAGGCGTAAGGGTTCCAGCGGTACTCCGCCGGGTCGTGATTCGCGAAGTATAGGGCACAGTGGCAGTAGGTGAAGGGCACGCCGGCCATGTTCCAGAAGGTAAGCATGAAGCCTAGCTTTTCGAAGTACATGTCCCTTGGGGAAGAGAAGAAGCATCGGTAAGCTAGAACCTTTCTCCAAGCCAATATATATATATATATATGAAGAGCAACTTACCAGCTGGTGATGATCAACTGCTCCGCCTTAGCACAAGCATTGGTGTACAGGAAATGCGCCATGGCCAGGAAGAGTACCTCGGCCGAGACGTACCCGTACGTCTCATACTGGCGAGCGGCCACGGAGCAGGTGATGAGGAACAGGATGAACCACGGGATCCGGACCTCGTAGAACATCTTGAAGTCCAATATTCCAATGCGCGGATTCAACTCAGCGCCCATGAAGAAGTCGTAGATGGGATAGCCCGTGAGGCGGTGCGTCCGCCGCCGCACGATGGCCTGGACATGGACGATCAGGCTGTTCAGGAAGCCCGACAGGATGGCTACGGTCATGATGGGCCCGAACTCGTCGATGAGCGTGTACAGCGGGAAGACACGTGTGGCGTGCAGGATCGCGGCGACGGCGAGCGTTGCGTAGAAGCTGGTGTAGGCGGAACAGTAGTAGGGGAGCTTCTTGCCGCCCTCGTGGAGCAGGGGCCGGCCGTAGGTCAGCACGCCGGGCATGTAGCAGTACATGACCGCCTCGAAGACGAAGAACGTCCAGTAGATGGCCCAGGCTTTGGCGGTCGGATAGGCTCCCTCGTAGACGAGATCAAGCAGGTGACCGACGAACTCGCGCCAGCTCTGGTTGTCGTCGGGCAAGGGGAGGTGCCCGTTGTAGTACGTTGCGCCGATCCACATGTACCACATCAACAGGGGGAAACCGAGCATCAACGCGGTGACTCCAAGGGAGCCGCCGAACTCGAATTCGTCGGATGCGCCATCGCTGAACTTGGTGGTCGACTCTGGGGCCTTCTCTACCTGACCTGTCGACGTGGAATGGTCCCGGCCTCTAGCCTTCGCAGTCATGACCTGAGGTATGCTGGGTGGCTTTTTCGTATGTGTGTTTGTGTAGGGAGCGTCAATGAAATCTGGGATGAGAAGTCTCCGTAATCAGAGATGGCAACGAAGCCCAAGATGAACATTCCTGTCGCCATCTCGACCGGGGGGGGGGGGGGGAAATTCTAGATATATGTACTCCGTAGATGCCAGATACAGACATACATACAAACGTCTGCGACTTGCCGTTCAGAGAAAGGGAATTCCCCCGCTGCGGAAAAGCAAAGCGAGCCAATCACCGCTGGAGAATGGAGACAGGCAGTTGAAAGCGAGCCAATCAGCATTAGCCGACTCGTCGATTTAAAATTTCTATGTTTCCTATTGGTCAATCTGTCTCACTAGCCTGTGATTAGTCATAGTAACCACCAATAGAAGGGATCGGAACTAAAATTACCGGATCGTCCGACCGGAATTCCGCTGTCCGTAACAGTTTTAACTAACGAGTTATATTTCCGTAATGAGCAAAAAAAAAAAAAGAAAAAAAACATCCGTCCTTCTCGCCAAGCACGAGAATGATAATCCGCAGAAACCTCAACTCAACCCGGCACAGTCCTCGCCTCACCCGTCAAATGCGGGCTCGAGTTCAACCTTCATGAAAGCGACCAACAGGCGGCGCACCAAATGTTTCTCGGGCTGCTGGACCTGCCGGTCGCGTCGTGTGAAGTGCGATGAGTGAGTGATCTTGCACTGCCAGAGCCGTTCCTCTCTCCCCCTGACCCTTTCTGTGCATAGAACAACCCCATTATGCCAGCGCTGTCGTCAGGTCGGCGTCCAATGCGAAGGCTATGGCATCCGATTGAATTGGGTACACTACCGTCCTACGCCCAGTTCGGACGGGACAAGCCACGATGATCATGACGGTGATCAGGATGATGGCCAGGCCCCGGGCACCAGGGCGTCCAGACGCTCCCTGACATACCTCGGGGTGTCATCTGTTCCGCGCCTGTCGTCTCCAGAGCTTGATGTCACGTTGAGGCAGATTGATGCATGGTCTCCTGTTGGAGAGTCTCCAGGACTAGAACAGAGGGGCTTCTCCGTCTTTCCAGCTGAGCCGGATGGGCGCCCGGTGCTGGATCCAGGGACTCCTTCGCCTACTCCTTCTGACTACCGCGTGTCGGGAGAGCTGTCGGCGACAGAGACGGTAAACCAGACCGATGACCTTCGCAGGGAGTCGCCATCATCGCCCGCCGCTTCTAGCGCTGGCCGTGGGAGGCAGGAGCAGTACGTTTGCCCGGACGCTGTGCCCGTAGCTCAGACCCTTTTAAGTCTCGGGTGGGAACGCGACCATGTTCCGCGACCTGAGTCGCCAGTCGTTGGCCAAATCCAGTCCCCGCTTCGTCAACAGTACGGACATTCCCCGCCGCGCCATCTGGATGTCCTGTCCATGCCGGCCAGCCAAAAGAGGCTTATGCACCACTGGGTTACCTTCACCAGTAGCAAAATCGTCCTTCTCGATGAGCCTCACAATCCCTGCCGTACTATGATGCTCCCTATGGCGCTGAAGGGCCTCATGTCTAGCTCGGAAGACTCCAACGCCGACGTCGCCATCTTCCACGCGATCTGCGCGTCGGCTGCCTTCAATTTGTTCGAGCTTGGTGGCAGGACAAACGAGCAGGATCGCGCTCTGGCCCTCAACCACGAACAGCAGGCCATCCGTCACCTTCGGCACAACCTGGCCCGAGCCGACGAGCATCGAGACCAGTCGTTTGCGATGGCCATCATGGCCTGCATCGCGGTTGAGGCCATCTCTGGTACAACCCAACGATGGCGGACACACGTCCAGGGCGGCCTGGCATACCTTGCGAAACTGCACTCCTGCGGCGTGGAGGAGGTTGTTCTGTCCGGCTTTCGGAGACATATGGTATCGATGGCCATCCTGTGCGACTTTCCCGTCCGGGACGACCTCAAGTCCTTTCTCAACGACGACGACGAGCGTTTTGTCGAGGGGCTCGAGTTCACATTCCCGTATTATGGCGTATCGAGGTCCTTCTTGCGGGAACACGATCGCATGAACGCGTTTGCAGCTACTATCGCTACCTCAACGGTCAGGACACCTACACTGGAAAAGGAGCTCGACGCTTTCGAGCTGCAGCTGTATCTCAATTTCCCGGGTCTCCCACCCCAAGACCTGGTATCTTCATCGAGCAAGGCCCATGGCCTCGTCCTTCACCACATAGCCAAGGTGTTCTACTACGCCGGTCTCGTCTTCTTCCAGCGTAGCATACGCCACGCAGCGGTAGCCACGGTGCAGACTCTCGTCGAGCTCGGCGTACACGAGCTGGAATCAATCGAGCGAGTCGGCAAGGGCGAGCTGGGCTGCATGATGCTCTGGCCGGTGCTGGTTCTGGGGGCGGAGTGCGGCTCGTCAGGTGTACAGCAGCGGATGCGGGCTTGGTTCCGAGATCAGCGGAAGCTCGGCTTCAGGAACCTGGTGGTGCTGGAAGAGTTGGTCGACGCGGTGTGGAGGGCCAGGGCCGATTCTGCTGCCGACGGGAAGAACGTGGATTGGCGGGATCTCATCGTGCTGGCACGATTTGATGTTTTTAGGCTTTGAGCGACTACTTAGGACCTCTTTTATCTTAATATTGTGTTGAGAAATCCCGTTCCCGCCTTGTACAACAAGTCTTCAGGCCTTGGCACCTACTCCTAGAGTCCAGTTGATGTACTACATACATACTTAGTACTCTATAGCCTTTTGGTTTAACGAAGCATAGCATACATATGTACAGGACATACCTACGTGCCTAAAGCTGCACTCCGATCTTCTGCATCCAATCAGTCATGGCAGCCATACAGCTCTCTGGATCTTCCTCGGGAACAAAGTGTCCTACACCCTCCTCCAGCCCGACAACCGTCAGCAGCTGGCCATCAGCAACCCAATCCTTCCAGACATTCATGTCGAACCTCCGCCCAATTCCCGCGGAGTGCAGCACTAGCACGGGCATCTCCATCTTGCGTCCATTCTTCTGGTCCTCCTCCTGCATCCTCACGTCCACTGTGGCACCGGCCTCGTAGTCCTGACACGAGGCCCGCACAACGCTATCCCACCTGAACGGCCGCTCATACATCTCCAGCGCATCATCAGCCGCAGCCCGCGCTCTTGCCTTCTCACTGCTTCCCGTCCACCGCCCCATGAGCTCTCGGATGAACTTGTCCCCGCCGATCTGTAGTATCATCTTCGTCGCCAGCTCCGCGTTCGCCAAGAACGGCCAGTGGAAGTACCCCTTCGCCTCGGCCACGTTCGACATCCCCTGCCACTGAACGACTGTCGGGACAATGTCCATCAGTACGGTACCCAGTATGGTGAAAGAGGACATATGTTGCGCCGCGTCGACAGCCAGTTGATGGCAGATGCGTGCGCCGCGGTCATGGCCGATGAGGATCACGCGCTGCGGCTGCGCTGTCTGTGATGTTTTGAGATACGCGGAGAGAGAGGCGAGGATGGCCTTCCCGACGGTCGCCTTGTCGTGTCCGAATTCGCAGGGAGAGCTGTAGCCGTATCCGGGAATATCGGGCGCGAAGAGCCGAGTCGTCTTGGGGAGAAGTTTGATTATCTGAGGGGGGCCGCCTTAATTATTTATTCACGAAGACGCATCGCATATGTATGTCACTTACATGGCGCCACCTGCAGAATTGATTCGTTAAGGGAGTGCGTTAGCCAAAAAATGAGAGAGAGGGAGGCATGTATGTATATAATGGATATAGTGGCCTCCTTGCTCATTCTTCCCGAAGCTCTCAAGAGCTGCGGCCGGGATATATCAATACAAAGGGTAATCTCAGATCACTAACATGAAGTATCTACCTCATGCAATGCTTTCCATCAGTAATTCACGACTTGCTGTCAATTTCACATATCATCCCACTCACGTCTGCGGATATCCATGAATCAACACCAGTATTGGCTCCTCGTAACCACCATTAGTGCTGCCATCTTCTCTGAAGATGCCCCTCGAAACCCCGCGAATGCAAGACCCGCCTGCCTCGATCTCAAACGTGCTGAGGCCGTAGCCCGCCAGAGTCTGCGGGACAGTTATCGCGACCATGATGAAGCCCAATCCCAACTATCAATGATTCTTTCTCGAGATACTCTTTGTCTGGAGGTTCTGTCTGTGCCTGCAGGACTGCAGTGACCGGGTACTAATGTCCCTTAATACGAGGTCTGAGAATGATGTCAGATACGATGCAGTCAACCGAATAACCGGCTTGAGTCCGGCAACAGAGTTCACTGCGACGCCAGCCTAGGCACCCGGCAAAGTCGAGAGATAGTTGCATGTTACGGAGCAACTCCGTACTTGGCTGGGAGTTCCTGGTTTGCCAACCCCTAATATTAACCAGTGCTCATTACGACGATCCTCGCCGAACAAACGAAACATGTGAGATCGGTCAAGCCTGGTGGAGGGTACCAGACCTTTATTGACTGGCAATTCAGATATGAAAAACGATCAAACGTGGTTAATCTCATCATCGCGGATGCGGATTTTCGCTGGAGGGTTAACCTCCTTGCCATGCAGACGACCACAGAGAGTAGCCCCCTCCTCAATGAACTTCCGGTGAATTATCTTGAACTTTTGGAACCATCAAGGCATTCTTGGTAGCTGTAACATACAGCATTTCCCAAAGACAAACACACCAAAAATAAAACAAAAAGCCGAAAAGGGGGAGCACAGCAATCTTGTCAAGCTGCGAATGACAGCATTTTCCCGATCCCGACAACCCGAACGCCTAGACAGTGCGGAGGGGTAAGTAGTTATATGTACACGTATTCCAAAGGAATAACAATAAACAAAAAGAGAGGTGAATAGCCGTTAGAAATCCCGTCCCAAGTAATCCTATCCTAGCAATGGTCTGAAACCCCCAAAATGCAAAATGTGCCCCTCGAATTGACCAATCCATCTCCATCTAGGAGGGTAAAAAGGCCCTTCTCGGAATGAGTGAGAAAGAGTGAAACACTCCTACTCAATTCAATCATCCTCCGTTTCCACCCTCCTCTTCGCGCGCTTGACTTTCCTCATAACGTCCAAGTACTCCTGCACCCTCTTCTCCGCCCAGATACACCCGCCAAACGTCATCGCCGAGATCTGTAGGAAGACTTTGAACTGTGGCGTCAGGCCGCGGTAAACCCTTGATATCGGGGCAATTGACTCGGAGATGGACATGAGCGGGCGGTAGACGGAGGCGAGGTTGATGGGCCGTCGTCCACGGAATGGAGAAGACGAGGCGGACGAAGGCGATGGAGGCGCGGGGGTGTGGTCAGCGAAATGCATCGGATGGGGAAGGATGAGGATTAAATGGGCGATGATAGAGAGGGAGCCAAACTAAGACGAAAAGAGATATTGCAGATTAGCGAACCGATTTTCTTCTTTCTATTTGTTACCCCGGCTTCCCATGCTTCCCATTTTTCTTTATTTTATTTTTTGTTAAAGAAAAGGCGCATTCTGTGGGATACATGATCTCTTTGAAATGAGAAACATTAGAAAAAGAGCGTGGGCGGACATGAAAGCGTACCCGCACTGCACCGGTCAAGAACCCTTTGATGCCTTCATCTGTGACTTGGTCCGGAGGCTCAACGTCTGCTCTGAGCTTTGACGGAGGAGGCATTCTGGCTGGGGTTTAGTTTAACAATTTAGGTGCTCCCAAATATCGCCGGTTCGCGGTCTGGAATGCTATACCCGATCTGATCGCTTTTCTCTCTCTATCTTCGTTCTCTTTTGAGGATCACGGGGCCATGCGGTTGGGTCGGCGGTGGGAGTTTGGGATCTGCAAAGAAAATGACGTTGGAGGGTCTCATTGAATGCGGGGACAGGGATGCGAGGCGACAGGGGATGGTTGTGGTGGTGGGTGCATGTCAATTGGCCTGCAGCGAAGTCCGTGCTGTGTCTGTAAGTGCCTGTTTGTTGGCAGAAACGCCAGGGAGCTTTCAGCCGGCGAGAGAGAAGACGCGGATCAGAATCGTCGCGCGACAGAAGCAAAAGCAAACCTTGAGCAGCGAACTTCGAACCTTTTTTTGCCCCAGCAACCGGATCATCGTTGCTCCGACGGTACTCGGAAATACGCTGATCCGGCTGTCTTTCTCTTGCGGGCGGTTTTGATGAAAGGGCGAAGAGCGGCGCGCTGTCGAGCTTGCGATGCAATTGAACGCCTAACAGGATCGAGAGAGAGACAACTTGCATCTCAGCTCATTGCATAAGCAGTCTGAAGCACCGGCAGAATTCAATAATATCCACGATGGCAGCCCTCCCGCGCCGCACCACCTCCCTCACCCGCCTCACCAACGAGACCAAGGTCCAGGTCTCCCTCTCCCTCGACGGCGGCGTCCTCCTCCCCTTCGAGCCATGCGAGCACTTCCCACAGAACTCTCCCGAAGAAGCGACGCAGATATTGCCTTTAGCTGGATCTGCACACTCCACCCAGTTCACATCCACCCAGCAAATCACCATCAACACTGGTATCGGCTTCCTAGACCACCTCCTCCACGCCCTCGCCAAACACGCCGGTTGGAGTTTAGCCGTCAGATGCAAAGGCGACTTGATCAGTATGTGCACCCTCATTCCTTCCCATATACATATCCATTCATGCTCTAACTCCCCCATTCCCCCCCAGTTGACGACCACCACACCACCGAAGACACCTTCCTCGCCCTAGGCACCGCTTTCACCCGCGCCCTGGGCCCGCGCGTCTCTCTCGTCCGCTTCGCACGCGGCGATGCACCCCTCGACGAGGCCCTCTCCTGGGCCGTCATCGACATCTCCTCGCGACCCTACAGCGTCATAAACCTTGGTCTACAGCGTGAGAAGATCGGTGCCCTGAGTACAGAGATGATCCCCCATGCGCTGGAGAGCTTTGCACAGACCGCTGGCGTGACGCTGCATGTTGGCTGCATGTATGGGAGCAATGATCATCATCGGGCGGAGAGTGCAATTAAGGCGGTTGCGGTGGCAATTAGGGGAGCAACGACGAGGAGAGGGGCCGGTGAAGTCGGTGGCGGCGGGGAGGTGGTGAGTACGAAGGGTGTGCTGTGAGAGGATCGATGGTTGTGGGTGTGTAAAAAAAAAGTGGGGAAATGCTTATCCATGGGCGCTTTTTGTGGGATATGAGAACTACGCCGTTATGATGTGCCCGATGGGTGCACGACGTATTGGAATAGGAGTCTTTCATAGACATTTATACATATACCTTGTATTATGATTTAATAGATGACCTGCATCTTCCAGAACCATACTATGTATTCATATTAGTATCCTGCTTATATACTATTATTAGCCTCTGTCCGAATCTTATCAGGTACAGTTGATTGCCGTCAAAATCTCTCAACATCAAGCCTGCCAAAAAGCAAAAAAAAAAAAAAAAAAGGGGCAATGATAACTGCAGTAGCTAAATATGTGCAGAAGAACGCTCAAAATAGATGGCTGAACAGAAAAACACAAAGCCACTGAGCCCAAGTATGCACCCAGATAATCAACGAAGCCGTCCGTCCATGTTTTTTTCCCTCCCCAAACACGAATGCATCCACATATATTTCCAACCCAAATTAGCCAATGTGAATTACCAATACATGCCCCCCTGGAACTCCGATGTATCTTGACCCATAATAATGGAAGAAGAAGCGAAAAAACAACGTAGAATGAAGTCAAAAATATATCGCTCAAAAAAAAAAAAAAAAAAAAAAAAATCTTAAGACAAATCCAAACTCGGCAAATCCAATTCTAGCCTTGGGGCGTGCGCAAAGGTCACTGATACCCGGTTGTCCTTCTTCTTCTGCGAAAGAAACTTTTCCCCTTGCGTGCGAGCGGTCAGTATGCTCCTCAGCGACGAGGAGGCACTCGTTACTTTCGAAGTGTTACTGGTTCTGTGAATCCCCAATGCCGAAGCATCGCTCGTGTTTATGCTGGCGTTGCTGGAAACTCCGCTGAGAAAGCTTGTGCTGGTTTGAGTGCGTGTCGTCATTGGGCGAGGATGAGCCGGAACCGGGGTTGAACTCCCATTTGTTCCGCCAAGCTGCGTGGAAGACGGGAGACCGTACGAGGAGATGTTTTGCTTTCTGGGCTCGGGGGATGGAGCTGATAAGATACCGGAGAGTTTCTTGTGCAATGTCGGTCGCCTTAGGGGCGTCATCCTTCCAACTTCTGCCTCTGGGTGTTGCTGGGATTCAGCATCGCTGTCTAGTAACAGTCGTTCCTGGTTGGTTTCCAAGGCAAACTGGTCTAGAAACGTGGCTAGACTTGTGGCTGTTTTCGGACGGCCATCACTCAACGCATCCCAGGTATCAATAACGTCTCCATTTTCATCGACCTGCCTGATTCCATGTCTAAGGCTGTAATTGCGGTAGAGATAGCGCTGAAGTCGCTCGACTTCGAGATCCCACTTTTCGCTCAACGACTTCAGGATTGCCTGAACTTGGGGATTCGTAAAATCTGAAGTTGTCCCGGTGCTGGAAGAAGGTGAGATCAAAGACGAACTGGTCTGGCGAGGTTTACTCGGCTTGGTCAACTTCGTACCGCCCACACTGGCGCCGTTTACGGCGGCCTGGATCGTCCGGCGAAAAGACCCTCCTGTGGATCCATTTGAATTGCTTCGTTTCGACTCTTTGTTAACCGATTGTATCTCACGCCGTACTTTCTCCAACATCTGCTCTCGATCCCGATCCATACATGGAAGGTGAAGCAAGGTTTTGTTTCGCTGCAGCCCGTTTATCAAGACGGTAAAAGATTGGAGATTAATTTCGTTATTCTCGCAGTACACTTCAAGAAGAGAGTCATTCTCCTCCAAGACAGAGGCAAGCGTACTAGCTCCTTGCAGTCCTAATTTCTGATGCTCAATCCTCAAAACTTTCAGAGTCTTGTTCTTCTTCAATCCAGTCAATGCAAGATTTAGTCCGATCCCAAATCTCGCAACATCCAGATGTGCATATTCCCCGCTGATATCCAACTCTTCTACCGTCGTGTTCTCCTCAAACATCATCTGTAACGCCGTGCACGTCTCAGGCCCAGCATCGTAAGGAAGCGAAGCTTTCGATATATCCAGGTATTTCAAAGACTTATTTTTCCTCAATGCTTCAATAAGCTGTTTAAAATGATCCTCCTTTTGGAAATCCATCATCCTCATCGTAAGATGAGTTGGAGTCTTATTCTGAACAATTGATTCGAAGAGCAAGGAATAATCGATGTGTAGTCTGTTCTCGCTGACATGAAGATGGATATTTCGTGGCCGTCCCTTGTCGTCAATCATAAAGTACAGAAACGTGGCCACGTCTCCTCCGGTAAGTCCACACTGGTCAAGTCTCAATTCACGTAGCTTGCTTGATTTTTCGCTGGCGAGATATGCCGCGATCGAATCCACGGTCTTTTCATTTACGACGGTGTGACTCAATGACAGTTCCTCCAACTCCCAGTTGAGCAGGGTTTCCGGAGCAATAAGCGGTTCAGGGCCGGTATTGCGCGAGATGTGCGACAGGTTGATCTTGCGGATATGCGCAAAGTAGCCAATCTGTTGCTGAAACAATTCAGCACTCAATCGGCCTTGAACTCCAGAGATATTGATCGCTTCGAGGGTGGCCTCTTGGGCAGTCATGGTCGACAATATCAAATCGAGGTCATGGATGGAAATTCCACAGTGACTAATTTCGAGCGCACGAAGCTTAGATGCTGTTTGAGATGCAGCGTCGATCAAGTAGTCCAGATCCGAATCCCCAAGCTTTATGCCATTTAACACGACCCAGTCCACCTTGGTAAGTCTTCGGCGGCATAGCGGAAATATGGCCTCGGGAATACCGCATCCGGGGTCAACTTCGCCCTTTCCCGTCGTTGGAATTCGAGTAAGACAAAATGCGAAATTCAGGCGTTTCAGCTCCTTGCTCTTCAAAGCCAAAGCCCGAATCTCCTGTGTCAAGACAGACATTTGCTCCTGCCCGGGAATCTCAAGGGGAACGTTCGAGCGTGTCCGCATCGCATCGTAATCGAAACCATATGGATCGTACAGGTTCTGCAGCACATCTAAATTAACACCTCCGAAAGATATGGTTCTGAAAGATTCATTATATCGCAAGGCTTTCATGACAGCTAACAGTTCAAGAACGCCATACCCTTTTCCATCTCTGGAACCAGCAGGCGGGATTAGCTGAAAGCATGGCGCATCTTCGCACGAGTAATCGATCGAATATCTAATGTTAGAGGCGTGGACATCGTATGCAGCGCAGTATGCCGTGAGAGTACGGTCGAAGTGACCGTCGTCTTCTTCGGGCTTGGTGGGAGGAGGGGGAAACTGATCCTCTAGCCAGTGGGGAACGTTAAACGTATATGGTTGTTGAAGCCATTGAGGGCGTAAATACTCAGCCCGTTGTCGAATGTGAAGCGCGATATCCGCCGAAAAGGCCGAAGATAAATGTATATGTACTGGTGACTTGAACGGTAGGCTTGAAAAAAAGGAAAAAGGTAAGTCTTTTTGCGACCCTTGGGACAATAAGATTCGCGTGTAGAGATGATTAAATGCTCACCGAAAAATCAATTGGAGTCCGTCGTCGCCGCGCTGCATATATAGCGCTGCCAGTGACAGGATACCATAAGACTCGCCCATGTCGAGTTCGCTCAAGGACACCATCGAAGCGCGGTTGGCCGTCTTAGGTAAGGGAAGAATATGAATTTTATGGACTCCTATTACCAGGTAGCACGGCGTGGAAGCAAGTTTTATATTGTCATCGATCGAGGAACGTCCGCCTTGTTTGACAGGGAGCCTTCGCACAGCACGATGCATTGACATCGAATACGGGTCGTAATCACGTTCTTGATCGAGTGTACGGGAGATATATTCGACGGTATCCCTTTCGAATGGTACAGGATCCGCCAGTCTCGCCTCTGTCGCCGCATCTCGAATACCAGACCGCCAAAGTTCTGCATCGAGAGGATCGGTAAGCTGAATCTGTAACGACGATGCTTTGGACAATTTGTCCTCCATGTAGCAAACCTCAACAGAGAAGAAAGGCCGCCCATCGTCCAGCTTGTGCACAGCAAGTATTCTGTTCAACGCGATGCCACTCCCACTGTCTCCGCCACCGCCGCCACCAGGCAGTGGACTATCCTGCAGTGAAGCAAGGGAAACCACGGAAAGACGGTTCGATGTCAACGTGGAGCCCGTGTTTCGACCCCATTGGGTGGGTATGGAAGGGAATGCTTCGGCTGCTTTCGACCGGTTCTTAAAGCGTACGAGATGGGTGTCCGTTAGGACAAGATACTGGCTCTTCTTCCTCCACATTGGCGCCGATGTCTGCACCTCGCCGTGGTGGAGGACGGTGGTGCCAAGGGGTAGCCTGTCGAAGAAGACCGCGAAGTCGTCCTCTTCGCCGGAAGATTCTTTTGAACGTGCTTTGGTGGAGACCTGGTCGTCATCCAGAGATGTGCCCAACGAGCGAAAGGAGCCAAACACAGAATTCCGCTTCGATTTCTGGAGGGATTTAGATCTGGCGCGTATGGTAGATTCGGGGGGAAGATGCCATAGGTGAGTTTCTGCCTCAGTTACGGGGCAGTCGTTGGACCCCAGAGGAGTGGATGACACTCTGCCGCGACTAACATATCTAGGCCCGGTTTTCTTCATGTTGAGGTTGTCACCAAAGCTTCGAGAACGGCGTTTGACGCCGATAATCCCAAAGAATGAACCACTGCTTGTCGGGCGGCTCCCCCTTCGGCGCCTGGTTATATTGCCACCCAACACATCATCACCGTCATTATTATGATCGGGAGCAGGAGCATTACATCGGCGGGGGGAATTATCCGGAGTGGATCGAGTATGCCCGTGCGACTTTGGCCGTGATGTGGCGGAAAAGCCGTCAGAGCCCAAGAGCCCTGTTGAGCCAAACAGCAAGCTAAAACTCTTTCTCCGTTTGACCTTCTTAGCATCATCCGCCATGTTTTTGGAAAGTTCACGCCAGCAGAGCTAGTGTGGAATGCCAGGGATCGAGACTGGCGACAAGAAGCAGTCATACAGGCGGAAGAAGGAAAGCAAAAGTGCCGAACTGTGATTCTATTGACAACCAAACGGGCGCATCACGGCGTCATGGAAAGAGGAACGAGTGAGCGCTCCAGGATTTCCCGTTCAACCCAGGTGGTTGGCCAGCAACGGATCAGCACGCCATGCCTCCGCTGTTAAAACGTCATTCTATCCCAGACTGTGTCTATGTATGCATGTATGTGTTTCCTGGCACTCTCCCCTTGAAGCGAAAATAAAAAAGGAAAAACGACAATACCAATTCAACAGCAAAAAAAAAAAAAGAAAAAGGAAACACGCAAACACACGTACACGCTTACAGCAGCCCAGCTCGACAGAAGGAGAATTCTCGCCTAGAATCCATCTGAGGGGCGTGGAGGAAACAGAGTGAAAAGAAGCGCTGTGCAGTTGAGGACTGCCCAGGCCGCATGTCTCAGAGCTCCAACATCGTATGGTAACAATACGGATCATCCGATGACGTGCCTTGGCAGTGTGATGCAACAGCAAGCAGGAAAATGGAGAACGGCGCCGTCCGACCCAGATCCGAGGCTGCTCTTGATTGTCGACCTTGCGTGCAAAATGGTAGCAAGAAAATGCTTGCAGTCCCTAACCAAAAGTGCAGAGAAAAAAAAAAAAAATGAAAAAAGAAAAGGGGAAAAAGGAAAAAGAAACAAACAAAATCGACAATGCGCTGTTTCGTGGACTGAAGCAAAGCTGCAAAAAAACGCACCCGGCAGAGCGCTGTTTCAGGTTCATGCTTTTCATCCCGTCCAATACGTGTTCTGGGTTGAACGGTACGCTCCCTGACAGTACCGGTACGTCGGTGGAGCGCCGTGATGTCACCGCTACGCTAGCTGATTCTCACCGAATAAGCCACCCCCGAGCGAGCTCCAGCGCTGGTTTTACAGATACAATACTGAAGCAGGCGACATTGACTGCCAGGCATGTTTCACCCTTCACCCGCTCCATGCTCAACACCACCAAGGAACAAGGGAATCGACAAGAAAAGGAAAACAGGACCAGGAAGAAGGGGGGGAAAAAAAAGAAAAGAAAGGAAGAGAGAAAGAAAAAAAAGAATGCTCTCGCAGTTGAAACCCAAAATTCTGGTCGAACAGGGGCCCCTCTCCTCCGCCACAGCCCACTCCTTTAGTTAGGCCCTTCGGCTGCACCGGGCATCCCTCGACGAGATCAAGACTTTCCTTTTCGCTTGAGGGCGAGTGGGCCGGAGTGTGGCTGGCTGAGATCTCAAACTCCGATTGCACCCCCACCGGGGCCATCAGAGCGAACCCTCGCGGTGGGAGCGCACTACATATCATTATTTACGGGGCATGATTTCCACCCACACCCGCTCCAGTGAGCGATCCCTAAAGAAAAGTCAATCGAATGACAAATTCTCCCCGGAATTGCGCCAATCAAGCCCTGCGCCGGAAAGCATGTGCATTCTGCAGCCAGGCCCCAAAAAATGGTTCTCAAGCCAGGCGAGATTTAACGACAGCTTTCCCTTTGATTAGTTGCCTCCCGGGATGAGCCCTGGTCAGCGAAATTGCGCGCTTTTCAAAGAATAATGCTCCGTAGTATGCAAATCGCTCCGCGGGGAGAACCGCCTTTGTCTAACTAATGCACAACATCAGATTGTGGCTGGCAGATTAGAGTTTCTGTTCCTTGAGGCTTGCAGTCTCGTCTGCCGAACGTGGCACTCTCCTGTCAAGCAACATCTCCAAGAAAAGTCCATCCATTAGCATTCCACAGGGAGTGTACTCCGTACGGAGCATGGATATGTCTGTTCCTTGGACGCGTCTCGTTCGTCCGAAGTCATCATCGCTCGGACGTGATCGAGCCCAGCCAGCTAGCTCTGCGTCTGCGTTTCAAGCCCCTTCTCACCATCTCATATCGAACCCAAATCTTGATCATCCAGTTCTCTCTTCGGCTGCTTCGCCGTTACTGGAACGCAACGTACAACTGTCTCTTGCTTCAGGATCTGACGTCGGACACGTGTCCGTGGAGGCGTGATATCAACCCGCCGATCGTCCAAGAGACGGAAGAGGAGAAAAAAGAAAGAGAGAGAGGGAAAAAAAAAAAAAAGGGAAAAAAAAAGAAAATATACAGAAAAAAGGTTTTTTTTGCCGAGCGAACGGCGATCATCTTTTCAAAACAAAAAAAAAAAAAAAAAATAAGGGAAAATATTGAACCCAGCCACTAAGCTTCTCTCCTGGTACACGCATAGTCCATATGGAGTACGGAGTACATATTTTGAGTAAACACCTTCTCATCCCAGCTTTAGAAGACTCTGTCGTGGCCAACTGAGATCTGGAGATCGACCGGGTTTTCATCCCACATGCAGGCATATTAATGTTCCGTATTATCCTCGTAGTTGCTACGCAAAGATCACCTCGATGGGCCTCTTTCCCCGTGGTTAGCCCGTCCTTTTCGTTGCGCCAAAACCAAGCTGAAGGGCAAAAGATAGTCGCGTCCTTGCGGGTGGCAAAAACCAGAGACTAGGATCTTCAGGTGAGACGAAAGGAAGGGAAAAAAAAAGGAAAAGAAAAAAAAGAAAATAGATGAGAGAGGGATTCTCAGCGTGTTGCTAAGAAGATAACCCGAATGATCTTGCACCAACCGCGAATCGAACGCGGGCAGCTTGCTTGGAAGGCAAGCGTCATACCACTTGACCATTGGTGCTGTCTTAGTCAGAAGACTAAATTCTAGAGACGTCTTCTTAACTAAAAAAGAAAAAGAAAAGCTATTCGTCTTCAATGAAAATAGTACTTAAAAAATTCATTTTTCATCAATCCCCGCAAAGTGAAAAAAAAAAATTGGGTCGCGCTCAACTTGGGATAGAAGCCAGATATCGTTTGAACAGGTGTCACTATGCAGTCGCGATTATATGTATTTGCCGTCTAATAAGCCTTATTATTATACAGATGCCTCATTCCACCCCCCTTTTTTTTTGTGGCGTCGAAAAGAAAAAAAGTCCTCTCAGAGAAACTACCAATATAGAAGCAGCCGGGAAACCATGAACCCAAGACCGACACATTATTCTCTCATGCTAGCAAACAACTCAACCATACCACTGCGCCGTTAACTCCACTTAGTGAACTTCTATCAATCGTTCAGAGTGACAATACCATGCTTCTTATCTAGCGCATCTTGGGCTTTACGCCACTTGCGGCCCTTGCTGCTGATTTCCCACAGGCGGTGGCCATAGCCTCCGTCTTGCGAATTAGCAGCGTCTGAGAGGCACTTTTCTCGACGCCGTTTACACGCCGCGAGAAGCGCTTTCCCGCGAGTCTCAGACATAATATCGAAATTGTAGTCGACCGTCCACTTGTGCTGCGCCACGAACCGCTCAGGTCGCGGAACAATTCGCCCGTTCACGTTGTTGCAGATGCGCAGAATCATTCCCATCACAGGCTTGTCAGAGACTTGACTGGTGGTTTCAGAACCATCGGCCTCTTTGACTTCCTCTGCTGGCTTAGCTTCTTCGTCGACCGAGTCGCTGGCCCCCTCGGACTTGTCGTATAGCTCAGGATAGAGAAGCTTGTGTTGGATTTTCTCGATCTCCTCCTGGTTGCGAGTTTGTATCTCGTCAATCTCCTCCTCCGTCACGGGTTCGGCAAAAATGTACATAAACGGGACCACGCCGTCCCTAGTCTCGAAATGGAACCGTAGTGATTGTTCCGGGAATTGGGCAGTAGCCGCATTCAGAACCTTGTTCCAGAGCGTTATGCTGTGCACGAATTCGGCATCTCCCAAAGCTACGTCTTCTTGGCCGTGAAGGGCCCTGTCCATTTCTGGCAAGGCCAGATACTGGAACCCAAAGATGCGCTGGGTATTATGGAACGCAACAAAAATCCCATCCATTCGACCCACTCGGACCTGGAGCGAGTACTTCAAGAAGGCTGAGCGAGCCATATCAAAATATTCTCGTTCGAAAGACTCATAATCCCCGAACCGATCCTTGATCTCATAGCCAATCCCTTTATCCGGGTTTTTGGCATCCATACGAATGGAGACCACGGCGCGAGTTTTCAGATCAAACATGCCGGTTCCTGGGAGGCGCGGATCATAAGCATCCAGCTGTGCTCTCATCAAGAAATCACCACAAGTTGAATAATGGTATGTTTCTGGCTCCGCCTCGCCCAGAGGGGTCCTCTCACCGTTCGTCCGCCGATAACGTTCATACTCGTCCGTAGGCATCGTAAGCAGCTTTTCCATCGATCTACCTAGATTCATCAGAATATTGGCAGAATCAAATTCCTTATCGGCGTCGATAGCATAAATCCCATCCCCCTTATACCGCAAGAACACGGCAGCCGGAGCTCTTGTCAGGCGGGTGAAACTGCGAATTGTGTCGGAGAATTGCTGAGATAGAGTGTCCAGTTTAAGGGGTCGCCAAGCAGAAAGAAGAAAATGGAAGTGCGAAAGCACTCCCGTCATACTGGAGGACGACCCAATATATTTTTTGCCATGCTTTTGTGCCATTTCGCGAAGAAAAACGTCCCGTGAACTTGTGATGTAAGAACCCAGCGCCTCAAAATCGAATTCGGATACCGGCATGATAGTGCTCAGGTAAGGGTCAAAATTATACACACGAGACCTTGGGTCTCTTAGATGATAAACACCTGGGCTACAAGGTATTAGCAAGCCTCCAAGATCCCAACAATGCTAACCAGATTTTTAGACTTACTTGAAGAGCACCCGATCTAAATTATACGCAAGAGTGGGCACAGCCGTAGATTCGACATTCAGAGCTAGATGCTGTTAGGCACACAAATTTTGACAGGATCTCTGTTGAATACGGGTTCCTTACCTTTTATACTCTCTTCTGAAGGCTCTAAAATCCCAGAATGGCAACGCAACAGGTCATCCGCTGGAACACGTTCATGATCCTTTGACTGCCTATATTCTTCCTCTTTTTCTTG